GTCATCGGTAAACTCATGATTACAAGTCGACTATAGTTGCTGCTTGATTAGATTAGTAAAGCCTTGAGTCATTTTGATTTAACCTGTCTCTTCAGATGAGGTGCGCACTGGGACCTACCGGCAGCTGTTCCACCCTGAGCAGCTGATCACTGGCAAGGAGGATGCTGCCAACAACTACGCCCGTGGACACTACACCATTGGCAAAGAGATAATTGACCTGGTGCTGGACAGGATCCGTAAATTGGTGAGTCACATAAGAGCAGGAAGACACATACCAGGAGAGTAAGAGCAGTGCATGTACTGTATGCTGTATCAACTCAAATTATTACTCAAATTATACAGTTTACCTTTCCACCACCAGAGGGCACCTAATCATTATCCATGGCAACTACGACTCCTGACCATTTGATTCATGTTTATTTATATTTTAAATTTATGCTTGAGTTTGATTTTATCATCTGTGCAGTGTATTTTGTTTGTTTGTTTTCTGAATGTGCGGAACTGTCAAGTGTCAAATCAGTTGCCTCAGAAATGTTGAGAATCACTGATGTATATTATATTACTGCAATCTTTTTATTTATATCCGTCCTCAGGCTGACCAGTGCACTGGTCTTCAGGGATTCCTGGTTTTCCACAGCTTTGGAGGTGGTACCGGCTCGGGCTTCACCTCCCTGCTGATGGAGCGTTTGTCTGTAGACTACGGCAAGAAGTCCAAACTGGAGTTCGCCATCTACCCAGCTCCCCAGGTGTCCACTGCTGTGGTGGAGCCTTACAACTCCATCCTGACCACACACACCACCCTAGAGCACTCTGACTGTGCCTTCATGGTGGATAATGAGGCCATCTACGATATCTGTCGCAGGAACCTGGACATCGAGCGTCCTACCTACACCAACCTGAACAGGCTGATGAGTCAGATTGTGTCCTCCATTACTGCTTCCCTTCGTTTTGACGGTGCCCTTAATGTTGATCTTACAGAGTTTCAGACCAACTTGGTGCCATATCCTCGTATCCACTTCCCTCTTGCCACCTATGCCCCTGTCATCTCCGCTGAGAAGGCGTACCATGAGCAGTTGACAGTGGCAGAAATTACCAACGCCTGCTTTGAGCCATCCAATCAGATGGTAAAATGCGACCCTCGCCACGGCAAATACATGGCCTGCTGCCTTTTGTACCGTGGCGATGTGGTCCCCAAAGATGTCAATGCTGCCATTTGCAGTATTAAGACCAAGCGCACCATCCAGTTTGTGGACTGGTGTCCCACTGGTTTCAAGGTCGGCATCAACTACCAGCCCCCCACTGTAGTTCCTGGTGGAGACCTGGCCAAGGTCCAGAGGGCTGTGTGCATGCTGAGCAACACCACTGCTATTGCTGAGGCCTGGGCTCGGCTTGACCACAAGTTTGATTTGATGTACGCTAAGCGTGCCTTTGTCCACTGGTATGTAGGTGAGGGTATGGAGGAGGGAGAGTTCTCTGAGGCCAGAGAGGACATGGCAGCTCTGGAGAAGGATTATGAGGAGGTTGGACTTGACTCTGTTGAGGGTGAGGGAGAGGGAGAGAATGAGGGGGAGTATTAGAAAGCTCAGAAAGCTGCCAGTTATACAGGACAAACATATTTTGTTATGAAATACATTAATGTAATAACATTTTTTTTGTGAAATGCCATCTTGGCTAAGTTCCTATGTTCCTGTTACATGAAGTATTTAAAAAAAAAAAAAAAAAAAAAAAAAAAAAGGAATGACTTAATTGGACTGGACTGTTACGGGTGAGGGAGGAAAGTAAGTGACTTAACAGCCCTTGTGAAGCTGAAGATGATTTGAGTTTTTTTTCTAAAATGCATTCCAAAAACTAATGTTAGTCTATCAAATATACAATTTGTTCATAATAAAAAAATACTGGTAGTGTTCTGAATAAAGTTCCTGTGGCATACAAAGCTGCATCTGTTGATCTGTTTCTTTGGAGAACCTGGTTCTTTTGCTTTGTTTTGATGATGAATGGAAACCATTGATTTAATTGGTCATTTAAAATCTTAATTCTGAATCCAGAAAATCACAGACTTGAGTTTTAGAATTTGCTGTACAACAATACATACCATATACAACATGAATGTCTTGTAGAATATATACAGTGCCCAGTCTACTTAAACTGATCAGCCACATTAAAACAGGAAACCTATTTTAATGTTTTGATAAGTGTTTTTTTTAACTATGCCTTACCTTAGCAGTTCCCTCTGTTTTTCTTTTTACAGCCTTAAAAGTACTGAAAGTTTCAGTGGTAAATATAAAAAGGTAAGTTTAGCTGTTTTCGTCAATACATGAAATTGAAAACTTAATCAAATATTTAATGAAATCCAGACAGTGCACCTCAAAAACACTGGAATCAGCCAAACCATATTACAAACTTTGTTTACCCCATTAGGCAAAGTTAACTTTAACAGTTGATTTTGATAACCCTCTGCTTCTCTAACACTGCAGTTATATTCCTTTGGCTGTGACAAACCCCACACGAAGCACTTCATCTCAGGACCAACATGTTGCTGCTGATACTTTCACCACTAAAGTAGTGATCATATTGCTATTTTTATTCTCAACAAACATCACCTTCATTTGAGCAGCAAACCAAACAGAAACAGGCAAAACTTGAAAAAACACTATCAGTCATGGGCATAACTTATTGATAGATGAAGAGACAGTTACTGTGTCTGAAATGAATGTTCAGATTCAGACTTCAAATTAGCTTCAGAAAATTCTGAATTTGCCCATTCTCCCCCTAAACTGCCCCTATTTCAGGTGTGTACGATTACAGTAACACAAATATACATGTCATCTGTCACAGTATATTGAACATCTAGAGTCCATCAGCCTGTTCAGAACCTTAAGTGACTGGGTGTTATGCTGAGTGCACAGTGACCCTGGCTTTATCAGGGCTTACACCTGTACATATGTGAAGAGATATGTGTTGGTTTACTGTATGGACAAGTGGACACTCTGTGTAAATGCTGTACTCACACATTTAGTTGGTAAATGTGAACAATAAAATAAGCTCTGGCATGAGGAATGTCTTTCAGTGTGGCATTGGCAAGTTAATGCAAATAATGCAGTATTAGATTTTATAAAATGTATAAATATTTCAAGAACCACAGGATGGCAGTCTGACTTAAGTTGATTTTTTTTCTGTAATAATATGATCATGAACGAGGATTATGCCTGAATAAGGATTAACTGGGGAAATGTGAGCTGTGAATATGGAGAAACTTGCCAAAGTATTATAAAGGGACTCCCAAATGTTTTCATGTCAAGGTACCCAAGTACATACATGCACCAGCAAGAATATGATGTAGAGAGGCAAATAACACAGCAAACAATTATAATTCCCTCAAAAAGAAAATAAACAAGTCATATTTAGAGATTAATTATACATATATTGTATATAAAACTCTTTTATATCTAGTTAAGTGTAATTTCAAAAACGTCCCCAATAGTCCGAAAATTGAGTAAACTTTGTAAGTAAACAACTCTGACACCCTGTTGAAGAAGATGACAGTTTTTTCAACCAATAGGAAAAGAACTCATGTAACACTCGACCAATCAGATTCAGCAAATATTTTCCCGGTATAAGCGAGTATAAAAAGCCACAGAGGTTTCAAATGTGTCGCACATGCGGGCAACCTTGAATGGTAGTGGATTGTTAGTTAATTTCTAAGGTAATCTTCGTGTTTCATAACCTCGAAAAACATGGTGAGTATGGGATAATGTTGGTTATTTTTTTATCTAACAGTTTTGAAATCTCTAGGATGAAGTAGCCTACATCAGTGTTAGCTATTAATTGTCAAGGGAACTGAATCCTGTTAGCTAATGCTAACGCTAAGGAATTCTAACGGTCAGAGCACTATGCTAGGTTTGATGACGTTCGACTGCTAAGCTAGGTTTGGTCAGAGCACTACGCTACATTGACTAAAAAGTCTGAGGTGGAGGAACCAGCAAACCAAGTTTCTTTATTCTATAGGCTGTTTTAATTGTAATTCTCTAAGTGTAGCTTCATTGCGTCATTTATGTTTTCTGGTTAATGGAAGAGCATCCTCTAAATTCAGTTTGAGATCTTGGCTGTACTTTAACATTGCACAACATGATGGAACAAAATGAATAACAACAACAAATGACCGGGCAATAAAGTATGCATAAACAATAAATAAAACAACAAAATATAGTTAAATAAAAACATAAAAAACAATACATTCATTTACAGTTTTTAGTGACTTCTTATTGATGCAAGATTTAATGGTCTCTAAATACTGCTCAGATTTTTCATTTAAAACCAAAGAGAGGTGCTTATCAAATTTACATTCATGATTATGAAACTAAGCTAACATGATTTGCAGTAATATTGATGATATATGCTTGTTTTTCCATCTTTTTCCTGTTTTGATTTCAATATCAGACAGTTCATGTTCATACAGTAAAGCAAAATCAGCCATTCATCTATCATTAATAAACTCAAAACCACCATACATGGATATCATTCTTAAATCTTTGAATGAAGTGTTTTTACAGGGTAAACGTTTTGTAAAAGTTTAAAGGACATCTCTATGAAATGTTTATGAAGCAACAGCCAAACCCTCTGCCATGGAAAAACACTAAGAAAATTATTGTAGTAGGTGGTGACATTTTGAATAAAAATGAGATCCTGTTGAAATAACAAAGAAATAGACACTTCTATTATTTTTTTTTAAGGATGGTTGAAAGCAGATTTTACTATGAGTGGTGTCAATAGCGTGAAGTAATCTATAACTGAGATAAGGGACACATGTATAGAACTCCATTAAGGTTCTGATTTGAGGTCTGTGATGTTGTGTACACCCAGTTTCTCTTGATTTATCAATGGGTAAATTAATGAAAGTGTTTAGTTCCTTCCCCCATGCAAATGAATCTTGTGTTTGCTATTTAACTTTCTTCACCATGTGATGAGTGAGCTAAAGCGTCTGATTATTGTGAACTTGCAAAATGTTACAAATGGCCTTTGTTTTGCTCCAGCGTGAGTGTATCTCAATACACGTGGGTCAGGCTGGTGTCCAGATTGGCAATGCCTGCTGGGAGCTTTACTGCCTGGAACATGGGATTCAACCTGATGGTCAAATGCCGAGTGACAAGACCATTGGAGAAGGGGATGATTCCTTCAACACATTCTTCAGTGAGACTGGAGCTGGAAAGCATGTCCCCAGAGCCGTTTTTGTGGATCTGGAGCCCACTGTCATCGGTAAACTCATGAATACAAGTCGACTATAGTTGCTGCTTGATTAGGTTAGTTAAGCCTTGAGTCATTTTGATTTAACCTGTCTCTTCAGATGAGGTGCGCACTGGGACCTACCGGCAGCTGTTCCACCCTGAGCAGCTGATCACTGGCAAGGAGGATGCTGCCAACAACTACGCCCGTGGACACTACACCATTGGCAAAGAGATAATTGACCTGGTGCTGGACAGGATCCGTAAATTGGTGAGTCACATAAGAGCAGGAAGACACATACCAGGAGAGTAAGAGCAGTGCATGTACTGTATGATGTATCAACTCAAATTATTACTCAAATTATACAGTTTACCTTTCCACCACCAGAGGGCACCTAATCATTATCCATGGCAACTACGACTCCTGACCATTTGATTCATGTTTATTTATATTTTAAATTTATGCTTGAGTTTGATTTTATCATCTGTGCAGTGTATTTTGTCTGTTTGTTTTCTGAATGTGCGGAACTGTCAAGTGTCAAATCAGTTGCCTCAGAAATGTTGAGAATCACTGATGTATATTATATTACTGCAATCTTTTTATTTATATCCGTCCTCAGGCTGACCAGTGCACTGGTCTTCAGGGATTCCTGGTTTTCCACAGCTTTGGAGGTGGTACCGGCTCGGGCTTCACCTCCCTGCTGATGGAGCGTTTGTCTGTAGACTACGGCAAGAAGTCCAAACTGGAGTTCGCCATCTACCCAGCTCCCCAGGTGTCCACTGCTGTGGTGGAGCCTTACAACTCCATCCTGACCACACACACCACCCTAGAGCACTCTGACTGTGCCTTCATGGTGGATAATGAGGCCATCTACGATATCTGTCGCAGGAACCTGGACATCGAGCGTCCTACCTACACCAACCTGAACAGGCTGATGAGTCAGATTGTGTCCTCCATTACTGCTTCCCTTCGTTTTGACGGTGCCCTTAATGTTGATCTTACAGAGTTTCAGACCAACTTGGTGCCATATCCCCGTATCCACTTCCCTCTTGCCACCTATGCCCCTGTCATCTCTGCTGAGAAGGCGTACCATGAGCAGTTGACAGTGGCAGAAATTACCAACGCCTGCTTTGAGCCATCCAATCAGATGGTAAAATGCGACCCTCGCCACGGCAAATACATGGCCTGCTGCCTTTTGTACCGTGGCGATGTGGTCCCCAAAGATGTCAATGCTGCCATTTGCAGTATTAAGACCAAGCGCACCATCCAGTTTGTGGACTGGTGTCCCACTGGTTTCAAGGTCGGCATCAACTACCAGCCCCCCACTGTAGTTCCTGGTGGAGACTTGGCCAAGGTCCAGAGGGCTGTGTGCATGCTGAGCAACACCACTGCTATTGCAGAGGCCTGGGCTCGGCTTGACCACAAGTTTGATTTGATGTACGCTAAGCGTGCCTTTGTCCACTGGTATGTAGGTGAGGGTATGGAGGAGGGAGAGTTCTCTGAGGCTAGAGAGGACATGGCAGCTCTGGAGAAGGATTATGAGGAGGTTGGACTTGACTCTGTTGAGGGTGAGGGAGAGGGAGAGAATGAGGGGGAGTATTAGAAAGCTCAGAAAGCCACCAGTTATACAGGACAGATAATACATTTTGTTATGAAATACATTTCAGTGTTGGCTAAGTTCCTAAGTTAATACCAGGTCAGTATGCAGTGTTTTTGTTTGTTTTTTGAATGTGCAGAACAATCAGCTAAACTTTTATACTATGTTTTAATTACTACTGAATCAAAAACCTGCAACTCCAATTTGTTATTGCTTTTCATTTAAAGTTTAATGATTTGTATCTGTTTTCTTGGAAAATGTTACGTCCCAGGGGCTCAAACATGAAACAATGTGAGAGGTTTGGAGGGGAAATCTGTGGTGGAACTGAAAACAGCTAAAAACAACTCAGACAGTAGAAACATGACAAGGTGCTCTAAGTGGAAACTGCTTTTCACTAAAGAGGTCACTAGTCAAACAGTGTGGAAACTTCTGGCATAATCTGAAAGATACATTGCATTTTATAAGCATATCATAGGTTCATTTCATGTTTTTTATGTTCAATCTTAATCTTAGATAGATGTAGTCAAGTAAAAGGTTAAATATTTCCCTTTGAAATGTAGTGGAATATAAGCAAAACGTGATGTAAGATGGACATACTCAAGTAAAGTGCGAGTACCTCAAAACTGAACTGAACTACTTGTACTAAGTAGTAGTTACTAAGTTGATACTTTCCATCATTGACATGTATATCGCTGATAATACTTGTGTACTGTATTTCTTTGAATGCAGAACTTCATTGAGTTATTTTGTAGTGTTGTATTTGTTATTTTACTTCAGTAAAGTATGTAAATATTTCTTGCAACACTGGATAAAATAACCTCAGTTCGGTTGAGGTGGTTGAGATGTCAGGAGTCTTTGATGCGCATTGAAAACTTCCTGTGCGGGAGACTGCTGTGAGCTCCCACAGAGAGCCTGCCTGTTATTGTTTACGGTCAGACTAATGTAAAGTAGGTCATGGAAAAGGGAAGCTTAGCCAGTCACTCATTCAACTGTTCTGTATCATCCAAGTGGTTATAGGTGGCTTCTGGGATCAGCATCTCTGCGGTGTCATTAATTTTACGTGAATTCTGGATGTGGACAACAGGCAGGTAATATTAACGCAGTCCTTTTATCCGAGGCTGGTAGCAGCACGCAGCTAACGAAAGCTAACTAGCTACTATACGCTAGGTCTGAATCTGCATCACTAGCCGAGTTATTGAGCCTGCTGACATGTTTTCTCACTACTTGGCTCATAAACCGTGAACGCACTATAGTCAGTGGCGTGTTCAAGTGTACGAACCTATATATACACATATAGCCAGCAGTCTGACTTGATTTGTGATGCTGCTGACCTTGTTGTAGCAGCCTGCTAACTTGTTAATGCATACGCTGTTCAGCGGGTATCGTTAGCTGCTCCTGTTAGCCGGGCTAGGCGGTTACCTAGAGCCAGTTAGCGTAACAACATCAACACGACAAAGAGTAATATTGATTTTACTGATGATGACAATGACCTGTGGACTGGGACCAGACTACTAACAGTATGTTAGAGTTAGGTTAAGTAGTTAGGGTGTTGTGTGTGTAAGTGTTTTGTGGTATGTTGTGGGTTACATTGCTCCATAAATCAGTCCGCTAAATTTCTTTATTAGATTCCCTAAAATAGGAGGAAACTATGATGAAGCTTCAAATTGCAGGATCAAACAGTGAGTACCGAAAGGTGGAGCAGATATCACGGGTGTGAGAAATATTAATATACAGCATTCTTCTAAAAAAACAAGAAACCAGGACAAGAGGAAGAAACCACCAAGTTATGTTAGTACAAATGTATTTTCTTTCTTATGTCATTTAAACTTTAAGAGGACATGCAGTGCATTATCTGCCACAATCTTTAGTCTTCTGTGCCTGTGCCTCTCAAGATAAGCATGCCGTCATTTTGTCTTTCAGCAGCTTGGACTGATGCTGTTATTCCAACATCTGGACTAAAACCTGAACTGACTGTCAGGTTCTTCTACTAGTGAGACAGTGAGTTGCTGCCATGTCTAGACGGAGCAGGAACAGTCGTGCATGGAGATATGTCTGGGGTGGAATACGGCGGGATGCTGATGCCAGGGCACTTGTTTTGGCCTCTGAAAGTGAGGAATGGAGTTATGACCGACTAGAGGTAAGCACACAGCAGCTGAACAGATAGGAAGTGTCAGAGATTGTGCAATTTTTTGTTTGTGTCATATGATGCCACTTCTTTGCACTGTAGGCAAGGGATAGGATGTGTCACCATGAGAAGGCTGCCAAAATTCACCTCAAGGTTCCCTTTCTTACTGAAAGCTTTTAATTTGCCTGTGGCCACTATTAACAGTATGTGTTTGTTGATGCTTCTGTCTGATGCTTGAAGCTAAAGGCTCAGTTGTTTACATGCTTTGTATCAGAACTAATCATTTTCCCGAGAAGGGGATGTACTATGATGTCTGCCTTTTACTTTCAAATCGTAGAGATGTTAATTTTTTTCAGTGCAACACCCAATTTCTGTGAAACATCCACAATCAGTGCTGTTTAGTTGCATAAGCAATGCTGCTGACATTTGATTTTGCTATTTCTTTCTGCATTGTTGCTCTCAAGTACAGTGATTCAGACTCTGAGGTGGACTTTTCAGCAGTGATGGTCCCTCCTGTCCCCAGTGCAGTGCCTGTCACCGGAGAGTCCTACTGTGGCTGTGATTCCCAGGCTGAGACCAGCTACAACCCTCGTCTGCGAGGATTTCACCAAGTCAAAGACTGCCACTGTGGAGAGGATGATCAAGGTACAAGGGAGCTGCTGCATTTCCAGGGTTTACTAATTTAGGGCACACCCATTTTATAATGAATAGGTTGATTAAATTATGTCACTTGAGTTATATCACTGTATCCAGTCATGTTAAACTTGACTGACCTCTGTGATTTGTTTCCAAATTAATCATAAGAATAAAGTGTTATTTGTTTATTGATATTAGGTAAAGTGAATTAAACTAAATTTTGTGTGTCACTGTCCTTGAATGAATGACTTCTGATGTTTTAGAATTTGACTGGGTGTGGGATGCAAACAGCCGATCGACAGCAACATTACTGAGCTGCGACAATCGCAAAGTGAACTTCCACTCTGAATACAGCTGTGGTACAGCTGCGATCCGTGGCTCCAAAGAGCTGGCTGAAGGGCAGCACTTCTGGGAAATCAAGATGACATCCCCAGTTTATGGAACAGACATGGTAAAGCTCTACTCTTTATCTTCTTACATTGGCCTGCCCCTGTTATGTAAAGTCATTTTCAAAGAAAAAAAAAAAGTAGAGCAAAAGCATGCTGTGTGGACACTCGAATGTATTTATTTTCTAAATGGTTCCTTTTTTCTGTACAGATGGTTGGCATCGGTACTTCTGATGTCAACCTAGACAAATACAGACACACGTTCTGCAGCCTGTTGGGAAAAGATATAGACAGCTGGGGTCTTTCTTACACAGGTAAGACCAAAACAACATGCTATAATGTAACAATGGCTGCTCCAAATGGTTACATTATGAGTTAGACATCATTGGTTGTCTTTCTTATTTCAGGCTTGTTGCATCATAAAGGAGACAAGATGAATTTCTCTTCTCGATTCGGACAGGGGTCCATCATCGGAGTCCATCTGGACACGTGGCACGGCACACTTACTTTCTTCAAGAATAGGAAGTGCATAGGTTAGTACTGACAAGCAAAGTCCACTATCGATCAGAGTGCTGGCAGTTTGATTCCTATTTTAATTACATGATCTTTATATTAAACTTGTAGGGATACACCAATGCAGTTCTCTTTTGATTGGTATCTTTTGATACCAATTCGGGTATTTCAGTACTGTTTACCACACATTGGCCAGGTGTGGTGTGGCACTAAAAACTGAGTCACTGGGCTGCTATGACTAACTGGTACTGGGAACACAGAATTTGATAATGGCATTAATGACACTTTAGTGTAAATTGGTCACATCTGGCTAATATCAATCTGGCATATCAGATTGGTTCCTTAGTACTTTGTACAAATTTACAAACTAGTTTCATCTGTGATATAATTTTTGTGAATGCAAAATTAGGAACCATAACCAGATGGCTACATGCATACGGGTGTATATAAAAGGCGATGTAGAGCATTTTTCTACACAGTTTATATATCACCCACATGCAAAACTGTAAGACCTTACAGACATAATAGATGTGTGCACGTTTATTCAGTGGGGGTTCTGTGCTTTGTGGTGTTCGAACAAAGTATTACACATGATCATGAATTTTTTTGTCACCTTTCTCAATCTAGGTGTTGCTGCCACAGAGCTACAAAATAAGAGGTTTTATCCAATGGCGTGCTCCACAGCAGCGAAAAGCAGCATGAAGGTGATCAGATCCTGCTCTGCGCCCACCTCCCTGCTATACCTTTGCTGCGCTCGCCTTCGCCAGCTGCTGCCGGACTGTATAGACACCCTGGATGTGCTGCCACTGCCGCCAGGACTTCGTCAGTTGCTCCACAACAAACTAGGTTGGGTGCTCAGTCTCAATAGTGGCACCACAGATGAAACCCCAGATGAGCCTGAGCGCCCCTCACAATTGCCTGTCCCGCCCTTGGCTGGACCATCCTCCTCTGAGAGTGACTCAGAGGGTTGTACGTCTGACCCTGAAGCCTGTCAGAGGAAAAGATGCCGCTGGACATGACTGGACCGCTTGAATCCTACCTCCTCTTAAACACTGGCAGAGGTTACTGCCCTATGGCATCTAATCTAGTGTTACTTAACTGCCTCAAGCGTTCCTCAACATCAGTGTTACACAGTAGTGAAGAGAAGAACCAGGATCGGTTGAGCAGAGAGAGTGGTACGTAGGTAGAAAACTGTGACGGCAGTATTTTTGCTTGCACACTTAATTACTGTGATCTTCTCTCATGCCATTCACGTCTTCATGCTCATCATACACTCAGTACCCAAAACCAGCTTCAGTAATACGCGAAAAGATATGTTGTTATTTTGTTAGCTAGAATAAATTGTTACAGATCTGTTGCCATTCATGAATGGGGATTAGTGACATAGTGTGGGAATGATACAGTAAACTGTACAGTGTGACACTGAAGTAAAATATGGCCAAATTTTAATGGTCATCATGGTATATTTGTAAAGAAAAGGGGGTTTCATGAGATGAGAGACTGTATAGGTATTTTCTGTGTTTTTATCCTGTATGCAAATACTGTATATTGTTCTCAACCTAAATGCTATCCATGCATTTTCAGAGTCATCTGTTACCTGTTTTACTGGCATCTGCGATTTCTGGAGTGAAGTGAGATTCAGTTTATTCTGTATTTTTTACCACATGTCACAGCTCTAAATCTTAAACTGTCAAAAGCCTAAGAAAAGTAAGAAGGAGATAGAATTAACCTGAGTGCACTTTGCAGCTTTTAGTCCCTCAACTATGAAATTATTCCTTTTTGTCTTTCATGGAACAGCCATCATCTCCAAACAACTTATGCACGTCTGATTGCTCATCACATTATTGAAAAAAGTTATTAGTGAAATATTTGTTACATTCATGGCAACATCAGCCTGTCAACAGCCTTTAAAAGTCTTTTGTCCAATAGTCATGCTATTTGTTTGTAGAAACTATGGATTTCCTCTAAAAGATGTAAGCAGTATCCATTGTTAAGTGTAACTCTTTTAAATCTATCATGAGACAAATATGTCACTAAATATGTCACTGTCGCACCTTTCAAGTAACTTTTCATTGCTGTTACACCCAATGTTTCTTAAACATTTTAAAAAATATATTGTATTTGATTGACAAAATATGAGATTATAAGCAGATTTAATGTTAAACCTTTTTGTACTGTTCGGTTTATGCAAGGGCCTTGTTTTGGTTTTCCTCAAGGCCTTGTTTCATCTCTTTCCTTAAAAACTCCTCTTGACTCTTATTCACTAAGGCCATATTCTAGTATAAATACTTTCAATATCACTCAGCCCCACTTGGCCTAAAACATTGTTGTAGAAAGGTGCCAGTGTCCCCAATAAAGGACCACATGCTGTGGTCAGCTTGAAGTTGATTACATTGGATTTTAATGAAGTTTTTGCAGCAGATGAGTTCCAAGATGAAACTAGTACTGCAGAATAGACTAATGTCAGCTCTCTGTGTGTATGTTTAGTGTGTTTCTAACAGTTTTATATATATATATATATTTTTTAAATATGGCTAAAAACACAGTTTTAATGTTGAGCACATGAAAGGACAGTAGAGAGGTGGACTCTGCTGCCTGAATGGTCTGCAACATTTCTGTGGCTGTACCGATATGTCTGCCAAAACCTGTCACGAAATACAGACATTTTACATTCACCTTTGAAGTCTACAGGGGCTGAGTGATGTTAAAAGATCAATCTAAGTATTAATTGATCATGAATGACTTAGGAGGGGAATATTACTCCTTGGTCAGATATTTAAATAATCCTTTGATTCAATTTCTCCTGAATACCAAACCGTAACAATAAAAGTATAATAGTGTTTGACCCAGGTGTTGAAATTACACAGTTTGCCAACTGCTGCCTCAGTCACTCGTCTCTGATCATGTGCACTCCTCAAGGTCTTGGTGTAAATAAATATAGATACAAAGATTTAAGGTACTATGCAATAAAAGCATTTTCTGTGATAATAGTTTTCAGAAGAAATGGGTGGGGTGCTGTGATGGAGACACTGGCACAACAACAGTGGTGATGGTACCAGAGGACCATGCTCATCAGACATGAGTAGTGACATGGCTTAATTCTGTCTAGTTGTTGTTGTAATGATTTATCAGGAACCTCTCTCTGTAGATCCAGCAATGTAACCACAGTGAGGTTAGTTGTAGTCCAGCATTATTATGTATTTTTTTTAGACTTATTTCACTGTATTTGTCTTCACATTGATGCATCCATGCACTTTTTCTTACTGTTATAGTGTAAATAGAAAAATTCAAAGTGTTTCTTCTATATCATGTCATATTAATAATACTGTATGTGGAGGCCTTTACTGGCCTTTTTCTGTATATCTGATCAGCATGATTTTCAGCTGAAAATAAAATGAATGGTAATTATGCACTACTATGTGCTTCTACTACTTTGTAGTGTCCAGGATCAGCAACATTTGAGATTTTTTTTATTTGTTTGTTGAAAGTTACAGATGTGGGGACAACAGTTTGTATTAATGGCAAACCACCAGTTAAAGGGGACTGACTTGACTCTTGTTGTGAATGTTTTGCAGCAGGCGCCAGTGAGTCATTGCCTTTTCTGTCAAATTCCTTAGACAGAACAGACATCCTTCCTGCCATGTGCAGATTAGCTGGAAAAGTTTTTGTTTTTCCAGTAGTTAAGATGGGACCTTGTTTCACATACCCATACAGCCTGGTGATTGTTTTAGTATAATACTGTAGTGTTCTGGAGAGATGATGAAAGATACTTTCTTTGACAAGTTTGACAAGTCACCAATAGTCCATATTAGTTTTAAACAATTCAAAATTCATTTAAATTAATATAAAGGTGTATTTCACCATTATTTCTTTAAGTAATAAGACAATTTTGGACACAACCAAAACTCCTTGATTTAACAGGTATTTAGATATTATGTTGGAAATCTTTAAAGGTTAGTTATTCTTATTATTATATTATTCACCCAATTCAATTTTTAAATGTTAACTGTTGTTCCCTCATGCGGAACTAAAGTACGCCCGCAGTTCACACGGAACATTTTGAGGTCGTACCAGATAAACGGTGGTTGTATGCCTTGCTTGCTTGCTGAGGTCAAGTGAGACTAGTCCTGCTCATCAGGTATTTCAAATATGTATAGGTTATAAACAGTATCGATAGTTCAGCGACATTCGTTAAAAATCAATCAGCTGTCGTCAGTGTCGTTTTTATCTTGAGTGAGTTGTTTTCACAATCTAAATCCAGCTAATGGCTAGCTCCGGTTAGCCTTTTTACAGAGGAGCTGTAATGTGTTTGTGCTCTCCACTCAGTCCGTGCTGACAGACTTAAAGGGGTTAGTTTGTTCTGTAACCATCGGGGACAGGAGCTACTTCAGGTTCAATTGTAAGTAAACGAATTTCCCCTCTTGCAGGACAAACCAGATCGCGGAGGAGCTGCTGTAACAACAGATAATCATGGTGAAGAAAAAACAACTTCGTCTCATAGCAGAAATGGCTCGGAAGATCCGGGCATATCGGGAGCTCAAGTCCCGGCCACGGGAGTCCCAGAAGTACGCCCTGGACTATGACACGATGAAACGGCCCCTCACGGGGAAGAGGCTGCCGGTGCTGGCATGGCCCGATGTCCGCAGGGAGAGCCGCCTCTTCTCCCTGCTGGCGGGCATGAGGCTGTTCGGAGTGGGCCGCCTCTTCACCCGCAAGTCCTGGATAGAGGACCACACTGAGCCCTGCTACTGGCAGATCACCAAAGTCAAGGTCGACTACACATCTGAGGTGAGAGTGGGCCACATCCATGCACTGTGACAGTGTGTGAAGTCTGCATATTGTCATCATAAATAAGTGTAGAAAAGAATGTGGTGACTTAAACTCACTGCCAAACAAAGTCTGATATAATATGTCCTGTAATCAAAGTACAACTTGTTTCTTGTGGTTTCTAGAACATGGATCATGGCAAGGCATGGGGCGTCCTCACCTACAAAGGTAAGAGTGGACTCCTTATTCCAGAAAGCAGTTTAGGGAAAATTTTGAGTTTGTTAACCCTTAGATGAGGAACGGATGAGGTGTGACCAGGCATTTAATTTCTTCATACATACAGTCCACACCGGAGCACATTACTTGGCACAAGTTTACTTTGGGAGAAGAAGATCAAAATCTCAGTTGGGCACTAGTTTGTTAACCAAGCACTATCTTTACTAACGTGACTGCCTTTATGATCGATCTGTTTCAATTGAGTGTTAAGGACAGAGGCAGCCATTTCTTTCCTTACGATCAAATATTACACATGCTGGATTCATCCTCAGCTCAGAATATAATCTACACACTGTCCATCTTTATAATTGTGACTCTGTTTATTGAACAGTCTGATTTTTATCTACATCCGCTTCCCCTCTCTACTTGTGATTTTCTGTATTTACTCAGACGTCTTTATTTGTATTGCTCTAGAAAGAAACGGCATACTTGTGCTCATATAATCATCAAGTGATAATTATTCTCCAAACAAACTGCATGTGGTAACTTTGTTGTGTTTTGTGCTTGGCAGGAAAACAGGAGAGTGAGGTCAAGGAGGTGGACAAGGTGATGTACCATGACTGGAGGCTGGTTCCCAAACACATAGAGCAGCAGTTCAGGGAATTTGAGCCACTCCCTGAGCCACCTGTACGCTATGTCCCCTACCCCCCCCTGCTCCGCGCCATGATGCTGGCCCAGCACAAAAAAGCAACAGGCACAGTACTGGCAGAGGAGCCTGCCTTACCTTTAAAGAGGCACGTCCAGCTCAACAAAGACTATTTCCGCAGGCAGGAAGAAGAGAGGCGGAGCAAAGAGGGGACAGCGGTGTGATACTCCTCTGTGAATATGGTTCGCTAATCTTGGACATTATGGACCAGATCAGTGTTGATAGAAGAGGTCAACTTCTTCTGTCCGAGTACATTTGAAGCCCTTGCCTCAAAGTCCTGATAAGTCCTGGACTCAAATGAATTCTCTGCTATTTTCATCCACAGCAGGCCTCTCTGTGTGTAATATGTATCTGTGTAATGTGCTAAATATTAAATCTGAGGTAAAATAAGTACACTCTAAGTCTCTTTTTGTGCATGCATTATGGACTACCTCAGCCTTGTAGCATTGAGAAGGCACAGTAAACACCCAAACTGGACACACAATTCAGACATGACAGGCCTATATTCTGTCATGATGTTGTAATATCGAAACACCTTGATATCACCTTTTTTGTGCCATCAGTGAGAAGGCAGTGTCAGCAGATTTGACCATTGACCACACAGCCAAAATATGATTCATGTAATGTGAAAGGCTAAACACCCATAGTCTTTAATGCCCACGTTTAATGTGTCCTGCTTGTAAATGTACCTCATGATTATGGGGTAAATAAGCAGTTTTACGTTGTGTGTGTAGTCTGTTGGCCAAGGGAAAATTGATCTCAGTCCTGATATACAAAAACAAATTGGAGATTTTTTTTACAATCCTATTGCAATATTAAACGTTAATAATCCCTGATTCTATAATATTGCTAGTAATTACTGCACAGTTATGATTTTAGTTCAGAGTTTATCCATTGCATTACTGTAAAATTTTCATATCTACATTCAAGGTTCACTTATCCTGTATCAGAGATAATCACTGATGTGAGTCAAACATAGGCTACACTACACTATACTAGTTCAATCTGGAGAAACTAACAGAGGGAGAAGCTTAAAGAGTATTGGCTCACAGAGGCTGCCCTCACTCAGCTGATGGAGTTAATTTTTCATTTAGTTTCAAACCTTTATTGAAGCCTAGAAAATCAGAGGTTTGGCTCATTTGCAATGATGGCTAGAAAGAGAAATACTGTGTAAAAAAAATTCAAAAGGGGACAATACTCATTGAAAACAACTGCACACTGAGGTAAAGTGGCTTGAGATCATCATCTTGAATTGTACAGGAGTAGTGAGATTGTCGATCTTGAGAATGTGTTGTTGATAATTCCATGTGTTTGGTGCACAAGAACTAAAGGCAGAAGTTTATAATAAACCTGTGGGACTTGAAGGATAAGACAGTGAGAAGAACGAGTTTGGCAGGGTCCTGTGGTCCAGTCCAGCATAGATGCTATATCGGGTGGTAAATGTCCAATAATGACTTTATGGATGAAGACATACTCTGCGCCAGAGTGGATCAACCAACTTTGTTATACAGAATGTAATGGTAAGTGTCATAGGGATCTCTGTTAATGAATCTAAGGGCAGAATAATAAACTGTGGCTAGGGGTTTGAGAGTGGAAGCAGCAGCATGTCTGTAGATTATATCACCATAATTCAGGCCTGATAGAAAGACTGCGTCAACTATACTTTTCCTACAATTTGAAGGGAAATTTTTATGCCTTACTATACTATGACTTTTTTATGCCTTAATATACTATGACTTCTTTTATGCTTTACGATAATATTTGTTTTTATGCCTTACTATACCATGACTTTTTATGCCTTAATATACTATGACTTTTTATGCTTTCCTATACTATGTGGTTTTAAGATTTACTATACTATGACTTATTATGCCTTACTATACTTTGACTTTTTAATGCCTTGCCATACTATGACATTTTTATGCCTTACTATACTATGACTTTATTTATGACTTACTATACCATGACATTTTCATGCCTTACTATACTATGAATATTTTATGCCAATACTATAATATGGCATTTTTTATGACTTACAATACTATGATGTTTTATGCCTTACTATACTATGAATTTTTTTATGCCTTATTATACTATGACTTCTTTTATGCCTTACTATACTATGTGGTTTTCAGCTTTACTATACTATGACTTTTTATGCCTTATTAAACTATGACATTTTTATGCCTTATTATACTATGACTTTTTAATGCCTTACTATACTATGACATTTTTATGCCTTATTATACTATGACATTTTTATGCTTACCAAACTATGAACTTTTTATGCCTTACTATACTATGACATTTTTATGTCTTACTATAGTAGTACTTTTTTATGCCTTATTATATACTAATGGAACTTTTAATCCTTACTATACTATGACATTTTTATGTCTTACTATAGTATATCTTTTTATGCTTATTAATACTATGACTTTTTAATGCCTTACTATACTATGACATTGTTTATGGCTTACCATACTTTACTTTTTTTGCTTGTGGTTTTAAGCTTATATACTATGACTTTTATGCCTTATTATGCTATGACATTTTTATCCTTACCAAACTATGAACTTTTTTTATGCCTTACTATACTATGACATTTTTATGTCTTACTATAGTAGTACTTTTTTATGCCTTATTATACTATGACTTTTTAATGCCTTACTATACTATGACATTTTTAGTGACTTACTATAGGTAGACTTTTTATGCCTTATTATAGTACTTTGACTTTTTAAATCGCACTTTGGCCATACTATGACATTTTTATGCCTTACTATACTATGACTTTATTTATGACTTACTATACCATGACATTTTCATGCCTTACTATACTATGAATATATTTATGCCAAATACTATAATATGGCATTTTTTATGACTTACAATACTATGATGTTTTATTGCCTGTTAATAACTATGAATTTTTTTATGCCTTATTATACTATGACTTCTTTTATGCCTTACTATACTATGTCTGGGTTTTCAGCTTTACTGATACTATGACTTTTTATGCCTTATTAAACTATGACATTTTTATGCCTTATTATACTATGACTTTTAATGCCTTACTATAGATAAGATCAGTTTTTAAGCCTTACCAAACTATGACTTTTTTTTATGCCTTTACTATACTATGACATTTTATGTCTTACTATACGTAGTACGTTTTTAATGCCTTATTATACTATGACTTTTTAATGCCTTACTATAGCTATGACATTGTTTATGGCTTACCATACTTACTTTTTATGCTTGTGGTTTTAAGCCTTACTATACTATGACTTTTTATGCCTTATTATACTATGACATTTTTATTGGCCTTTACCAAACTATGACTTTTTTATGCCTTACTATATCTATGACATTTTATGTCTTACTATAAGTAGTACTTTTTATTGCCTTATTATACTAATGACTTTTTAATGCCTTAACTATACTATGACATTGTTTATGGCTTACCATACTTACTTTTTATGCTTTAACTATACTAATGTGGTTTTAAGCCTTACTATATTACTTTGACATTTTATGGCTTCTAATAAGTAGTACTTTTTATGGCTTATTATATACTTTGACTCTTTTAAATGCCTTGGCATACTATGACATATTTTATGCTTACTATACTATGGACTTTATTTATGTACTTACTATACCATGACATTTTCATTGCTTACTATACTATGAATATTTAGCTGCATACTATAATATGGCATTTTTTAATGACTTTACAATACTATGATGTTTTATTGGCCTTAACTATATGCTATGAATTTTTTTATGCCTTATTATACCTATGACTTTCTTTCTTATGTCCTTGACTATACTATGTGTTTTTCAGCTTTACTATATCTATGAAATTTTTATGCCGTTAATTTAAACTAGTGACATTTGTTATGCGCCTTATTATACTATGACGTTTTTAATGCCTTACTATAGCTGATGACAGTGTTATGCCTTATTATACGTATGGAACATTTTTATGCATTAACAAAGCTTATGAACTTTTTTATGCCTGTACGTATACTATGAACTTTTTTATGCCTTAATATACATGTTTTTTATGATTTCGTATACTGGATGTGGTTTTTAAGTTTACTATAACTATGCACTATATATGCCTTATATAGCTTTGACTTTTTAATGCTTGCCATTACTATGAACATTTTATGCCTTACTATAACTATGACTGTTATTATGAACTTACTCATACGCATGAACATTTTGATGCGCTTACTAATGCTTATGAATATTTTATGGCCAATACTATAATATGGCATTTTTTATGACTTATTACAATACTATGATGTTTGTATGCTTACTATAGAGCTATGATTTTTTTTATGCTTATTAATACTAGACTTTCTTTATGCCTTACTATACTATGTGGTTTTCAGCTTTAGCTATACTATGACTTTTTATGCCTTATTAAGACTATGACAATGTTTATGCTTAATTATACTATTGACTTTTTAATGCTTAACTATAGACTATGACATTTTTATGCCTTATTAATACTATGACCATTTTTAATGCCTTAACCAAACTATGACTTTTTTATGCCTTAACGTATATATGACTTTTGTAATGCTTAATATACTATGAACTTTTTTAATGATTTCCTATACTATGTGGTTTTTAAGATTTTACAGACTATGGATTATTATGCCTTACTAATAGACTTTGAGCTTTTTTAATGCCTTCCATACTAGTGACATTTTTATGCTTACTATACCTATGACTTTATTTATGACTTACTATACCATGAATGTTTCATGCCTTACTATACTATGAATATTTATGCCAACTATAATATGGCATTTTTTATGACTTACAATACTATGATGTTTTATGCCTTACTATACTATGAATTTTTTTTATGCCGTTATGTATACTATGACTTCTTTTATGCCTTACTATACTATGAACATGTTTTATGCCTTATTATACTGATGATTTTTATGCCTTATTATACTATGACTTTTTAATGCCTTACTATACTATGACATTTTTATGCCTTATTATACTATGACATTTTTTAGCCTTACCAAACTATGACTTTTTTATGCCTTACTATACTATGACATTTTTATGTCTTTACTATATAGTAGTACTTTTTTATGCCTTATTATACTATGACTTTTTAATGCTTTACTATACTATGACATTTTTATGGCTACCATACTTACTTTTTATGCTTGTGGTTTTAAGCCTTACTATACTATGACTTTTTATGCCTTATTATACTATGACATTTTTAATAGGCCCTTACCAACCTATGACTTTTTATGCCATTAGACTAATATGCCTATGACTTTTTAATGTTACTATATGAGTACTTTTTATGCCTTATTATATTGACTTTTAATGCTCCAACTATGATTTATGCCTTCAACTTGATATTTTGACTTACTATACGAATATGCTACTTTACGAATAATTTTATGCCAATGAGCTATAAATTGGCACTTTTTTATGACTTACAATACATCGATGTTTTATGCCTTTCTAATACTATGAATTTTTTTATGCTTTTATACTATGACTTCTTTTATGCCTTACTATAGCTATGGTGGTTTCACTTTACTATACTCTGACTTTTTGCATACGATGCTTGCTTATAATATACTTTAATGATTCATACTATGGATTTTATGCCTTATGTATACTATGCACTTTTTATGCCTTACCAAAAACTTGACTTTTTTATGCCTACTATACTATACATTTTTATGTCTGTACTATACGTATACTTTTTTTTATGCCTGTATATACTATGACTTTTTAATGCCTTTACGTATACCTATTGACATTTTTATGGCTACCATACTTACTTTTTATGCGTGTGGTTGTTAAGGCCTTACCTATACCTATGACTTTTTATGCCTTATTATACTATGACACTTTTTTATGCCTTTACCTAAAACTATGACTATTTTATGCCTTACATATACTATGAATTTGATGTCTTATCTAATTAGTAGCTACTTTTTTATGCCTTATTATACTATGAACTTTTTAATGAACTAGCTAAGCTACTGACATTTTATGGCTTGCTACTAGTACGTATTTTTATGCCTTATTATATAGGCGTGACTTTTTAATTGCCTTGCCGATAACTATGCACATTTATTTATGTCCTTGCTATACTATGACTTTATTTATGACTTACTAATCCAATGACGATTTTCATGCCTTACTATACTATGAATATTTTATGCCAATACTATAATATGGCATTTTTTATGACTTACAATACTATGATGTTTTATGCCTTACTATACTATGAATTTTTTTATGCCTTATTATACTATGACTTCTTTTATGCCTTACTATACTATGTGGTTTTCAGCTTTACTATACTATGACTTTTTATGCCTTATTAAACTATGACATTTTTATGCCTTATTATACTATGACTTTTTAATGCCTTACTATACTATGACATTTTTATGCCTTATTATACTATGACATTTTTATGCCTTACCAAACTATGACTTTTTTATGCCTTACTATACTATGACATTTTTATGTCTTACTATAGTAGTACTTTTTTATGCCTTATTATACTATGACTTTTTAATGCCTTACTATACTATGACATTTTTATGGCTTACCATACTTACCTTTTTATGCTTGTGGTTTTAAGCCTTACTATACTATGACTTTTTATGCCTTATTATACTATGACATTTTTATGCCTTACCAAACTATGACTTTTTTATGCCTTACTATACTATGACATTTTTATGTCTTACTATAGTAGTACTTTTTATGCCTTATTATACTATGACTTTTTAATGCCTTACTATACTATGACATTTTTATGGCTTACCATACTTACTTTTTATGCTTTACTATACTATGTGGTTTTAAGCCTTACTATACTTTGACATTTTTATGTCTTACTATAGTAGTACTTTTTATGCCTTATTATATACTATGACTTTTTATGCCTTACTATACTATGACTTTTTTATGACTCACTATACTATGACTTTTTTATGCCTTACCATTCTGACTTTTTATGCTTTACCACACTATGTGGTTTTTAGCTTTACTGTACTATGACTTGTTATAGCTTAATCTACTACAACTTTTTTATGCCTCACAATACTATTAAATGTTTATGCCTTACTCAATGATGACTTTTTATGCCTTAGTATAATATGATTTTTTATGCCTTACTATACTATGACCTTTTTATGCCTCACTAAACTATAACATTGTTTTTAAATTGAATTCTGTATGTATGTATATTATTTTCTTAATAATTTTTTATTAAATTCAAACATGCATATCTTTTATATCTACATATATAATATGATGATATACTGACAGGCTTTGGGATGGATATATAATAATGTAACATATGTTTGAAATATAAACAGACGTACTGAAATACATACATACAAATATTGTTCCAATTTTAACAGATTTCATATGCAGTTCTTACATATATAGGCAATACTTTAAATACATATATGATTTTACTTCACGTGTACATATATTTCATATATGGAAATTCAACACATGTACATATATTACAGTTGCCCATGGGCATTCCTGAATGTAAATTCAGAACTTATATGTTAATAACGTTAATAATAATAATGTTAATAATAACAATAATAATAATAATAATAATGATGATGATAATGTTGACGGCATTAAAAAGCCTATCTCTTTTTTTGCGTCCCTACCAACGTTGAGACTAATCCTACGCCCATGTATCTGTCAGTAACCTGTTCAATTAATCAACTAATCATTTCAGCTTTACAGCACTGGTTTATTGCTTGCAAATAATTTAACTGTCAGTGGGAGGTGAGTAGGGATCCGGGACCCCCTAGAAGAACTTTGCTGAACAGGATAAAAATGTGTCATCGTTTGAGTGAACTACATCATACAATGACTAAGCAAACTTTTTTTTTTTTTTTTTTAACTCATTATCACTTAATTTTTGCTAATTTTATTTTACCATGTCTAGGGTTTTTCTCTTCTCATCGTTAATAAGCTTCCATAACTTGTATTGGGATTGGCTGGGAACACCCGCGTGCCCGAGTTCAGCGGAGCATTCCTTAACAACGTGCGTGTTTACGTATGTGCGTCCTCCTTGCCCTGCTCCTTCCCAGAGAGTGTGCTCGTGCTCCGTCCACCGGCGACAATGATCTGCCTGTTTCTGTCCATATTTGCTAACATCTTTCAGTCAGGTTGGTGTTATATCTGTTTACAGCTCATCAGTCACTCAGCGGCTCTTCAGTGTGATTTTCACAACGGTTAATGTGCTCACAGTTTCCACCATGTGAGAGCGGGAGCCGCACACTCACCGGGCAGACGCCTCGGCTAGCTGCTACAGAGGGAGCAACAATGGAGGCATGAAACCTTCACAAACTTTCTTAGAGTCTTTGTAACTAATGTTATGAGTCGCACGCACGTGTGAGGTGTGACTAACAACATCCAAACTGCGTTTTAGTTACAGATGATATTGAAAGACCTGATAGCATGCAGTTTTCGTGGCACAAATACTAAACCCCGTCCTTGTGTGGCTGAAACTACAGCTAGCTACTAATCTAGCACTAGTGTAGTCAATATGTCCTATTAATAGCTCAAGTGGCGCCTGTGAGCGCTGACAGGCAGCTGCAGGAGGAGCAATGCAATGGGCCCGAAAAAAAGGTCACAGCGAGATCTACATAAACTTGAGGATTTGGTGGTTAAACATGCACGGATCGGAGAATCTGGTGAGACATACAACAGGCAAAGATTAAATGAAATGTAGCCAACTGGGACTGTGAGGTTTGTTGCAATAGTATGTGTGTGTCTTCCACAGGTCTGTGAAAGTAACATTTATGAATTAATTAGTGGCTTGTAAAACTAACAAATATCAGGTTATCTCTGGAGATGCATGTAGTTAAAACCGTTTGAGGGTATTTATATGTGTATCCTCAGGGTGCAGAGGAAACTGGTGAACACTGGCTGTCTTTGAACATGGATTATACCCTTATAAATGCACAAATAAATACAGCTGTCACTAATGTCTGAGTTGTCATCGACCACACAGAACTTCTTTGTGTCAGCTGTAGGTTCATTTCAATGCTTTTGCAATTTTCTTCCTCACTATCCCCTATATTAATGACATTAGTGATCTCCTTCACTGCCGATACCAAAGTGCATGCATGTTCTAGGTTGTGTGTGGTGTGGTGGCCCATTGCAGTTCAAACACAGTAGAGGTTGGTTTTTCCCTTCATTTTTGACATATGTTATCTCTGGTTCTAGGGTGGACTGGGGTGAATGAACGCACCTTCATTGCTGTGAAACCTGATGGCGTGCAGCGGAAACTGGTGGGAGAAATTGTGCGTCGCTTTGAGAAGAAGGGATTCAAGCTGGTGGGCCTCAAACTTATTCAGGTATGTGGGATGTAGGTCTTTTATTTCCCCTAAAAACATTCTCCCTGAATGGTTTAATTCCCTGAATTATTTAGGCTAGTGTAATAATCTTTAAATTGAATATGTGTCTGTCTATCAGGCATCGGAGGACCTTCTAAGGGAACATTACTGGGACCTGAGGAGTAAACCCTTTTTCAGTGGACTGATAACCTACATGAGCTCAGGACCAGTTGTTGCAATGGTGAGACAACATGAATGTTTTGTGAAGATGTGGTGCCATCACTCCTTGGTGATATTGTCCTTTGTGCTGCAGTCATGTACACTTCTGTATTTCAGGTGTGGCAGGGTCTGGACGTGGTTAAAACTGCGCGTAAGATGTTGGGAGAGACCAACCCTTCAGACTCGCTGCCGGGAACTATCCGGGGAGATTACTGTGTGGAAGTAGGCAGGTAAGCTCACCGGGGAGATTTATATTTTATGCCATGAACAGTCACAGTTGACTGCATCCTTGACAATATGCACATCTGCATATAATCCGATTGGTTGGTCATTACGGCTACAAACTGACCAATCAGAACACGGCTATAAATCCACGGTCAAAAAGGTCAAGGTCAAGGTGACCTAACAAAATACATTTTGACCTTGTGAACACAATATATCGGGAACTCCTCCTCAAGGGAATCCCCTCAAATTTGGTACGAATGCTCACTTGGATTCAAGGATGAACTGATTAGATTTCGGTGGTCAAAGGTCAAGGTCATTGTGACTGCACAAAATATATTTTAGCCAAAACTCAGGAAGTCATGCAGCAATTATGAGTTATACTCAATGGTTAATATTTTATTTGAATCTTGAGAAACAGGAGTATAACCTGAAGCTAGTCTGAGTGGCAGAGGCATACAACCAGGCGGTAATTCTAGTTTCTGTCTGTCTGCGTGTCCTGATCCTTTCTGTTTTGGCTCTGCGTTGCAGGAATGTGATCCACGGCAGCGACTCTGTGGTGAGCGCCCAGAAGGAAATCTCTCTGTGGTTTCGTCAGAACGAGCTTCAATGCTGGGAGGACAGCAGCAGCCACTGGATCTACAACTGATGGTCTAACAATCCACTGTCTGCACATCTTCCTCTAGGTAAACCAGTGGGTTTTTTTCATGTTAGTCTCATTACAAGATGGATCACATCATACCTCAGAGGAATATTTTGGCTTTATTAGCTTGTAGCCACATGAGATGCCGTGTCATTGCTGCCTTGCTGGATCTCTCGCTGCTCCTTTTTTTCATACATATTTGTATCTAGAAGTAGAAGTATTTCCGAGGTGAAATGATTTTACGAAGCAAAAATGCACTAAATGGGCAATAACTTGACAGTGTTGGCTTCTGTTACAGTTTTCATTGTAGTTTTTGTTTAGTCAAGAACACTAGCTCATGTTTACAGTTTGAAGCAATAAGCTTGGATTTGAACCAATAAAAGGTCAGGATTCATAAGGTTTCATTCAAAGGTACAGGAAACTTCCACATTTTTTCCATATCAGTACACAGGTGAAATAACATCAAATCGCCTCTGTGCCAGTGATGACTATGGCTGGATGACTCAATTAAATACAAAAATACGATAAAATGCTGAAGATCAACTTCAGTGTGACATCATAATGTTCTGTGAAAACACTTCTGGCCATTATTCAAAGCCATAACACTGAACAGAAGGGGAGATAGTGACCATATTTCCTGCAGTTTGACTGGTCTGCAGAGGCATAAAACAGCAAGGCAGTGATTCTAAGGTAAAAAATTTGCCAAATGTGCACGTTTCTTCTGTAATAGTCCTTGCAATGAAAACCCCCAAACATGGGAGCAGTTGATAAACATTAAACAACACCATTATTGCCTTTTTGCACGATGATTTTCAGTTTCCTGTACCTTTTTTAAAAAAAAAAAAAAAAAAAAAAAAATTCAAATCCTGTAAGGGTGTAAAAACAGATCACATCACTTGAAACTACTTGAATACAGTTGTGGATGTAAGTTTTAAAATATGATGCCTAATAGCTTTCCTGCTTTTAATATGGTTTTGTAATTTCATCATGTCAGACTCAGTGAACAAATATCTTGTTTTATAAAAAATGTGATTTTTCCATCACCCAGCTGGTCACATTCATGCTTTTGTAAAACACCTGCAATGATGCCGAATGGATTGTATTGGAATTGTCAAAAACAATAAATCTGATCTTGAAATCCTTTTTTAATATGCTGTTTATTATGTTTCAGTGTCTTGCAAAGTGAGAGACATGCACCACACGTCAACTTAACTTTCAGCACACAAATATGTTTAATATTTAATCCACACAGATAGAGATCAATGCATGAATTTCCATACTGAACAAAGAGGATGGGCTTCAGTGTGTCTGGAGATTTACAATAATGCCTGTACACATACTGACAACATGCCACCGTTCACCTGCTTTACACCAAACCGTCCGATCGACAGCCAGTCAGATGAGAGAAATGAGTTTCGGACCGAACTACTGACAAGTTAAACTCAAACCCTCAACCTCGCTCACATGATTTAAACATGTTGACATGTTCTGACCTCACCGAACTGAGTCCTCTGACCTTTGATTTACATCAGGCTGCTGCACGTACACCAGATATTTCCTCTCACTTTGAGGTCAGTAACCACACTGATGCAAAATGTCCTTAACCAGGACATTTTAAAATAGAGGCAAGATGGGGGGTGCAAAATATTTGGGGTACCAACCCAAAGAACCCAGACTTTCAAGCTGAATTTGACATGTAGTAATTTTAACTTTCCACTTGTTCCATGTTGACTTATTTTCACTTACCCTCAAAATTTCCACAACAACGTTAACCATCTGCTACAAGCTGAAAGCCAAAACAGCATTTCTGTATGGTGTCATAGCACCTGACATCTGCATCCACAAACTCCCAATATCTTAATATCTGTGAACAATCAGGGTCCATGTCATGCCATAAATGGTTATGGATTGCTGATTGGTTGTTAGAAAAATCAGATAAATATCTGGTGCAAATGCAAGTCAGTGTTGTCATTCACTTTTTTTTTTTTGGTACAAGTGTTGCATGTTGGGGCTCTGGGCTTTGCTTTAAGACAAGGTGGAGGCTTCACAGATGACAAACTAAATGGAGGAAGAGGAGGAGTAACTGTGGGGCAGATGCAGGACAGTTGAGGTAAATATAGGAGAAGATACAGTGTGCTTACAGGGTGAATATAAGATCGATACAGAGGAGGGAGGTAGTTATGAGGCTGGGTTACAAGGCTCATGAAGATAGTTACAATGCCCTGGGTGGGACAGACAGGATGGCAGGCAGATTACTAGATCAGAGGAGGTACTTACAAGGCATTAAAGTTACAAGGTGACGGGGCAGGAGGGGATATAATAGTTATAAGGGACGAAACACAGCTTGGAGGGTCATTTTAGAGCCAAGGGGGAACTTTTACTTGACCAGGGATAATTACAAGGTTTAGGTGGCTGGAAGCTTTTGGGTGCAGGAGGAAGAGGTTTCTTTAAGGAGGTGGGTGGGGCATTAAAGCAGATCCAGGTGTCACTCAGGCACGTAAGACACCTGCCAGACGATGATGTGGCTCCGCTCAGCTTTGCACAACGCAGGTTTCATTTGCGAAGCCCCACCGCTCTCTCCTTCCTCTGTCTCATCGTCCTCTCCGTCCCCTGAGGAAAAATAAACAATAAAAACAATCAAGAATTGAAGAGCCATGCTGAATTTCCACAGTGAAAAGATACAAAATTTAATTGTGCTGATAATGTTAACAAAATATGAGAGATTATTTATTTCTCTATTTATTCACTTATTTGTTCCTTTTAAACCAACATTTCAACATAAAGACATTACATCTGTATTAAATATTAAACAGGAAATTATTTAATATATTTATTTAAAGAAAAATTTTAAATCATATCACAATGCTATTACAAGAATGGTGCTAGTGTAAGCCGTGTAAAATTACCAAACTGCATAATTTAGTTCCATTTTACATGAAACATTAACATCAGGACTGGTGATATTAAAAACACTACTGTCAAATTTGATTATTTTATTCTGAATTTTTTTTACAGGAAGCCTTAGTATGGTGTTTTGGCTGTGGAGATAACAGTTGAACTTGGTGGAGTTAGAATCAGTGTTGGCTGACCTCCAGTGGTCAAAAAAAACCTAATGATTGTTAATAGACTCATATCAACTGTGAAAGTAACACACAGCAGAGGAGTGTATCATGAGTGCTCACTGCACAGTGAACCTTGTAATAATGAGTTATAAATAGGGAAATGAACACTATGGCTGTGTCTGAATTTACTCCCTATTTACCACACACCACATTCACTGTTCGGGTGTCTGAGTGGGTAAATCTGCTACACAGTGCCCTCAGAAATTCCACAGTTGAACGAAGAAAGTTGTTTACATGGCATGGACGTTCTGCCAAAAATCCCATAATGCACTGCTCCTCATTTTAGGGATGTGAAAATTACTGCTGTCAGTGATGACGATAATGATGATTACTAAGTGTCTGAAATCCCCACATACTGCTCCCTACTGAGTAAACTACTGCATGTCCATTATATAGGGAGCAGTGAATGAATGAAGAAGGGGGAGATTTCATATACAACTTGTGTTTACAAAGACAAATAAAGATAAATATTTATTTACTTCATTTATATCTTGTATCCCTTAAAAAATATCTACATGCAACACATAATTTAAATATTTTTTTTCAATTCAGTCATAGCTCTGCTGTTGTGTCACACACTTACACCTAATACATGTGTGTGGTGTCAGGTTGATATGCAGGTGTGGCTGCTCACCTATACGGAAGTCAATGTAGCCCTCTCCTCCACTCAGCACCAGCACGTTGTGAACACTCTGGGCCTCCGTCTCTGGGGGCGCTGTGGAGCCCTGCCCCTCTGATGGACTGTCCAGCACGCTGCCGTTTAGGGTGGCCAGAACATTGCCTGTCACATACACATGAGGGGAGTGTAGTCAGTTATAGACATGCGTGTGTGAGTGAATGCAAATACCCTAATAAAAAAGAATAATAAACAATGTCTGATTTGACTAAATGTACTGAGTAAACATTCTTCATAAAGTCCAAGAAAAGAATTTTATCTATTTTCTTCAGCTGAACCAAATGATTATCCATTAATCAATTACTACCACATATTTACATTGTAATGCAGGATTGTAAAAGGTATTTTACAAAGCACCTTTCAGTCTTTTTTGAGACAACTTTAGAGGACATTCGTCTGTTTGGCATAAGACAGATGTTACCTACTTTAAATCTGGAGGCAAATTCCTGTGTGTGAATCAGACATGGCTAATAGGGGGTTTCAAAAAAATACACTGGATTCAGAACCAAAGCAATGAACATGAGTGTGTTATCAGCAGACTGACAGACGTTGTGAGTACCGGGTACAGAGACGAAGAACTTGACAGCATCTCGGTGTCCATGAAAACAGAGCTGGGCCTGTGCCATGGAGCAGTAGGGGATGAAGCTGCCGCTGCTCTTCTCAGAGCCGTCGTCACCGTACACGTGGATTACTCCGCCGGAGGATGTCGGAGACACCTTATTGGCTGAGGGGGAGGGAGTCCAGGAGTGAGAAACTGACCAACCGGCAATGTTTACTGGCAAATCATACGCAGTGGCATGACACAGGCAAAAAAAAAAAAAATATTCCCAGGAAAAACACCCATAATACCCAACAACCAAAAATGAAAAAGGTTTTTAGAGTAACTCAAAGTTTAAAACAGCTAAAGCACCCCATTGCATGCAATGGATCTGGTACACACAAATATATCTTTTAGTCATTGATGCAATAACTCACAATAATAAATATCATGCAAAGCAACCAATGTGTAAAAGAGCTGTTCTGATATAAGTATAAAAATAAATAAAATGATTGCGCACACAATACTTTTGGTGACCATCAACTAAATAGTCACAGATATGAGAGGACTTATTCAGTGTTGGGTATGTGTCCTCACTGCAGAAGCTTTTAGAAACAGGTGGCTGTTGCAGCACCACAGAAGAGGTCTGCAGACATGAGTTTCAGGGAACATGAAGGTTTGACCGGGTGAAGGCGGGAAAGAAAAGATCACAGCAGCAGGAGGTCGGGAGCGCTCCCACTTACCCCTCAAACCCAGGAGCTGTCCCCGGTGAAGGACCACCGCTACAGGAGGCGGAGGAGGAAGAGGAGGAGGAGGAGGAGGGGGAGGAGAGCAGAGGAGAGAGAGGACAGTAACAGTAATAGTTACAACTAAGACTGTGAGAAAGAGGTGAAACCACCGAGGGGGAAAGGAAAGAAAACAGAGGGTGGAAAAAAGACGAGGACTTCACGGGGAGAAGAAGGAGTGAGCTAAAGAAGAACACAGATAAACAGCACTGACGTAGGAGAGGGTTTGAGTCACGGAAAACTGCAGACATCCGACTGGTCAGTTCAGGCTACCTAATGAGATTTTAGATTTGAAACAACTTGATAAGATTTGATCATGAAGTTTGCACAGTCTATGAAAGACATGTGCACCCATTAGCTAAATTTCACATTATCTACTGAATCAAAATAGTTGAGAATTTTCAAAGGCATGGCCTGTTTGTCTCTAACTATGTTAGTGGTGCAAATTTCCATCTACACCACATGGTTCACGTGGTGTAGATGGAAACATGGTTTTATATCTAATTTTTCACTAAACTATAATCAAAGTAATATCCAGACACACAAGCAAATGGAGTCACAAAATAACCTCCATGGCAGAGGAAACTAACACTGTCGCGAGAAGACCAAATGCATTTATCACTGTCCAAGTGGTTTGTGTGGTTTTATGTGGTGTTAGTGGAAAGACAAAGATGCTCATTTTCCCTTTTCTTCCAACCGGCCGGTAATGTTTACAGTTTGGATTTTTATTTGCAACTGAGCTCATGAACGACTTTTCCACCTGTTTTGTTGTGTGGCCCTTGTTGTAAGCTGTATACATGAAACTCACTTTCTGTCAGTGGGATGGAGATGATCACACCGTTTCCAGTTCCAACCCAAAGACGATTTCCACCAATCAAAAGTGCTGTGATTCGCACAAAAGAGAATCCCAGTTTGCCAGTTCCTGTGAATTAAAACCAGAGTGAGTGCAATAAGATTGGCTGCATTAAATCCAGGATATTAAAAAAAAAACACTGAATCTAGCAGATGAAACAGTACAATAGTTAGAATCAATCATCTCTGTTAAGACACGATTTCCCCTAAAAGAGGACGTAATCTCACCCAGCATCTTGCTGACATATGGCTCAATGTCCACATCCTGGAGGTGCTGATGTGTATGAGCATGGTAGAGACGTAGGGTCGAGTCAAGCCGGATCGACACCCACACTCCATCACCGATCCATGCCAGCTGCCGCACCTGGCTTTCCCTGCGAGGGTGGGCGTCGAAGGACTTCTACAGTGAGGAAAAAGAATCACATCAAACTGCTGCACCATGAAAACAAAAGCTGATTGTTGGACTCATTTGTGAGCATGGATTCATAACTCACCTCGATCTGCATGCTCTTGGGCTGGATGACGTGGATCTTGTTCTTGTAGCCGCACCACACCTTGTCGTGGACGACAGCCATGCAGCGAATGGAGTGATGAGGCCGACCGAGGTCCATTAGGTGGTAGTTGGACAAATCCCACTGGCCATCTGTTGATAGAAACACACACACAGACACAGAACTGACAACAGAGCCCGATTGCATTCATGACTACACAAAACACACTAAAAGCTTTGTGTCTTGCTGATCAATTATGCTATGATACAAAACAACTACAACCATCCATTTTAAACAGTATGATGTGTGTCACAGAACTGATTTCCTTTGGATTACATGAAGCCTGAATGGTGGTAAGGCTAAAGATTGAGGCTGCGTTTCCTCATTCCTGGATCCAACTAAAATGTTGGTGTATAGGAGCAATGTTGAAACAAATATTTAAAATACCCTCTGATCTATGGAAAATGGCGAGGGTCCCATCAGCGAGGGCAACCAGCACACGACCTTTCACGTGCCTGCAATTGGAGAGAAAACAAAGACTGTTGGCCTCACAGAAATTCATGGAAAGACTTTCTGATTCTGGATTCCCAACTACATAAAAACAGAGCCTGCACCACTTACACCAGACTGAGCACCGAGTCTTTGAGTTTGATGGAGTGGAGACACTTCTTCCAGTTTCCCACAGCCGAGTGGACATAGAGCCTTGAGGTAAAACAGAGCCAAGTTACTGCAAGTACAGTTCTCAGGCATGGCGTGACATTTATGTGTGTATATTAGATGGTTCAGCTGAGCTGCTCACCAGCCGTTCTGGGCCCCGAGCCACATGGTGGGGGCCACACTCGTGTAGTTTTTGGCCTCTTCACTTCCGTCCTCTGAATCTGGAGGCTGAGACGTTTCCTCTTTGGACTGACCTGCATTTCTGTGAGGACAGACAACAAAAAGTATTTTTTTAAATTTTCAAAATGGAGAACCTGGACATCTTTTGGTGATGTGATAAAGGTAATAATTGTATCCCTTATCAAATGTATACATAGGTTTATAGGGTTTAAGTAATTCCTGATGCCATTCCTGTCTTTACATGGACAGACTTTGACCTCTTACCTGTCAGAGGCGTCTGCGTGACGAGGCTGGGGATCGGTGAAGACGTGCTCAGTAAACGGTCCTGGAGGTCCAGATCCCATTTCTATGTGGCTGGCTGTTGACTCAGGAACCTCGGTGGCCTCTGTGGCTTCCTCAGCCGACTGTGCAGGGTGAATCTTCGCATGCATGGGGGGAGCAGTGGGGGCTAAAGCAGAACACCATTGAAATAAGTAACAGACCTATAACCTTGAGCCCTTTTCTATGATAATATAAAGATGCAGGAGTCTTCCTGATGTGCTCACCTTGACCTTTGTCCATTATGGGGGTGTCAGTGCGTGAGGAGCAGTTGCTACGAGCAACGCTGCAGTTGGTGGCGCAGCCTACGAGAGTGATACCTGCCAACATGCCCTCCACACCACCAGTGTCCTCGCCTCCCCCTGCACCTCCATCCCCTGGATCCAACACGATCTCTCCTGCTGGATAGTCGCTCTCACTGGCAGCTGAACGACCACATAAACAAAAAGGGAAAAGAAGGAAAACCATCAATTGAGTCACAATGCAACTGAAAGTGCAAAAAAAAAAAAAAAAAAAAAATCGTACCTAAAAATGTTTCTCTGGGGCTCGGAGGTGCACTCTCTGTCTTACCTGGCACACTGGAGATGCAGAGCACGTGGGCATTGCAGACGTTGAACTGGTCGACCAGTGAGCCCGGCTGGTTGGCGTCGATGATGACCACCTTGCTGGCAGAGTGGGTGCTGGTGAGTATCCACACTCGACTGCTCATGGTGTCTGTCTCTTGGAGCTCCTTTGACTGGGAGAGGGAGGGAGAGAGAGAGAGAGAGAGAGAGGAGGATATGACACAATGACAGCTAACTGAAAAAGGATAGACATGGTTCATCTGTTAAAAAAAACAAACAACGCAAAGTCCTTGATATTTCTGTGTCGTTTCATGTGTGAACTGCACTTTGCTAATAATATAATTCAAAACTTTCACTTTTCACTTTGAAGCAGTGTTCGTCAGTTTACCTTCCTCTTCTCTGGGGAGGTGTGGCTGTTCTTCTTCTCAGCTCCGTCTTCCTCAGCATGCAGGGGGTCGCTGCTGCCTGACAGCACTTTGGCTGGTAGCGACTCCTGGCTGCTGGCCCTCCATCCTGTCAGGTCCACTCCTGCTGCACACCACAGCTACAAACCCACGCAAACACAGATGCAAAAAAAGATATAGGATGGAACTGGCCACACACAAAAGCTGCTGCCCCACAGTGTCTTTTTAAAAAGTTATTATAACTTTGGTTCAGGTATTTAGACTATGCCTTGTTCTAACCTAGTCTGACATGTTGTCCCCACCCTGAGTCTTACTACCTGGTTCCTCCCCTCCTGGCCCACTCCCATCTTTCATCCACCCTCTGATCTTCTCCTTGTGCTCACCCCTTTTTGGGACACAATCTTAATGTCACCCTCAAATATCCCACCTGACCGTCTGGTTGTCCCAACTGTCCCCAAAGTGCTCTTTAATCAACCTATACCACCGTCCCTTGGAGCGTCTGTGCAGACTGTTGTTCTGGCTCAATATGGCGCCCACCAACTGACACGATGGCAGCACGTGGTAAAGAAAGAAACGCTACAGACACATGCAGCGCTGCAGAGAAGTGGGTGTGAACTTGTGACTTGTCAGCCTCCATATTTCCCCCATTTATACCTCACCTTCCTGTTGGGGTCCTTCTCTACCAGAGGGCGACAGTACACAGGGACGGGAACATTCTTCATGCGGTTATCCTCTTTTTCATTGGTGGTCTAAAAGCAGAGGTAATGAGAGGTCAGGAGACAAGAAAAGTTGTGAATTATGGTCTGGTTCCCTCAGTACATCTCCAATGTTACTGGGCACTGATGAAAACAAAGAACATTCAGTGTTTGTCTATGTACTGTATACATGTACAGTACATACACCGCAGGCAATAAAAGGAAAACTCCACTGATGTCGCCGATCTGCGATGTTGTGCTCATTCATCTTAACTTTTGCTTCAGTTTCCTGTATTTTCCCACAAGGCTACTGGACCATCCACAGAGAACTTAGACATAATACAAGAGGATGGAGAGCGTAAAAGAGTGTCATGTCACCTCTGTACAGAATGCTGTTTATGATGGATTTATTGCTCCAGTGCATAAAGGTTCAAAATGGTGCTTTCAGAAAGAATCCTTCACTGTTTGATTGTGGCACCAAAATGTGATTTTTTTTGGCAATTAAACTCCATTGTAGCTGCACTGTAAATGTGCTGATGCAATATAACATCATCAGAGGTAAGATAAAATACACCACCCACAAATAAGCCACATGAATGCAAGGTAGCCATCACTGATCATATGTCAATTCATGCTTTATGTTAAAGCCACTATGTGGAAGACTTCAACAATTCCTCGCTTTAGAGGCATCTGGTGTTGGTCAGTAGGCTGAGAGCAGCAACACATACATGACTGCACCAAGTATTTTAGAGTGGATTTTTCCTTTAAGAACAACACCAAAGTCAAAGCAGGACTAAGTAAGTGTTGACGAGATCAATGTGTATGTAGGGCAGGTTGAGACAGACAGAGGTTAAAAGTTAAAAGGTTGAAAAAACATTGGCAGTGTTTAGGAGTTTATTTGAGTGGGTGTGTGTGTGTGTGTCTGTAAGTGACATTTGTTTGTGTTGTATGAAAGACAGGGATGCTGACTCATACCATGCTTCAAATGAGCAATTTCCCCTCAATTTTCATGCATTTTCAGAGTTTGTTTCATGGCAAACTTTGCCGTACTTTAGTTAAAAATTTTGTTGTCATTATGTAGATATGTATTCAGTTATTTGTCTGTCTAGTTATATTTGCAGGTATTATTTATCTGCTGCTATCTAGGGGTTAGGGTTTTAGGGAGAAGGTCAAAGGGAGAGGAACCGTAAAGGCACATGCTGGCACTCTGTCGGTCTCACTTGCCTGTTGTCTCTTCAGCGGGCTGTCCTGAGCGCTGTCCGTCTGACCACCAGTCTGTGGGAGACCAGAGTTAGAGCCACCTGCCTACCAACACACTCTGCCCTCTGGCCTTTGAGCTGCACGGCGTCAGCCCCTGATTCTGGCAGTTAAAGTTGAAGCTGCACTTCGATGTTATTAGGTCATGTTTATGCTTGATACCAAAATGGAAAAGACTGAAAGCTTTTACTATTCTTACCGAGACTCGAGATATTTTCCTCATCTTGAATAAATAGCATAAAAGACCAAAACCAGCAATGACTTTATCCAACTAATACACTTTGTCTGTGCAGACAAAGCCTCATATATCTCCAAGCACCAAGTTTGTATTAATCCACAGCTGAAAATAGTTCCAAACAAATGCACTATTTCCTCCAGATAAAGTATTGTTTTGCTTACTGAGCCTTAAAAAAAATCAGACTCTGAGAGACTGAGGACTAACTCGTTACTGGTTTTGGTCTTTTCGTGGGTTTTGCTAACAAAGAGAAAAACACAGAACAGCAGCATCCTTATCCTTTAATAGGACTACATATGAGGTTTCGCATGATTTTTAAATTGATGAAAATCAACAACTCTTCTTACACGTGGTATCTATACTCTGTTAGTTATATATCAATCAACCAATTCTATCTGGGAGATAGTAAATCATTCAAAAATCTTATGTTTTTATTTTGGTGAAACTTGGATGCAAAGGATGCAAACATCTGCTCCTTTAATTTGACCAACACAAGGGGAGTATAGACATGACCCAGCAGGCACAGTCAGAACAATCTTCATGGTTTAATTCTGCTTGCTGGTCCTTACAGCCTGGGCCAAACAAAAACAGCAGGCCGCATTAATCAGCAGTCTGATGGGAGAGCTGACTCACAGTCACTTTCAGCTGTCATATCAATTATTTAATAATGGACCTTGGGAAAGCATTTAGACACTTAGTAAGTAAAAATCTTCTTCTCTGTCTTCTCACGACATAAACAGCAGAAGACAATAAAAGGCCACAGACTCACGGAGAAGATTTGTTACTTGTTAGGATAACTACAAATTTGAATCGCTATTTTCTAAGTATATATGATTATTTCACAAGCAATTTCACCTCCCTGGCCGTCAGTAACCCAAACAACCGGTGGGATATTCTCCTCATGTGAACTGAGTTGTCTGTGTCTTTTTGTCGTGTTCAAAAACCACCCCACTCGGTGAAAAACCCCTCCAGGTTTCTCACCATGTGGGGTGGTTTATGTGTGTGTATGTACCTGTTTGAAGCGAGACGGCACACTCCAGCCGCAGGCCTGCATGATGCCATCATCGCGGCGCATGTGCTCGCGGACCTGCCGGTACTGTTCCCGCCGTTGCTCTCGGCGGGCCAGAAGTGCCGAGTCACTGAGGAGAGACGCAACACCGTTACTGGCCAGTCTGGAAGCAACAGGAGGGGAGGGAGGGAAGAGAGAAAAGCGAAGCGTTAGCAGCCTGGCCAGCCAGCAGCAAAAAGGTAGAAAGAGGTGAGAAGATGAAGAGGAGAGGAGGAAAATAAAGCAACAGCAGTAGTTAAACTGAGCTTTATTCTAGCTCAAGCCAAGCAACTGTTGTATCACACTAAACACATGAGAAAATTGGCATTAGTGCAAGAAAGAAGTAATAAAACATACAGTTTGTGTTGTACATGTGTGTTGTATTTATGTATGTTTGTGAGAGAGATCTTAAAAAAACAAGAATTAACTTTTCAGTTCAATCACAAGTAAGTGTGTCATGATGTTAGAGGTCACGTTCACTCTTATCACCTAAAAGTGAACATTTTAATGTGCAGAAATTAATTCAGTGAAATAAATTGTCAAGCTCACGGCCCTGGATTCATGTGCATTGATGCGTTTGCTATATTTTCCCTTTGGTGTATGAAGAGATTTGTCTGAATGTAATATGAAGGCAAAAACAACCAGCCACATACATGTGTGTACATGTGTATGTCGAATGCTCGAGAACCTGCTGGAGGCTTTCTGCTCTCTAAAGCTGCCACAAGCGAGCAAGCAACCAGGCGTTCAGACCAAAGCAGAGTGAGAAGCAGATAAGGTGGGACCTTTTTTTTTTTTTTTGTGTGTAAAGTAAGTTTAGTTAAGATGTGTAGCTGGTTGCTGCTCACTCTTCAGGGAAGAACTCCAATGTGCGGTTGGAGGTGGAGATCTGACACATGGTGTGGCTGCGTCGCTGAGAGAAACCAGCGGGCGAGGGAGACTTGTAGTGGATGTTGACGCTGTGGTACGACCGCTTGACAGGCGGAGGGCTGGACGATGAGCTGAAGAGACGTGCAAAGCTGATGGAGAAAGACAGAAAGATGTTTAATTTTGGACGGTTTTGTTTTACCAAATCATTTGTTTATGGTATTTCTAACTGTGCTTCAGTAAATAGCTTTAATAAAACCAGAATCTCACAACTGCCAGATGGTCGACTTCTTTTTCTCTTGGATTGGAGGACTCTCCCGGGACGCCCTGAGAGGAACCAGAGGTGTGAGTCAAATAGAGGAGAACCAGTACAAACCACAGGTGAGTGTTTTTCTTTTGTGGTTCAGTACACGTTCATGAATTTTGTCACTGTATCAGACATAGTAAAGACAAACTGATTCTAAATAAATCAGTGGTTAGGTGCAAAATAAAGTGTGTAAGAAAACAAAACAATTCTAGTATAAAGCAGCATCTTTCTTTTCTTGTACCTGATCATTTCCGTCCACCGTACGGCCTCCTGCAGCTCCATCAGTCTCTCTTTGTACTGATTCCTCTCCATCAGCACACGCGCCATCTCCACCCGCGTGAAGCGCCGCCGTTGTGTCATCGTCATGTCGCCATCCTGCATGGGTGATGAAAACTGGGAACATGAGAGCACAGTGCCATTTTTTAAAATGATGCCAGGTCTGGAGATATACATTTTCAGATAGACATTTGCAGCAGGAAACTAGCTATGCCAACTTATACATGGTCTCTCTCCAGTTGAGGAAATACATTGAATCTGTAAAATAAGTAGGGATATCTCCAAGACCCATGCCCGACTTTACTCACATCATCACCTCCTTCATCCTTGGAGTCTCGAGACGCAAAGAGAGCCTCTGCTCTTAACCTGCGACACAAAAGCAAAAACTGTTACAGGGAAGGAGTCGATGCCACAGGTCCACTGGTGCTGAGAGAGAGTCATTGGGAGACATGGTGGGACAACTTTGGGACTTAGGTCTTTGTTGACAAGACTTCTGAAGCTGCGTGGGCTGAATTTGAGCTAATGTAACACAACACGACGCCACATGGAGTTGTTGGAAACCAAATGGGCAGTTTTCCTTTAAAGTACACACCAGGTGTAATTCAAACAGGTGCACTTTTATTTCCATGTTAATTGTTCACATGCCGACATCTTTAATTTTTTTTTTTTTCTGAGAAACGTACAGGATAACATTCTGAGCTCAAACAGCGAGTTTTAAAAATGAGTTCTGCACCTTTTACATAACGTCCTTTATTGAAGGTTTGAAAATGCTGGAAAAGGTCAAACTATTAGTAAGTCTGTGTTTCATTAACCATTTCACCAGTTGTATTTGTGCTGGTTGGTTTAACTGTTGCATTGTCTCTCTGAAAATGAGTTTTTGTCTATGTTCCTGCCCATCTTAGCCAGGTCTCTCTTGGAAAGGAGATTCTTCAAGTCAGTTCACTACAAGTCAAAAAAACAAAACACACTGACCCACAGAAAATACACCAAGAAATGAGCATAACATCCTGAGAAAACCTTGGCAAGTGTTTGAACTAAGCGTGCAGTCTCAGTCTGTCTGGTATTCAAGTACAATATCAACCCTCTTGATATATAGTATTGAGCTGTTTCTCTCCATCTTCCATCCACCCCAAACAAAATTTACTGCCATCCATTTCCCCCTCAGAGTCTCATACTTTAAACTGCCTCTTGGTATCCACCAAGTGTATCTAAAGCACTTGAAGATTTATTGGTTGCTATAAAAATGTTGTTGTGCCTCTGGAAGTGTGTTGAGATGAGTTTTACAATTTCCAGCTTAGCACTTCATAGCAGCGGATGTTGTACCACATCAGCTTTAACTGGGGGTAAAATGCAATCTGGCCCTATGTAAACAACTTCCTCTGTAAACACAAATAAGCTGCTGCAGTGAAATATGCATCTACTATGAAATCTTTTGCTCAGATGTAGTAAATACACACCTTTTTTCCAGGTAAACATGGCTGAGAAACATTAAACTGAGCTGAACTGGTGAACAGCAAATCTACAGTATCACCAGAGATGAGGAAAAGGAGGAAGGAAAGTAAGGAAAAGCTCCTAAATGATTTATTCTTCTTTCCAGAAAAGTTTCATATTAGAGGAGAACACTCAGTTTCAGGTTTGTCCTCAGTATCATTGTGTCTGAACTAAAAGATCAATACATGATATCCGAGGATTTTGAAATAAACTGGAAACTATCTACGAAACAAAATAACTGAGACATTTTGTCCTCTGGTTCTTGTGCTTTGACACATCACTAGCAAGAGACTATCATGTTACTGTGTTCGTTGCTAAGCTGTATTGGTTAGGTAGTCATGTAGGATCACTAAGGTGTGGGTTACAGGTCAAGAGCTGAGGTCTTTATGTTCAGGGATAAAAACCATTGACCTTCTTCTATTCCTACTGCTGAAACACTCTGGGCAGAAATTTACAGGAACATATTGTTTTCTTCCAAAGCATCTCATGTTATTTAAATAAAATAATTTGTTATTCTTACCTCTTGAGTTCTTCTTCCAGCTCCTTGACTTTGGCGTCTACCTTGTTCTTGGACTGCCTCACAGCCTCCAGCTCCTCCCTGAGCACCTCCTGTTCCCCCGACAGCTCGTCCACTTTGGCAATAAGGTCATTTTTCACAATGTTGAGAGCGTTTCTGTCAAGAGAAGAGCAGAAAGAGGAAAGTGAGATATCAAAACCAGCTCCAGGAAACTACAAGTTGAGATGTCGATGTCCACACACTCCTTTTGGTGAGAAAGGTGTGACTGTAAGGAAATGTTACACCTTTGGATGAAAGGCAAAAGATTTATAGGGACAAATACTAACACTGACACACACACTCATCCTTTTCTGTGTCTCTTACTTGGTCTCTAAGAGCTGTTTGTTCTCAGTCAGCAGGTTCTCCACCTCCTTGCCCATCCCTGAAACAGTCAGTCACATCTCTGTTACTCATCATTAAATATTATACACAACATCCACAAATCAATCAATCCAATCACCTACAAGCAAAATGCATTTCCCAGAGTTTCCGCCTTTCAGATCAACCGGCTTTGTGACAAATGACAAAAGTTTTGTAAACAAACAAAAGGTTTAATAATTCAATGACATGATTATTAATGGACAGACTATTTATTTGAGCTGTCGCGTTAACAAGCAGGTTAAGTGAGTTTAACAAAGGAAGGCACCTTGTTAAATATTGGAAGAATATTGAGTAAACACTAAATAAACAGTCAACTTCTCTTTTTTCTCGAGAGAGACAGAGAAGTCCTCGAGGGTCTTTACCTGCAACAACATCTGCTACAGCATCACTGGGAAAACTCAATTGCTCAGAACATTTTTTTACATCAACATATAACATGTTACTTGAGGGAAATTATCCAGCTCCACAAGTGCACATACAGTATATTCAGAATTCAGGGTTGATCCTTTAACCACCACAGTGTTAATCTGATGCTCAACCTATTCATTTTGTTTTTAAATCTTAATGATCTAAATTATTGCCAGAAATTAACTGAATGTTTTACATGGAAGCAGCAAGCACTGTGCAACATAAGCCAAGCACACAAACTATAAGTAGAAGTTTCAACACAGAACATTTTGGACATGAGAACATGTCGAAAACAAACAAAACAAAAAGCAAAGAGGTTCTTAGATACCAAGGGGGTAAATGGTTGAGGTAAATGTCTCCTATCCATATCATTGTCTGTGCAGCCTTTGATGTACACATATATATTTCTGACACATTCTTTTTCTGCAATGTAACCCTCATCTTATGACGGCAGGTGTTGACTATAGTTACTGAACTAAAATCTTATTGGAATAAACAACCACTTTATCGAAGCCAACTGATGACCTGGTGTTCACCACACATCCTGTTTTTCTTCTAATACAAAACATTCGCTCTTTTCTGTCTTGATTCAGCATCTTCACTGCCTCTTTACCATTAGATTATTCTCCAGTTGTGTTTTCTTTCCAAGCTAAAGGGCGTTTTTATTTTAAGGTTCTACTCAGTGTCACCACTACTGGCAAAGCATTTCCTACAACGCCCTTCGCAGGAAATCTTAATTGAGTTTTTTTCTTTTGGGTATGTGAGATGCAAAGGTGGCACAAAATGTAAATATAAAGCCACACAAAAAAAGGACAAAGAAAGAAGCAACCAGAGGGATGTGAAAGCTAGAGGCCAGGGAATGACATAACAAGCAAATGTGACCATGAGCACAGGCAAGGGGGTGCCTTACCGAAGAAATCATCACGGACTGGAGGCAAAAGAAGAAAAAGGGAAAGGAGGAAGGGAAGAGAAGGAAAGAGGAAAAAGTGACAGATCAGAGAAGATGATGAAGAAGAAGAGACGGGAAGGGAAGAGAGAAGAGAGAGGATGCTGATAAGCATTTATAAATCTGGATTTGAGGAATAGCAGCAGGGCTAAAGGACTAGAAATAGACGTTAAGGAGGGAGCATGTTTCTGCGGCACTATATATGACTTACTCAAATATCAGATGTATTGTAAAGTCCCAGTGAAACAGAATTTTTAAGAGCAAACTGCCTCTATGAAATGATGTATTTCCTATTTGAACATACGACGCTACACTACGATATTTCTAAACCAATGAAACATGGTGAAGGAAGCGGAGAGCAGTGTTTATTTAATGAGAGGAACGATTTAGAAAAATCTTTCATAATACAATGGGTGGAAAATTTAAGGTACGCAGACTGATAGAATGTGTGGTAATCACTAAAGATTACAATAACTTCACTGTGACTTTAAAGGAATAAGAAAAACAGTTTTGGGCATCTACTGTATCAATACAGTAAACAATAAATCAATAATGATATATTAATACTTAAAACTATAGCAATGTGCCTTTGAATGATTTGTATACACTGATTAATGTCTTCTCTTGGATGTAGAGTTTGGAGAGGAGTCAAGAGAGTAAAAAAAAAAAAAAAGATACCAACCAATACATGTTCAGATACACACCTGAGAACTCGCCTATGGGTGTCACCAGCAGAAGCACATAAAAGGGGGAAAAAAAGAAATGGGTGAGAGGTTAACAGATGGACAAGAAGACGGGTCAAACCTCCCTTCCTAATGCTGCTACATAAAAATTCAAGAATAGGTAAATCAAAACCCAAAGGAACCCAAATCCTGATAACAGAAATGAAGATAAACAAAATGTATGAGCTCAAAACAGAGGGTTTCAATAGATATAAAAGATAAATAATTACTGCAAAGGTGAAATAAACTGTAATGAATATCTGATAACTAGAATAAGAAATTCTACTTTTACAAATAAATATCTGTTTAAGCTCAAAACATTTGAAATAGGCTTGAGTTAAACGTGCCTCTGCCCCGTAAAAATGGAGGAAAAACAAACAAACAAATAAATTAGAACGACAAATAAATAATAAAAGTAACACTGTATGGATGGGCATTTGTGGTTTAGGGATTGTATATTTTTTCAGGATGACTGTGCAGTGACGCAGAGATGAGCTGTTGGCATGGAGTGTATTCCAGCCTCGGCCATGCAAGGTAAAAAGTCAGAGTCAGTGCAGTGTCACATTCACACAGCCTCACATGGAGCTGCTGCCCTGCAGTGACCTAAAGCAAAAACAAATGCTGGCTTTGTGCAATGCACACATGCATTTGCCCTTATTTCCCTTTGTTTGGGTCTATACTTATTTATTACTTACATATTGGCATCTTAGCATACAGTACAAGTCTCAGATGCACTTTCACCAGCTCAAGGCTCACCTCACAGAGGCAGCGCTTTTATTCTCAAGCATTTCCTTTGAAGTGAAAAACTTACCGCTGCATAAAGGAGAAGGATATCACTAAGCTTTGACCAGCAAAGTGATTTCATGGCACAACTTGTTTCAACTTTACAGCCATGATGTACAGCTCTCGGATATTTACCAATGATCCTATGAAACCAGCAAAAAATATTGCAGCCAAAGTTCCTGTTCATACCTAGCAGCTCGGCGCCTGCATCTACATCTCCAATGATGTCCGACTTAGCGTCTTTGATCTCGTGATAGAGAGAGTCAGTGTTGATGCCGAAGGCCTCATTCACGATGCCCTGGGAGGGGCTGAAATACACATAAATTACAATGTCATTAAAAAGTAGGAGTGGAATCTATTTCTATTCAATTTAATTAAAACATAACACATCTTTATGGCAGCACTGCATATGCAGGAATAATACATTTATCTGTTAAAGCCTGGCAACCTCAGCTGTTGTGATTTTTATATTTCACCTTTAGTTTCAAGAGTCTTCTACGGTCTGAGAAACAGTTACGGGCCAGGTTTTGATGGGTAAACTAAAAAAGAAGGACCATAACGATGTTCTTGAACGTTTGACTCTTAACTGATGACAAATGTGCACTAAGAGTTGCACACAACAAAACCCTAAGATTTTTCCTAGTTTCAAGAAATCTTGGAGATACAGGATTTTCCGTAAACACTGTTGATATGTGCTGTGCATGTGATGCAGCCACAACGTAGCTGTACCTGTTTCCTCCTCCGTACACACGGGGGTCTACACACATGTCCAGCTCAGGAGTAGAATCAATGATCTCCTGAAACTCAGACCACTCATCGCTGCTTCCCATGCCTGGACAAATATGACAGAAACACATCAGAATTACAGCTGCTCTTTAGAAAACTATAAACATCTGGATGATGTTTCTGTTGCACTGAACAAGTCATCATCTCAGATGAAAGCTTTGACCTGAGGATGTATTTGGCGACATCCTCTTACCGATGCTAACATTCCTGGTTTCCTGGGAAACTTGCACCTCCATATTCCGGCTGAGCCGCTTGGTACTTTTCCTGTGGTTCACAGGCTGCAGCACTTCAAACTCGGATTGTGGGAGGAAGCCCTCGTTGATAGGGGTGACGGTGGCGGAGGGGACGGAGGAGGTGGGTGTGTTGGACTTGCTTCCTGTGCTGCTGGGTGTGGCCGCCACTGAGTCAGACTCTGATCCATCCTCCTTGGTGTACAGCAGTGGCATGGAACAATGACATGGAAGCAAGACAGACAACATTATATGAGCTTCATATGGTGAAGGTAGGAACCTATAACACCTGCATGACTCATTTTATTTCTAGCAAGTGGTGCTACTGGTGTTATGAGTTTACTGCTTGACTTAACTTTCTTGTGAGCAGCTCCATGTTTTGTAGGACAGTTATATTAAGCACATACTCTATTATAACTTAAATTTTTGGCTATTTTGGAAAGTTTTGATTGATTTTTGGCACATTTGATCAGTTTGATGTCATATCAAAAACCTGTTTCACTGTTTGGCTGATGCATGAGACCAAATGAATAAAGATGACTTAGCTGATTTTTTTTTTTTACTTTTTAAATTGTTCGTAGAATATTTTTGACTTTAAACTGATGGATGAGATCTTTATTGTTAAATTTCAAAAGGCTTTAAAAACAAAGCTTAAAGCTTGTCCAGCATCTTAAAGTTATGGCAGATAGAATATTTTCACTACAAATCAAAACTTCAACTAGGGCTATCTAAATCCTTAAATGTGTATTTTAACCTGTAATTATGCTCTTGGGATGATCTCAAAGCTAAATACCAGGTGGAGCCACAACACCACAACAAGAAAGCAACAATGTCCTTGGCTGGACGTTGGCTGTACCCTCACATGTAAAGCCCCATATGCCATCAAATTGCGTGAGTAGCAAAGTTTAAAAAGAAAAAAGAAAAAAAGAAACACTTGGAAACACAGGCTTAAACTTAATGCGTGATTCTGAACTAAAACACCAGGACACGTAGCAGAAGCTTCACGATCACACTAAAATAATCACAAGAAAACTCCATGAAGAAAATATAAAGACTCCCCAGCTTGCTTGAGTCAACACATACACCTGACAAATCTGACTTTAAAGGGAAGATTTCCAACTGATGTGAATAATATAGTTTCCTCTAAAGTGACACAAGCAGGCGTGGGAGGGGAGGAAGTCCATGTGGGTGTGGCTAGCAGGATGGGCTGCAGTAAGGCTGGCCCCTCCCCCTTCCACTCCCCAGCGACCCGGTTGTGGTCGCAGAGGAGGACATGGCCGCCGTCTCTCCCACCTGATAGGCGGAGCTGAAGGTAGACTGGCTGAGCTCGCTGACCTGCCAGATGTCTTTCCCGGGCATCATCCTAGCCCCCCCGAGACCCCCACGTACCATGACCTCGCCGCTGGGGTACAGGCTCAACGATGGCGGGCGCTCCGCTTTGCTGCTGGCAGAGGAGACACAGAGAGGTGGAGACTAATGTTAGTTAGTTATTCATGTCTTATATTTACTTTATATTTATTCCTCTCCAGAGCTGGAGCCTATCCTGCATCATGCATGCATTAGGTGCAAGGAACAAAACAACCTGAATAATCTGATGGTCCATTACAGGGTTAAAACAAATCACATACACTCTTATTCATAACTTTCGTATTATACTATACTATATTGGGAAATAGGCTTATTGACTTTATTGTCGAGAGTTAGATGAGAAGATTGATACCACTCTTGTGGCTGAACGTATTATATCTCATTTGATTAATTTTTGCAAAAAAACAAAGTGTAAACACAAAATTTCAGAGTTAATCGCCTACATATTTAGTGTACAGACATGAGAGATGTATCAATCTTCTCATCTAACTCTAAGCAAAAGAGAGAATAAATGTACTTAAAGTGAATGTTTCTGAACTGTTTGGAGAAAACCACACAGAAACAGCTAATTCCTGCAATCAAACCCACGTCCTGATTCATTAAAAATAAGTAATATGGAAATGTATAGAGCAAGACAGGAATGGACATTTTTGGGGCTAAGGAAAAATAGCTCATTCACAAGCCCTGCGGTGAGAAGCAAGAAGGGCTCTGAGGGCATGCATTTGCCTAATGAGCTTTATTCACTATACCTTTTATTTACTAAGCAAGACATACGGGTAGTTTGTGGAAAACCTAACACGGACATGTATTGTATAGAACTCCACAACTATAGGATCTAATATAAGTTTTAAGTTATTCCTAAAATGTGCTGTACAGGTCTCAGTTCCTTGTATGGCTGATAAACTACATGCAGTTTCTGGTTGTATGATGTCTGAACAAAACTGAGCAAAACTGTCCAGTCATTGAATCCACATATACTTAGATCTGCTACTCAAAAGATGAGACATGCACAGCTCAGACTGCTACTGTTTCTGTGTGTCCATTTCATCTTTGCTTAAAATGAATGCATATCCATATAATTACTTCCTCTTTGTATAATATTAATGTCTTCCTTAGACATAGACAAGCAGGACAGGCCGACAGGCAGACAGACACACGGACGAACTGACCAGCAGACACAAGCACATGAGGGAGAAAGAGGAGAAGGTAGACAGAGAAAAAGTGCAAAATATGGATTGCATTGCTTAACATGACCTTTGAACCATTCCTTATTTCTTAAATCGTTCTCAGAATGCAACTTTACTGATGCACTCACAATAATAAACATCTGTACCAAGCATCAATAACTAATACAGCAAACACATAAAGGAGCACGTCTTCATACAAGGGGTTGAGGCATGGCAGAAGTGCAATGGGGCATCAGCACCTCCTTGTCTAATTTTAAGTCCAAGCAGGTCAGTTTAGATGTAAAGGAGGTAGGGCAGTTGTGGGACCATGTTGGATTTACCTTTTCCTCCATGTGTGGCGTTGACTGCGCAAACAGCAGCACAGAGAGCAAGCCAGCAAGACAGACAGACAGACAGACACTGATTAGAGAAAGACAGGTGACAGGAACATGCAGTGACACATGAAACCACACAAACACACACTCACACCTTCACATCTCCGCAGAAGATTGTTCTTCGTCTTCATCTCATTCATCAGCAGTTTGCTAGTAGAGGTTTAAGAGGAGTTCTTCCTCTTGTCTCAATAAGTGATACATTATGTAAACCCCCCCCACACACACACACACACACACACACACACACACACACCTCACTAGCCTCACTCAGGCAGTTGATAAAGATTTGTAGGATTAGGATGCTTTTCATTTGACATTGTAGCTGAATTAAGATATAGGATACTGTGTGAACATGTTGCAGGAAGTGACTAATCTGCGATTCAGCTACAGAAGCTGCACCAGATGTCCCCCTCCTCGTCTTGTTTCATGTTCATAAATATTCAGGACTCATGGGTTGGCCAAATGCTGAACAGTACAAGCTGGCAAATAAACACCTAACTTTCCTTTTTTTTATTTTATTTTTATTGTTTCCTACAAGGCTCATAATGGCTGCCATGTTTCTTTTTGCATTTTCTCTCCTCTCTATCAGTGGGATGCACCAGCTGCTTGTCATGGCTCTTGACAAACAAATGCCAGCGTCAATACAATGAGCATGTTGACACATGAAAAGCCTGATACACTCAGAACAAAACATGAAACATCAGCGACAAGACGATGGGTGAAAGTTACAATTCAAATTTACACAAAGACATATGCAGGAACTTTAAACACCCTCACAAACAAACACATAAAACCACTTACGTTCGTCCACAGCCGGTGCCTTCTGATTGGCTGTTGCTGCCTGCCTGCTGCATTTTGGACCGCTCTATGTGCTCGACGTATGTCTGAATCATCTGTGATCCACGACAACAATGAAGAGAAAAGATGTGAGAAAAGAGAAGAAAGAGGACAGTGACATTATGGACGAGAAGCCATGAAAGATATCACAGATCGGTGAGTAAACAAGTTGTATTTGAAAGGATTACAATGATTCAATGACAAAATCTATAATCTACTACATGTTGGATTACTCCGAAATATTTGTGAATCAAAAGGACAAGCAGAGCACAAAGGACAATACTGGAACTTTTGATATTGCTGTTTATTTACTACTAAATCATATGAGACTTATTCTAACGCTGACCATTTTTTCATACATACTTGTTTTCAGTGTTCAAATTCAATTTTTTTTTTTTCAGGCAGCCATTGACTTCCTTAATTTTCATTATGGTTTGAAAACATTTTGCAGGGACCTGCTTGTGTTAGGTAATCAATCACAATGACAACTGAAAGTCTGCTTCTAGTTGAGTTACATTGGAAAGCAGAAAAAAAGATGCAGGCCTATAATACACTTTGGCATAGTTTCAAACTGTTGTAATATTTGATTATGATAATATTGACAGTATTTTAATTACCATTTATTTGATTATAACAGGTATGTATGTTTGGTGTGTCTAGATTTTGATATGTGAAGAGTATGAAGTTGTTGGGCTGAATGTTTTCTCTCACCTCAGTGTGGCGCTGGTGCAGAGCGTTATATTCTTTCTTCATGTCTGATTCTCGCTCCTCCAACCGAGTGACTGAGAGACAGACAGACAACAGTTTAACAGCAAGACCAGATCACTTTAATACTTGTTACAAAAATCTAAAAATATGAAATCCTCCAGTAGTATGTCTACATCCGTTTCCATCCTCCCCATAGAACTACAATGAAAATGTATTCTTGAGCTTTAATGTTACACACACACACACACACACACACATATATATATATAAATATATATACTGCAGAGCTATTAATTGAAAAAACTCAATTTACAGGTTTTGGGTCTCAATAGCCAGATGTGCTACGTGTGCAGTATATTACAGTATGTGAAGTGTCCACTCACTCTGGTCAGAATAGTTCTTTGTCTTGAGCTCCAGTTGTTTCCCCTGCAGCTCCAGAAACTCCACCTGTATCTGCAGGTCCTTCTTCTCAGCTTCCAGCGCATCTTCAAATTCAATGAATTTCTGATGGAAGACACATGAGAAAAAATTAGGCCTTCACACGGCTGCACAATATACTGTGATGACAATGCTTCAGGCCACTGCATTCAACTGTATTTCAAAATGTAAAAAACATTATATATATACAAAATAACAGAAAATTATTATTAATAGAAAATCAAATGTAATCACATGATAATAATTAATATTGTAATTATGATATTATTCGTAGCAGCTACACTGAGCAATCACCTCTCAGGACAATTGGCTGCTGTGTGGTCATATCAACCTAAGGTATTTGGGTGAGAGTAATGCACTCTTTAAAGCTTTCTCACTCACAGAAAGGTTGGAGTTAGTCAACAGCTCTATAAAATACCTGTCCGACAGTGTTCACTCTGTAGCTGAGCAGCCAGAGGAGGCAAACACAGAGCAGCCTACTTCCCTTTCACATTTCTTTTGTAAAGCTGTTCACAATGACAACCTTTTTGCAGTGCAGCAAGTCTAAAAAGTCTTAATACTGTAATCCTCTGACTGCAGCAGGATCATGGAACCGGGAATATGCTGCACACATGCACAAAATGCAAATGCTACAATATGATGACTTCTGCAAATACAACAACTAACATAGACATCTAAAGTCACTGAAAAACTGTGTACAACAACAATCCCATGAGCCCTGTTTGGCATATTATGCAGAGAGGATTTTAGCAGGGAAATCTTCACATCTGAGCAGCAGCTGAAATATCACAAAAATGTGACTCTCTTTGCTCAATGATTTAACAAGACTAGTTTCTTTAAATGTGACTCTAAACTAGTGGGCAGAATAAACAGCCCTTATACTGTTGTTTTTGCACATTTACATCCTGTGTAATACCTGAAAACCAGGTTTATATATTAAAGAAATAATCAGACTGTATGTTTGTTATCTAGTGCTAAATATTTTAGCTATACACCCGATGACAAAAAAGACAAAAGCATAAATCTTTTGTAAAGGATGTCTTTTTTGACTGAACTATAATAACAGTAATAATAATAATAATAATAATAACAACAATAATATATATATATATATATAGGATCTAAAAACAAATCACAGTATGTTGTACAGTAGCAGACCACAGCTTCACAAAATAATATCCCTCATCCTCTCCCCTACGACTGGGAACACGTCCTACAGTTATGCCCTTCAAGTCCACGCCTTAATCCACTGCCTTTACCTGCATCAGACACCTAACCTCTCCAATCTCAGTATTTGCTTTTAAAATGCAGTGCTGAGGAGGAACAGTGAACAGCAGAGGTGCAATGTACAGGTTAAAAAACAGAAAGGACATTTGATTTGTGTAAACAACAATTACACAGCTAAAATGGCGTACACAGATTTATGAGCGGGAATATTGTGTTATTCTGTGCAGTATGAATAATTCAAAAAGTAGCCTTGTGATGACTGACTGGTGCTAATGTGCTTTCTGTAGCTGAGTGTGTTTGACTTAAATGTTGTCACACTTGCAGCTACTTACACTGTTTAATACCTGAAGACAGTGTGGACTGACAACAGCCTGAAAATAATGAAATGCAGTACAATATAAAGTTGAAGCTGAAGCTGATATGCTATGTCAATTTTCATGTTAACTGTCAAAAGCGAACCGCATCATGAGAGACGGTGATTATACTGTAGATAAAGCAGAGGCAGAGGTATGATCAGTCTTTTAACTGTCATCACACTTTGAGAAGTGTGAAACCAGCACAAATAGTGATAGAAAGTCATGGGATAATTCCTCCAGAATAAAAAAGAAAACTGCTGCAACAAAGACGCTACAAAATGGTTGAATTTGTTAACCTCACTTTAATATCTGTAACACTGGAGATGTTGTTAAGTCTTCATGAGCAGAGAGGGAGCTGTTGGCTTTGTTTACCATTAGCTGGGGCCTAATAACATTGTAATCTGAGACACTTTTTGGTCGTCACTCTCCGTGTCTTGCGAGAGGGTGTGTTATTGTTTTCCTGTAGCTCTGAGATTCTCTCTCTCTCTCTCTCTCTCTCTCTCTCTCTCTCTCTCTCTCTCACACACCCTGCTCGTTCTTCTCATTAGCCTTCCTCTCTGTCTGATCTGGCCTGTGCATTTACTTGCTCATACTCTGGCTTTATAAGACCCCAGTCTATTTCTCTCCCTGTGCTTCTGTTATGCTGCGTCTGCTCCTCATAAGCACAAATCAGGTTACAGTGCCAGGCTCCCTCACTGTGCTCTGTGTACTATTGATTTCCTATGATTCCCCACCCCTCGCACGTCGTCCCATCCCCCATTGTAACCCTCTCACAGTCAGAAAAAAACTGTCTCTTTTGTTGCATTGAAATTTGTCACCTAATCTGTGCAAAGATGTGAATCAATTTCTCTTGCAAGCTGCATACCTTTCATGGAAGAGAATCCAATACTTTTCTCCTTCACCGAGACACAAAAAAAAGAGTGATTCCAACTCCTGAGGGCATGTGATATCATCGTCAATTATGTCATTGTGATTTTATTTTCGGTTTGCTCTTGACTAGCAAGTACTGTTATGATTACTTTCAGTTTCACTATCATCAGCACCACTAAGAACAATAAAAAAAAAAAAAAAAAAAAAAAAAAAAACTTGTGTGGACCTGTTGGCATCCATCAATTGAAACAATGGCTCCAGTTGGGTGAGCAGCTACAGTTACCTGCACTGTGTGTTGGTTTTCAAGCTTACTTACCATTTTGTTATGATAAAGGATTTTTTTCATTGTGAAATAAGAAGAAGCTTAAATATGCTAACACTGAAATATTAATATGAACCAGGGAGTGCTGTCTTAATTAACAGCTTAAAGGGAAAACAAATTAGATAACTGACATAGGGAGAAAACACAGCAGGGAGAACAGATGATGAAACAGGCTAAAAGCTGAGCTAAGCTGATACTACCAGAGCTGCCAGTGATATGCTGAGGCCTCTTTGGATGGGGAGGAGGATTAAAGTTGCTTTATGATGCCTGCTGGATCCCACGGCTGCTGTGACACCGGTCAGTGAAAGACAGAGAGGGGGGGAAAAAAAGATTTGCTGGAGGTGGAGTTTAGCCGGTAATGTAATAGCTCCATATTAATTTCCACTTTTGTTGTTTGTGTCCCTGTTCTTGCTGTGTTTTCAAGTGTAAACGCCCACTGAATGTTGTGCTTAATACACCATTCATGTGTTTCAAAGCTTGGCTGTCTGTCCCTTTATCACCATACTGTATACTTTATGTACAGATATTATGCCCTTGCTTTGTGTTTGCATACTGTGTGCATATGAATTTGCATGAGACTTCAGCTCAGGTCTAAGGTAAGAACGCTACAAATGAAACTAATTTCTGTACAGTAACATTGGTATTAGCAGTTGTAGTTGTAATAACAACGGCAGTAGTACTAGTAGGAGAAGTAGTTGTGACATAAACACCTGCAATCGTAGAAACTGAGGTAGGTTGAGCAATATTATAGTGGTATTAACAGACCTAGCAGTAGTATTAGCAGCAGCAGTAGTAGTAGTAGCAGTTATTCAAATTGTCATGTTCTCATTCATATAGCAGTCTGTTGTCAAGCAGAATTATGAGTGATTTTATGAAACATTTTGCAGAACTTTATACTTTTTCTGAACTATATTTTAGACTTTGTAATTGCTCCACTGCTTCTCTTTAGACACCTGAGGTTACTTGATGAGTAAAAACTAAAGAAATAAAATATTTTACTGTATTTAAAGCTTTGATATTGTACTAAATTTTTCATGATCATTTACTTATTAAAGTTGATGTATTTTTACTTTAAGTAAAAACACAGTACTTCAGAGGTAGCCTACATTTCAGACAGTTTTAGTATAATAACGGAATCATGTTTCTTAATTTTATCATTAGGCTACAGTTGTTCTTTGGGCAGCTTGACACAGCAGAGGACACTGTCAGCAGTGTCAGCGTTGCATTGATACTAAATATAAGCTCAACAATCTCATGTCACAGGCCTAAACATGAGTCACATGTCTGATGAAACCTCTCAGTTCAGACAGGGCACCGTGACCATCGAGGAGGCAGCAGGAAGCTGGCTGTGATCATGCGGGCAGAGGCCCAAACAGAGCCGGGGGTTACCTACCTCCTCCGCCTGCTTGCGCAGCGCTTTCTCCCTTTCGTACTGGGTGATGAGCTGCTCGTTGTCCTCCTTCAGCAGCTCCAGCTCCACTTCGTGCTCCTGGTTCTCTGTCAACACCGCGTCCAGGTTCTCCAGGACGTTCACCACGAGCGGCATCAGCTCCTTCACCACCTCCTCGTCATAGCTGCGGATCAGCCGCTCGAACTCCCGGTAAATGCTGTTGGCCAGGCCCGACACCCGCTCCGACATGACGGAGCCGGAGCCGTAGTCGTCCTGGTAGACCACCTCGTCTATCTGCAGCTCCATCATCTTGGCAGCTGGAGCCGGCGTCTGTTTTCCAGATGAGGAGGCTGCGCTCAACAGTTTTTCAGGCCTTTAAGGCGAGACTGTCACAGGGTTTGGATCCACTCAGCGCAAAGAGAAGGGGGGCATTCAATCACAGTCTTTCCTCAAATAAAAAAACACTTATGCCATTTTGCAGCAGCACGGATTTACTGGACGAAGACTGGCTGTTGTGTGCGCGTAACCTTGAGCTCGGTACTGAAAATACTGGCTCTAATATTTTGATGTAAAGAGGGCCCCCTCCTCCTCCACCACCAGCCCGTTGTATCGCCTCCAGACGCGGCCCAGCTATTTCTCTCCTCCCGCACAGAGCATCTGATCCGGGGAGCAGTGGATGTGGAGTGGGCCAGCCTGTGGATCGGCCCTCGTTGAGTCCATGCCGAGGAACGAAATGCCTTCGTCGATGATATTGCACCTGCCCCTCAGCAGCCGCAGCAATGGACCCTAGCCATTACTGGCAGGGAAAATAAATACATTAATAAATATGTAAATAAATAATCTACCGCTCCTGATCTCCGCCGACGCCCGATCCGCCACTATAATATCGTTTCTTCCATATTTTATCCCCTTCCAGCGGGCTGCCGATGCTGCTGGCCAGGCTCGGGCGTTGATGGTGATGTCTCCCTATGGGAGAGGCTCTCCCTGCTGTTCAGATGGAGGAGCCAGCTGACCGACTCTGGCTGACGTCACACCGTCTGCATTGAGCAAGCGGATCACTGGTGAAGTCAGACACCACAAGTCCGCTCCAAGATTTCAAAATAAAGCTACAAATCAGAATTACAATAATGCTAAATAATGTTAGGTCACATGCTCAGCTTTTAGCTGATGCCAAAATATCACCTTCCTTTAAAAAACTGAGGATGAGTAATGTGGGCATTTTCCAGGCAGGGACAATGAAAGAAAAACAATACTATTGGTTGAATTATGGGGACTGTAGGAGTTACCGTTTCTGATGCTTAACCCACACTAGGGACTAAATTTAAGGTTATTTCAGCTTCTGCTGCTTCAGTTTCTTTTTGGAGTTTGTCTCTGTCCCCCAGCTTAACTGGAGTGCAGTGTTTAATAGCTGGAGTACCTCTTTAACAGGAATATGTTAAATTATGTTTAAAATAATAATTTTATCACATCATAAGATTATAAAATAAAAACTAACCTACTCCATTCTCATTATAAAATCTCTGAACCTTATAGACACTAAAAAGAATGTTACCATTCATTTCTTATTTATATTTTCCTAATACATATCAGCCCTCATCATAATCACTGCACATATAAACTAAACAGAATATGTTCCTTACCACCAAACCAAACCAAACAAAAACACCAAACACACCAGAAACTCAACCTCATTATTGAGATACAGTGATACACTGTATCTCACCTGATGTATATAAAACACAAATGAACAGAAATCAAATAAATTTTCTTATGCAGCTATAAACTCAATCAAAGTGTTCAGGGCTCAAATATTCTGGCTTCATCATGTTCACATTATATACAATAATTTAACTGTTCATTTATATCTTCTATATATTGTATCTCACTAAATGGTGATATAAATGCCAAATTTCTATAAACAATAATGACGACATGGTCTCTGTATCCTCAGTGGTAGCAAGAGCCCTGTCAGTTTTATTTTGGAAGCCAAAACCGGAAGCTGTAGTTTTTACTTTAACAGTCGCTTGACTGAAGTCCGCAGCAGTACTTGATGCTAGAATTTAATAATAATGACAATGCACTCTCCAAAAACGAAATAAAAAGCTTCACAATCCATATGAACATTATCAGTTATTCATGACGAGACTTTATGAAACCTTTACACTCTTTTTGATCATTTTAAAATTACAAGTAAGATCATTTGTAAAGATTTGATGGTCCATTTTCATATACCTTCCACTTCTGTGTTTTTAATAAAATATGACTCATATCCAGGTCTTGCCAACAAAAGCCCAGTCTACTTTAATCTGTATTGTAGATTTTCTTAATGCATATTTCAAGCTTTGTCTAATGGGACCAGATAGGAAAACTAGCAATGAACATGTTGGTTTGTACCACAAAGGAAACTGAGTCAACATTTCTTCTCCTGAAAAAAGTCATTACATCGTTTGACTATCCCGTGAATACTGACAAAACTGCATCTCAGAGGGCAGAATAAATCATCCTGTTAGTCCTGGCGTAATAATTTCACTTTGAAATTCAGGAATATTAAGATTTTTTTTTTTTTTACAGGTTTTAACATTTTTCCCAATCATTATCATCTTGAAATCCTTAAGCATTCAGTCTGTTTATGACTAGGTATTTTCTTCATAAAATGGGGCTGAAATGCTGCATTAACAAACAGCACATGAGGTACTAGCTGGTACCTAATGATAGCTTAGATTAACAGTTTCTTAAGCATACCAGAAGTTCTACATTGAAAAGTGCATTAAGAGATGTAGATGATTTTTTCTGCCTGGATGCAATTGATAATATCGTCAGAAAAGGGACTTACCTCAACATTTTATCCCACAACAGACCTCTGAAGTCATTTGATCCATATGGGAAGGAATTCAGCTCTCCACAGGTCAGATTTGTTCAGATACTTGCAACAAATGCAACTTTTTCTGCAACAGACATGGACAGAGTTGGCCTGGTGAGGATTTGCTTTTGCATTACATTTATTCACTGCCTTAAAAAAAAAAACGTAATGTAAAATCTTTTGCTGATATAAACTGTTGTTCCCTGTATAAAATTGATAATATCCTCAACAGGTAAGAATTTATGCCTGACAATACTAACATAAGAGGGGAAGCTACAGGACAGCCTACAATGTATGGAAATCACTTCTGTACAATAAAATAAGAAAAAAGGGAAGGAGTCAAAAGCAGACACCTTTATCTTGAACTGCCTTTCAGTTAGACAAGTGTAGCTTGGGCAATTGTTTGCCATGGAGAGGATTAACTATGGAAACAAAAACTGGTCAATGAAGCATAAAAACCGAATGGAGGGCATACCGCTGCCGTCCTAATGCATCTTAACTACCTCCATATTCAACATTTCTCTCCAACAGAACGGATCAACTAAACATCTTTTACTACCTTTTTTTCTTATGTCAAAAATGTGATGTATTGTGATGAAACCAATGCCTCTTCAAAAGCCTCTCACTGGAGTATAACTTATACATAGCAGACTGCAGGCCAGAGGTGAACTGATGCAAATGCAAATTTTATCTTCTCAGAATGGTGCTAAATTGACAGAATTCAAAGCAGGTGGTAATGAGTCTCTGGGTTCACATACATACCTGTGAGAAGGTTTAAATGACACAGCCTCACATGGTACACCTCAAGCTGCCAATCTGGAAGGGAGACACCAGTATTAATGTACAATATACATAGCAGCAGGCCTGTAAGCTTTCTGCAGCAAAAAACAATTCAAGTCAGAAAAAATTAAATCTACCACATTGAACCAGATGTCCTGTTGGTATTGTTTCACCAGCATACAGCTTCAGTTGTCCTTCTCGTTTCAGTCGATAGGTGGCAGTGAAATACTAACAATAATTACATTTCACACCATTCATCAGTTTTCTTCAGAGGCTTACAGCGGAAGGTGGGTGGTCCTTGGAAACCAAGAAGCAGATTGAGGTTTAGGCCTGTGGCTGGTTGTTACACCAAAATGTGGATGAACCAGACTGAAACATTCACAAACTTAGGCGGCTGATGTGAAATATAAAATATCTGTTTTCTCATGAAAACTTAATGTCACTTAATTTCACTTTTGGTCCCTTTGTTTGATTGTTATTTGGTTAACTAAACATCTTATTTAAAAACATGATCTTGCTGTTCATTATTACACAGGTAATACGTTACAAAAAGCAGACGACTTTGTTGGGTCAAATACAGAAAACATCACTAAAACTTTCAATTTATACAGTACAGCGAAGAAAGTTTAACTGAGATCAGCACAGTACATGGCTTTGATTTGAATTTTTTTCAGAGATTCTCAGTAGACACTTGGCTCGCTTGAATAACTTGAGGTTTCTCCGGCTGTTGTATTTTCCTTCTGCAAACGAGTCAGATGCTCAATATCAAGGTGATGCAAGAGAAATATAAACATCTTGAGCTTTAAGTACAATAAGGAATTAGATAAACTCAGCAACCACACAGCAAAATTTCACCAAATTGCAACCTGAAAAGAACTCAGTAACTGAAATCCCCTGTGTGTGTGTGTAGTATTGGTCACTTGTCCCATGTTAAATGCACCTCATTTTAAGTCAAACAACACGAGTTGCTTGTCTATTTGCTCTTATATCACACACAAGTGCACAGTAATCATGTTTGAGGAGTTTACACTGTTGCCTATAGTCTTCCTTAAACCATATTCATGGTTCCTCATGAAACATCATTTGAAAAATCTCACCCAGACAAGCTGGATGTGAAAGAGCACCATTTTATGGCAATCACAAACACAGGCTAATGATGTGTGAGCTTACAGACTGCACACAACCAGTCCTGCCTGCTGTCTCTGGCTTTTGCTTTTAGGAAGTATATGCTTGAATTTAGTACTTTTCTTTTGAGTTATAAATGTGAAGTATTAGGCGACCTACTTTTATGGGCTCAAACAGGACTCTTACCCATATCAGTACCCATGTAAAGTCACATGCACAAACAATTTTCTGGTCTTTTAGAGTGAAGTTTAAAGGAGAAAAATCAAATAGTACTGCACATTGCAGTGTGTAGTTGCTAAAACTACATTTTCTTCCAAGGCATAAAGTGGCCATTTTGTCTTAGAACAAGCAGCTTGCACAGAGTGCTGCCAAAGGGCGAATCTGAACAAAAGCATCAGTGTCAGTGATTCAAGAATTAGCTATAAATCTGGGGCACACAACACGTAGCTTGAATGTTACATCTACACTGATCCAGATAAACATTTAACAAGGTGTGTATGGGATTTCCATTTTTGAAAAGTAAATTCGACGTAAGTATTTCATCTACTACAGCCCTTCTAAGTTTTAGTTACTATTGAATCTAAAATATTCTTAGCGTTACATTTTAGTAAAGTAAACAAAATAAACACACTCTAAATGCAAAACAATTGTTTTATTGCAATACACAGGATTTCTTTCTTCTGCTGCGCTCATTGCCTGCCAGGCACATCAACACACTGGGGACAGGCTGGCACCAGAATACCATGAATGTGCGTCATGAAGTGAGTGAAAAGGTGATTATCAATGAGCCCACCTGGACTCAGGTAGGCCACGCGCTTGTCCAGAGTTCACTTGTCTTCAGCCGTTTTAATTTAAAACATAAACAGAGGCCTACCCCAAGCAAAAAAAGAAGGCATGTTCTCAGATAAAGCAAGCAATGAGGACAAAGCAGAAAGTACCTGCACAATACATTCGCATTAAAATCAAAATGGAATTTCTTTAAGGAAGCAGAAGCATTTGGGAGTAAACAATTCGTTCATCTTTGTTTCAAGGTCAATTTTTGGCATCTCTCCCAAAACAGAGTTTTCAAGAGTGCTCTGACATCAGATTATTAATCTAGACACTTGTTGAAATTAGGGACAAGGCATAAAGAACGCTTACAAGTTATAAGGCTTCTGATTATAAAGTTATTGGTTTAAGTCTAACACATCTATTTGGAATAACTGCAGAAAAAAAGGGTTTAATGTCATCATCCAATAAGGATCTGGCAGCGCATTTAAAAAAAAAAAAAAAAAAAAAAAAAGGGTGGCACTACTGGGACTCCCTGAAACATTTGACTTATTACAGTGGTGAGAAGATCTATTCACCCCATCCTATCTGTAAAACATTAAGGCTTAAAACAAATTTGAGCAAATGTCTGCTTTGAACTTACGCAAGGATTTGTCACACCAGATCATTTAAAGCTTCTTCCAATGTCTAAACCTTTCTTGAGATGCATTTCTTTTTTCAAAATGACAAATAACTGTGCCTTAAACCAGACTACATTTACACATGCTCAAACACAGAAACAGTGAAAATGTAACCGCAATATTGAGATTGAATAGGTGTCACAGACAAGGTGACTAAGTAAAAGCTAGCCTGTTGATTGACTGGTGGTATGATTGTATGATTGCAGGTTTCAATTGAGAATAATATGAAGACTTGGACTAAGAGCAAGGAGACAGAAATAGGACCGAAAGTGCAAGAAGTTGAGGAAAACATATATGACCAGGAAACAGGTGTGGAGAACAAAATTCCTGGTCTGTGTTTAGATGTACAGGTGAAATAACCGTGGGGAAAGGCGTGTTGGAATGAGAGAAGATTAACAGGGGAGCAGACAAGGAGTGTATGGACACAAACAGGGAGGAGTAGTGTGTTCAGCTGATCAGTAGAATACCACACTAGATTTTCCTCCAGGTGGGTTGAGGACCCTGTTGTGAGAGCGAGGCCTGGGTCCCAGGTGAGGCTCATGGTTCTTCAGTGAAGTCTCATCAGGAGGTGGGGAAGAGGAAGGAGTGGGTTCAGGCTCAGGTGGGGCTGACACAGCAGCAGGAGGCTCTTCCTTGGCTGGCATGGGAGCTGGGGGGGCAGCTTCTTCCTTCACTTCAGGTTGGCTGACCTTGACTTCAGGTGCTTGAGGAGAGAAAACTGTACTTTACAGAAATGCTAGAGCAGAACAAAAGCCTGGTGATACACTGGTGTGGACTCCATAACTGCCCCTATACTTAATGAAACCAGTTTTATTCTTAACACAGGGGCTAATGGGTATCCTGCCATAGATACTGCAGTGTAGGTTTAAAATTATAGTTGCCTGTTGATATGACCACAGCAACATGAATGTATCATATTCCCTAAAGTTCATCTTGTTCCATTAGTGAATATGAAACTAGCAAAGGTGGCAGTGGGAAGCAGGTTTACAGTTGAAATGGCTTTGTTAGACTTGTTTTCCCACAAAAAAAAAAATCGATCTTTAGATAAGTACTTATAGATATTATAAATATCTTATTTTTTGATGCATTTGCTGGTTATAAACTCCTTAAGTCCAAAACTTGGAAAAAAAAGAAAATTACAGATTCCATTAACCGTATAAAGTGGACTGGGGTCCTATAAGGAAAGGTAACTGGTCCAGATTAGTCTATTGGATGCTAAAGTGACAATGACAACTCAGTATATTACACAAATCTCTCAAAAAGAGTTCACATGGGCATTTTCCTTTTAACTATCTCACCTGGTGATTCAGATTCAGGTCCCACACTTAGATTGTCCTGTAATAAAAAGAATAAAGATAAGAGATTTCTCACTCTGTCAGTGAAAAAACAAAAAACAAAAACAGACTCTATTGCTCTTGTGTTTTCAAGCTAAAGCAGCTGCTCAAATTCAGTAAAAAACTGCCATGACCAAGGGTCCTCAGGGCATCGGAGTGAAAGTATTTCTCTCACTTACACAGTCAGACTAGTAGCCTTGGCCAGTTCTCACTTGAAAATTTAAGGAAAATAAAAATACTAAAGCTGCATGTTCATAGTAAATACACCCTGTATTATGGATGAACAAATTATATACTCAAAGATGTGTCAAAGATGAAACCAGTCATAGGTAGTAAGTGACAATTACCCATGCTGTGAGTGGTTTGACTGAGTTGGCAGCTCCGAAATCTTCCACTGATGCAGACTAATTTGAAAAATCCATAAACACAGAAAATCCATTATATTTCAGCACAGATTGCACAATTTGTGTGCAATTAGTAAAGCTTATTTGCATTTTCTCCTTAAAACAGTGCGAACAATAGCTTTAAGTCAACAGGGATAATACATCACAGGACAGCAAATGTTTTCAAGTTATACAGTCTAGGACAACAACTCATCATCATTTTGAATTTATGTGACAGGGAATTAATCCTGAATACAGTTGGTATTGGTCATTTTCCCCTAGTTTGCCACCACAAGGGCTGTCCGAATGAACCCAAGCACAGTAATATGTAACTGCAAAAACCTTTTCCAAAATCTTTAAAACATTCCATTTGCTCAACCATGATAAAAACTTAAGTATGTTTACATGCTTTTCATAGGTTTTGCAAGACTGCATGCAAGCAGCTGTATGGAATACCAACACTATCATCAACCTCAACATGTTTACAGAAAGCTGGTAAATTAACCGATTCTGAAATTAAGTGGTTGCTTGTAATCTACTCTTGTCCTTCCTGAGATTGCTGCAATGGATTCAAACTAAAGTGACATTACTCTGATTGCACAAACACTATTGAACCATGAAGAACATTGTTTGATACACACAACTGTGTCACATACTAGCTGACATAGTTGCTGCCTTCTTCATGTTTTATTGGATAGTATAAATTCGATAAATAGCAGGTTTTTGGACCCTGGCTGCACAGAGGTGAGCAGATAATAAATACATTTTTAATTTGGGATGAACCATTCCTTTAAAAAAAAATAAAAAATAAAATAAAACCATGGCCTACCTTTGGCTTATTCGGGTGGCTTCTGCTTGGGCTTTGCACAGGTGCACTTTCCGCAGCCCCAAATATGTTGCTGGTTGATCCACCTGGTGGTATGGGTCTCTGTGGTTGAGCAAGGGGTTCAGATTCCCCAAATATTCCACTACTCTTCCCACCTACATAAAGTATAACCAAGATGTGTGTTAGGTTTTGCAACATTGACAGTGACATAATAACACGCCTCAACTTTGTCACATTCCGTTTTGGAGGCTAGTGAACTGCACTGCCCATTTGATGGCCATGCAGATTCATGACCCCGAGGCAGAATGTCATCTATGATTACTCATATGGGATTAAAACATATTTTGACATTTGCACTGAGCTCTTTCATGACCCTTCGGCAATGTTCTTAGGCAAATTTTAGTGTTGTATACTGTAAAATTCACTGACAGCCATGTTAATGCCAGTGAAAACTGTAGGATAAGGTACTCAGGGTGACCCATCACTCCCTGTCCCTCAGGTCATTTTTCAACAGTAGACACAGTTTCTGGCTACATAAGATCCTTCAAATCTGGAGGTGGATTACATTCAGGCACAGAGAACAGTGAAAGTGTTTATACTGGAATTGTCACATTATAGTAACAGTTTTCACACCCTGGACATTGATAGATGGTTAGACTGTCCTGCCTCAGCACATCCATTAGCCCTGACAGGCTGGTCTGACCTGGAGGGTTGGAGCGTCTGGGCACACTCTGGGGCTCCTCTGGTGGAGCAAAGACTTTAGAAGCCATCTTATTTGGTCTTCTTGTTGCTGCAGAATCATCTTCATAGCCACCAAACAGGTTACTGGAGCCACCTCCAGGAGGCTGCAACACCCTACAAAAGACAAGAGAATATAAGCAACTTTGATAAGATCATGTTCAGGTCTAAAGATCAATTACCATGTATGAGTGTGACCTGGAAAAGACGGAATTCAATGTAATGTAATCTTGCTAAATGATAATAGATTGTCTATACTGTGCCAACTTATTAAGGTTACCAGTTATCAGAGGATTTGTTCATCCTTGTCAAATTTGAGAGTGGACACAACTGTTTTCAGAAAGTCTGAGTCACGGAGGTCCTTGTTTACTGACTGCTGTTAGAAACATGAGGTCATTTTTTTTTGTTGCACTATGGCACACAAAGGGGGCAAGTAGAAAACAGTAGGTAACCTGGCTATGACTGTCACAGTACAGCCGGCAGCTTAAGCCAACGCAGGCAAATAACAGGTTATTTGATTATGTACCCGGGAATGGCGCCATACGTCTGAAAACTCTTAAAGCTATACTTTCTCACGTAATTAGAAACCACAACATACGTGAACTCGACTATTTAGCGGGGCTGACCAAAGAACGGATGCTTTTGAGTCAGAAAGGGGAAACTGAAACACATTTAAGCAGAACAGTGTGGCCACAACGCCGTTGTTGGCGAGTACAAAGAAGAGCAGTCTGAAGAGGCTTTCACACTTCCGCAGGCGCAGCAGACAACGCCTGGTTGGTTAGCTTAAAAGCTAATTCTTGATTCTTAAGTTTGCTAACGGAAGGCAACTCCGACCAAGCTAACTCGAGTTGAGCGACCACACAGATATTTCGGTCCCTTATAAGACCACTGAGAGGTATGTGAGAAAGCATTAGCAGAAAAAACTGTGTTGCAAAATGCTACGAAGAGCTCCTGTCAAATAACGTTAACCTACATTGAGATACTAGCTGACGGAGCGGCTGACTACAGTCCAAATACAGCACTGTTGGCCACATCTTTTACAAATAACCAAGATACACGACCATATGTGTCATATTCTTCACCTTGAACTTGGTTTTGAGCCACTATCCAACCCCTGATACATGTTCGTCGAAGTCATAGTGGTTTTGTTTTGAGCCTTCAAGTTTCCGAAGACAACTTCGTCAGTTTGCCAACTGGACGACCAGCGAGTTCCTGCTGCCTGCGCGTTCCCAGCCAGACTCCGTAGTGAAGAATTTTAGTCCACCCAACTGTGACACAGAGGAATATAACTGGTCCTCCGCCAATCTGCTGAGTGACGCGGTGCGCTTGTTTCTTTGCATCTGACATCCCTCCAGAAAAAATGGACTACGTAATCCATTAAAAAGTAGACTTTTGGGACAGAAATGTTCTTTGTTCACAACAGCAGTGAAGCCATAATTGTTTTTTATTACATCTGATTTGTACACCTGCTGAATACATGTAATCCTTTATACATGTGTCATGTAAAAAAAAAAAAAAAGAAGAAACCTCCGCCCTGCTGGTCCGTCAAGGAATAATCAAACAACCGCCACGGTGCACTAATCTCGATAGATGACGCTTGTTTTCATCTAGCTGTTTGGCCGGAACAAAGGGAATGTGAGCTGAGTCTCAGAATATCAACTTAAATAAAGCGCAGATTCTATTGATTAAAATGCCTTTGCGTCAGATTTTGTGTGCTCTCTAGTTGGCGCCTTGTAGCCATAGTTATAGTTAGTGTTTTGCTGTCTGTCGTAAACATCAAACTCTGATACCGCTCGGTCGGATGATTTTCGGCGTACGCCAGAATATATTCAAGTGTAACCTCTGAGTCCTACCTTTTGATTTGATCATCAAAATGTCAATTACGTTATGGGCGGAACTTATTTTTACAGCGCCAAAAACCTCCATAGCGCTGAACTAATCTCGTTGAAATAACGCTTGATTACAGAACAAAAAAGTTAGATGATGGAAGAGTAAAAGTGGCTTTTAACTTTGAAAATGCATATCGGGAAACTTATTCGGCATGACAGGAAGAGAATGGCAATTGGTTCTTCGCCGGGTCTCTTTCACTAGCAATTGGTGGAGCCTTCTGACAATCAAATTTCAACCGTCATCCTCCTGTAAATCTGACCAATCAGAAGCTTTGTTTTCGAGTTGTAGTGGGCGTGCCAAAGCGCGTGGACCATCGATCCGCAGGAACTGTCATCGGTAACAAGCAGTAGGGCTACCGTCAGCTAGCGATGCTAGTCTGTATGTCGGTTGGGAATACCACCAATAGGCTTCTACTTCAGGTAATTCCTAAACTTTTATAATGTTTTCTATCTGAAAAACTGTGTCAGGCTCAGCATAATAATAGTTCTTATATTACAGCCAGTTTTTGTAATGTAATGGGTTGTTTGACTGCCATAACGTAACGTTAGCTAGCCAACAACAACAACCATGCTAGGTACCACGTTATGTATGTACATGTATTACATCTTACAACAAACGTAACGACAACAGTTCGTATAAATAACTTAAACTGTCACCACAGTGCTCTTCTAAAGTAACGTAAACTTTCTAGTCAAATACTAGACCCATGATTGGACTACAAAACTACTGCCAGGACTGTAACATTGCAGATGGGATATGCAACGTAACTCTGTCGAACAGAATCCAGTATGATGCTATAAGATTTTACATGAACCTCGAGCTACACTGAAACAATATTTTGACGTCGAATATACGATAAATTTGAGTTTAATCCGGTTTATTATTTTGCAATAGCTTGAAGATGTAAGAACCTAGGAGCGCAAGTAAACATAAACTTACCCATCTAATAGTTCGGGCTCTCACTGTTGTTAGATCAGATATCTTTTGAGGCTCAATTTGTCTAAAAGTCTGCTTTAGATGATACAAATCAGGGATTCAAAGGCTGTGTCTGAATGGAGGGATATTCCTCATCATTTTCAGGCTCAAGCTACTCATGTCTAATTTATCTTTCTTTGTTTAGCTTTCTCTTGCTGTCATCCAACTGCACTGCCCACCTCCTGATTATCTATAAATAAATAAATTAGTGGATAACAATGTATCGAACACATTAATATAAATTCTGTTCTTTTTACAAGTAATAACATTATTTTAAACAAATGTAATAAATCATATCTTGATGTGCAATGGGCACATAACGCCTGGTCCTGATTTTGACGTATGATTAATTATTATTTTCTATAAGGAAATAATAATGTAAATAGAGTATTGTCTCAAAGCCTTACAATTGCAGGATGTGTGTGAAATAACTTGTTTTGCAGACATCATTTCTGCAGGCGACGGTGACGTAGTGACAAGCAAAGTCCACTTGCACACGGGTTAATAAAACTGTCTATACTTATCAATTCAAACGAGCTCAACTGACATGTGTCATAGTAAATTCTTCTTCTTTGCATGCAGTAAATATGTCATATTTGTCGTTGGTTATAGTTTTATTTCTTGTTGCAAAGAAGCATTGAGTAATGTTGTTGCTGATAGAAAACAGTTGAACTGCGCAGAGAGTTCAGCTCAGTCGAATCAGGAGCAAGGAGAGGGCAGAAAGCGGAGGGATCGGTGTCGGTTTTATTATGCTCAATTTGATCAATAATTGCCAATCTAACCGGTCGGATCCATGGTGAAGAGAAAGAAGACGTCGCCTACTACCGAAGAGTACGAAAATGGGTAAATTTATATTTGAAATTAACACTTTATTTAGAGGTCGAATGCACCGAGGGGTTTTCGTTGTCGTTTCTGCAGGGCGCTAAACTGAAAAGCGCTCGCATTTGAATTTAGTTGAAATTCAACCGAAAATATTGCCCATTAGAGCCGAAAGACACTTGGTAAAACACTGCCCTTAGTTACTGAACTATTTTTGTTGTTGAATATAATTTATTTCAAGACGTTAATTGCATATATTTGGTGTTGTTTTGTCGGGACTGGAGAGGGGATTTGAAACAAACAGCGGCGGCCATGTTGAGAGACAGTGAACGTCGTCTTTAGAAGTTAATTTTGCACACCGCTTTGTTACTAATGTGACAAAATTTCCCTGAATATGTTTTGGCAGCATGACACCGGGCTCCAGGGAGGGGATCGGTGTCGATGGGAGGAGGAATCCGTCCAGAAAGCCCGAAGGTTGCGACGAGGAGGAGAGCGGAGAGCAGGCGAGCGAGGAGCGCAGTACAAAGGGAGACGACGGAGTGGAAATTCTTAATCCATCAGCCACGGCTCTCAGCCCCGGTTCAGCCCCGGTCCTCCCCGCCTCTCCGCCGAACCGAACCGGGGTAGGCTCGACCCAGCAACCCCAGACCTCAGCGGAGCCCGTCCCTCCGTGTCACGACCAGCATCATTTTCTCCGATCAAGCGTTCGACCTCCGAGTAAACGGATCCGGAAGGATTCAATCGGCTCAACCATCAATGGACATGGCGGGGCAAAATCGAAAGGTACTGTAGGTGACCCGCTCGGAGAAGTGCGTAAATAGCTGGGATTAGCAGGGGGTCTACTCTCAGTTTTGGCTGACAGTAGTTTGTTAATCTGTGGTGGCTGAAGTGATGCTGTTTCTGTTGCTGTATAGTCCCTCTTGGCCACTGGCTGGGTTATACCTTGGTTAGATCCCTGGCTGCTCCATCCCCAGTTGCAACACTATCCTAACAATTGTCTGAAAAAGAGAAGAGTCACAGACCAGAACTTGAATTTCAATTAGGATGTCATCTGACTATTTTTAGTTCTTGGAAATATGCCTTTACAGCATTAAAGGCAGGTGGCTGTTGTGACTGTCATTATCAACTGAGTGTAGGAGAAATAAATCACACAATCAATTTTTAAACATGGTGAGTTTACTGCCTTCAGCCAATGATTTCTTTTGATCCATTGATTCAGTCAGTTAACTATTTGTGCTTTTGTCATTTCAAAATTGTAATTATGTTCATTTTATCCACACATGCCAGAACAAACAACAGCGATGAAAGAAACAGCTAAAGCTTCAGTGGTGTATTCTCATTGCAGCAAACCTCAGATACAAAATGTAATTGAATTGAATTGGCACATTGCACATTGTTTGTTGTAGTGGTTTACTGGTTTTCTTATGGAACTTTTTTGCTGATGCTCTGTTTTGTAGTAACTTGCAATGTGAGTGATCTGCTGAAGCCTAGAGGAGCTATCATTGGTGAATTTACATAGTAATATCTAGCGTCCGAGCAATGAAGTAAAGCTAGAGATGACCTAAGACTCTCAGGTTTTACTGAATTTTATACTCAACATTGAAAAAATGCTTCATTGATTCACAATGAGGCAATCACAAATAATGATAAACTTTAATGGAGAAGGGGCTTGACTCAATGTATCCATGTAAATAAGGCATTTCCTCATAGGTGTCCTTCTGTGTTTCCATACCACTAATCCCACAAGAGGCAAAGAAAAGGTGGAGCAGTGGGGTGGGGCAAGAGTGTTAACATCCAGTATGTTTGAAACTTACAGTAACTGAAGGGGTTTCTGTTCATTTGAGAGCCAGTCAATGACACCTATACCTGTATCTTCCTTGCTGAAGGGTTTTGTATTTGCACACAAAATTAGTTTGAAATTATTCCTTACTTGTTTGAGGTGTGTTTTTGCTTTTGTATAATTATACTGCTCTGCAATGACTACCAGTATGTCAATTATTTCTTTCTTTAAAATTTATTTTATGAATGAATTGGACTCAAAGCTGACATAATAGGATAAGAAAACACATGCAGTATGTTGTTGAATTAGTGTCCTCTGGATCTACAACTGGTTATTTTGTTGTTATTGGGAAAGGGAATGAGACCAAGATTTTTTTCATCCAATAAATTTAAATTGCCCAAGTTTTGACCAGTTGACCAAGGAAGCCCTACGTATTTTGATATGATGCTATATTGGTGTGCATCTATTTTGAAGGAGACACATCTAGGATAGTGTGGATGAGCCACACACACATTTGCATCTGTAGATGAACACCTATTTTGGCTGAAAATATAGTTGTCTTAGCACAGCGCAGTGCTGCAACAGCAACTGCCTCGGTGTTTGTGTTAATGCCTCTTGGCATCGTGATGTGTGCTGGGGTAAACTTGGCCACTGGAGCCCACCACGAGTTAGTTTTGGACCTGTTACTGTAGACCTTACCGTAGGGACTGATTGCTTTTCCTGCGTCCTTGCCAGACCTGAACCACAGAGGGGGGAGCTCTGCAGGTTGTGCACTGTAATGGCAGTGGGTGGCTTTGTGTGCATGTATTTAACATCTCCCATACCGCACTCCTCAGAACTACAATTGTATTTTCTTTTCCGTGCTATACAAAACATCCAGGGTGGTCAACAAAAATTTGGCTCAATCCTTAAATTCTTTACTGTGATATTTTAAGTTGTATTTTTCCTCTAAATGTTTCATTACTGATGGGTTTATGGGTTCCTTGACTCTGTGTAACACAGGCGCAGAGAATGGCTCTTCCTCCCAGGGGGCAGTGGGACAGTCGGGGCCTATGGCCAGCTCCACAGGGGGAGTATCCAAGGCATCCAAGGGCCAAGGGTCTGCTGAAAAGGAGGAGCAGGCTGGTAACCAGAAAAGGGCCCGTCGGCAATGGGAGTCTTGGAGCGCAGAAGACAAAAACAGCTTCTTTGAGGGGCTCTATGAGGTAAAGGGAAGAACCAAATAGTCATATTCATATAGTTTTACTGGAAATGCAATCTACCTTATGTGGCACAAACTTTTACTTAAATTGTTGGCCTTTACACTTAGGTGTCATAACAAAATTTAGACATACTTTCGTATATGTATCTTTTGACATCTTATACTCTCTTCTACTCCTCTTGTCTCCAGCATGGGAAGGATTTTGAGGCTATCCAGAACAACATTGCAATGAAGTACAAGAAGAGAGGCAAGCCAGCTAACATGGTGAAGAACAAGGAGCAGGTCCGCCACTTTTACTACCGCACCTGGCACAAGATCTCCAAACACATTGACTTTGCCAATGGTGAGCTGCCCTTTTATCTTTGTATCCCAAAAACAGATAGGACCTTACAGAGTCTCATTGAACAGTATTTATTTTTGAGAGTAGGAGCTCCTTACCCAACTTTTTTTTAAAGCAATATTAATGTGTGCCTTATTCGGTCTCATCTTGTCTCCTTTACCTCGTTATATGTTAGAGCTGTCAGAAAACGTCACATGCAAGTCGTATGTGTTCTGGGGGTTGAAAGGGGCTTTAGTTTTTAATATTTACTTCTACTATGGGAAGACAATTTTAGTTTATTTCATACAAGGACAAGGCCTAGTTGTTCAAATCTAATCAGTTCCGATGTTTTAATTTGTTCATGTTGATTCAGGTCTGGCCTTGTGGATTTTTTTTAACCTTGTTCGTCACTTCCTCAGTCACTGTCATGGATAAAAAAAAACTGTCCGGAATCAAAATAGTGTCAATCAAGAAAAGCTATTTATTACATGTCTGTTTTTTCCAACTATTCCTACCCTCATGTCCTACACTGTTGTTTATGTAGCATATCGTTAGACATGGAGATGGTACAAAAACATATGTTAAAGAATCTTCCCAGATAAGCTTGAGCCCCTTTCCCCTTAAAAAAAACCTCTCAGTGTCACTGTCTTGTTATCTTAATGTAGCATACACATACTTCCTGCATTGCTGGTTACAGCAGTGTTGTGACTTGTGCCTCCTTTCTTTCTTAGTGTACTCCAGAGTGCTGAAGAAATCCTCTCAAGAACTTTATGGTCTCATTTGCTATGCTGAGCTCCGCAAGAAAGTTGGAGGATGTAAGTCAAGGCTGCATGCATGCCTTTTTAAAGTTGTTTTGTGTGTGTGTTTTCATGCTGTTAGATTGGGACACATGGGATGTGATTAAACATTGCATACTCCCAGTCATGGGGGACAGCTGCTCCTGCGGGACGATGTCGTAAACGGCTCTCTGTCTTTGTGTTTTGTCTTTGACAGTAATGGATGATAAGAATGTGGCAAAGCTGAATGAACTCATCCAGCAAGGGTAAGTCACTAGTAAAAGTGATCAAATGCATAGCCCAATGTTTTTTATGTTAAATAACACAAAAGGTCTTTGTAAATGAACACGTGGGTCTGTCAGTATGTAATTTTTGATTTTAAGGCCTATTCATGTCTGCAAAAACCCAGATAAGCTATCACTCTCAGTATGAGAAACATAACTAGTTTGAGTTCATAATGACAAATACATAAAGTACATTAGCAGCTAGAACACTTATCTCAAATATCTCTGACTGATATGATATGGAGGGAATTTCTGAAATATTATATAATATGATATATAAAGAATGATATTGTAAATTACTACTTTACTGCGTGGCTGCTGTATTATAAAACATTCTTGTTATCTTGTCTACTCCTTTTGAATTTGTTCAGGTAATTCTGAACAAGTCTATGTTTATGTGAATTATTAGCATACTTTTTCTTCTCCACTGAGAAAAGAAAAGTTTTCATCTCAAAACACTGAAGATTTCTCTGTTCTTCTTTCTGCCTGACTAGGGCCACCACTGTGCGCTCAAAAGGGAGGAACTTACGAATCAAAGCACCCATGTGCCGTGCACTGAAGAAACTTTGTGACCCTGATGGTGAGCATGTGCACGCAGAGACACCCAATACGTACTATACACATACAAAATAAACAAACATGAGTGCTGAAAATACAAACAGTGGTGATGGTGAGGCACAGGGTTTGTGGGGGCGGGGTTTTCTGGCAATAACAATGGCAGCGTGTGGGCTCGTGGCGTTTCCATGGTAACACTGTGGGAGCAAAGTGATTAGGAGGAGCAGGAGGGAGACGATGGAGATGACTGGTGTGGCCGACTGTCATCAACCCCTCTGTTCAACAAACTTAAAGAATTAATTTCCTTTAATCAAGGATGGAAAATCAGAATCCCACCGATTGCATCTGCCATCTCTCTAGTGTAGTCCGTCTTTATTTTCATCACTGTATCAGTGCTTTGCAAAAAATCTTGGCCCTCAGTACCACTGAGTTTAGTTACAGTCTTTTCATTTCCTGCTAATCCATTAAACATGAAAGAGACATCATGAGAGAGAACTCTTAACTTTTCAGTAGTTGCACTGTCAACTGTAGCGTACTGTTCATGTAGTGTTATTGTGGCTCTTGACGTTTAGTATTTGATGTTTTATGACTGCATACTGTCAAAAAATCCCACTAGCTGGATGCTCTCACTCTTTAAAAACACCTGACCTTGTCCAAGAAAAGGGCTTTGTTGTTGTCTCTCAATCCGTCTCCCTGTGTCTTTGTGTCCCTGCAGGAGTGAGTGATGAGGAGGACCAGAAGCCGGTGCGCCTACCCCTGAAGGTGGCAGTGGAGCTACAACCACGCAGTAACCACTCCTGGGCCCGTGTTCAGAGTCTAGCCCACAACCCTCGCCTCAGGTCAGACTTACCCATTAACTGATGTCTTGAGAGGAGTCATAACACTGTTGCAAGCAGGAACTGTTCTGAAAGATCCCTGTTGGCGCCTTCAGAATGTGCTGACATTTGAGTCGGATACTCTGTGATGCAAGAAAAGACATCCATGTTTGCCATTGTTTTCAGGATCAGTTTTTAACAGCATAGCTCAATAATGCTATGCTTTTTGGCAAATGCATACCAGTTTGCATGAATGCAACATCAAGCTGTTTTTGAAAATAGTTCCTGTTTTCTCAAGCACTACAAGACTATACCACAAACTTATGTCAGCTTTGGAAAATGGTCAGCTGAAATGCTAAGTAGGCATGTATAGTATAGTTGTAGTTAATGTGTTTATACATGGAAAACAAAGCCAGTCTCAAAACCCGCCCACATCAATGAGTAAAATGAATTTATATTCTCGTTTGTGAATGTTTAATAAGCCATTCACTTGGCACGAGAACTAGAAGTACTTTATATGTGAGGAGCATAAAACCTAAATTAGCCAGTCCAGAGCGGCTCTGCACTGTCTGAACAGCTATCAGCAAACACTCTTTTTTTTGTCTTTTCCGACCCAGGATGGTGGTAGAGCTCCACAGGAAAGTTTCCAGCCTCATTGAGTATCTGAAACAGAAGTGGGCGTACCAGGACCAGCGCATTGTATCCTTGAACACAAAAAACAATACATGTCATCAGTTTATGATGGGATTAACAGTTTTTTTTTTACTGTGTCTATTTTATACAGCCAGCTGCTCGTAACACCCCACAATATGTTACATCTTACAATATTTGTAATCATTGTTAGGGTGTGAATTGGAGCTGAGCAGTGGTCATCTCAGCTATAAACATTTGAGGGTGATACTTGTTTCTGTCAGTTGTGTTGTCCTTAACACTTGTGTTTCAGCTTAAGAGTCTCATGGAGAGAGAGGCTCTGGAGGCCAGCCAGTCCAGCACAGCGTCTCCCAGCAAATCCCAGCCAGATGAGCTTTTTCTTTTCCCTGCTGAGAGCAGCACCTTGACCACACTGCCTGGTGTTGCACGTGTGGTTCACTCCAAGGCCTCCTGCACTGTACACTGGCTAGAAAGTGGCAAGAACCGGCCTAACGCCAAGGAATTGCCAGCCGCTCAGATCCTGGGCATCCACGCAGCTCCTCCATCTCGGACTGGTACCAAATCTGGACGGGGAAGTGCTGCTGCTGGTGGTTTGGTGACTGTATTGGGTGATATTCGTCGAACTGAGCCCCCTAACTCTGAACCTTCACCAGACAGTTCTGCAAAGGTAGAGGACAAGCGACCTCTGTCAGTTTCTGTCCCTGCTTCCTCTCAGCAGACTGTGGCTCCCAGAGAAGAGGGAATTGGGGTGGGACCCTCTGATGGGGGCAAAACCTGCACTGGCGTGGAGGCCAGTGGTGGATTAGCAGTGGTCAAAAGCACGGAGAAGTTGTGTACTGGCGTAGAGAGCACAGAGTGCAAAGAGGAGCAGAACACCAGCACTGCTTCCCCAGAGGCCAACCAGACTCCTCCAACCAAACCTCTGATGACTGGCTCAGAGGAGGGAGTGTCGCAGGGCTCTGCACCAGCAGCCAAAGAGCGGTCTGTGGAGCAGATCAGAGAGGAGGGCTGGAGTGCCCGTGACGCAGAGAATGTCACCCTGGCTGAGCTCTACCTGATGTTTGGGAAACCTGGCAAGCTGCAGCTGGAGTACGAGTGGCAGCCCATCGCAGCTCCTTCCAACAGCCAAGAAAATGGACAAGCCTTGGCACAGGCCAAGCCCAACAGGACACACCGTGTTTTGCGCTGCCTGCTCAAACTGGTTGCCACTGAGGTCAATCCTAAACCTTTGGTGAGGATTAACTGTTACTTCTCACAGTGTTGTTGCTGGTTTCCAGACACTCTATAATCGTTTTGTGGACAAAAACATTGAATATCATGTGTCATTTTTTCTTGCACAAACATTAGAAGTTTAATTAATCAAACATAGGCATATGGTTGAAGACTTGGAATGCATTCCAGTGGCATGAATGAAGAATGCAACTTTAAACAAATATTGTTTTAAAGTGGTGTTCATGTGCCACACTGCATATCCCTGTGTATTCACAAATTTGCATTGCTAAGTGTGCTAATCCACAACAGATCCTCCTTGGAAAGGTAAAGGTTAGATTGGTACAATGTCAGCTAATTTTACAACTGGGAATGGGCTGTGAACTGTGTTCTCTGTGCCACCTTTAAACTGTTGTAAAAGCATTATTCAGAACTTTACATGTAGAACAGATGGTGTCATTAATGTGTCCTCTACTTCAGGCACCAGAGCTGTGCTCCACAGCCACATCACCGCTCAAGACCCATCACGAGGAACAAAACCAGGCCCTCACGCCTCCAGGAAAGGGGCCCATAGCAGGTGTCCGCAGCCCCAGCTGTGGCAGGCAGCAGGCCTCTGTCCGAGGGGCCAGGTTACACCTGGCAAATGCTGGAGCCTCAGGTATTTGTGGGTCTCTCTCCTATAATCTAAAGATGGTGCAAGATATGCATTTACCTTTAGTGTAGCTGACACCCTGTAAATTTAGTTTTTTAAATTTAGTTTGGGTTTGAGTTGACTTGAAATCTACATATTGTTAAAGTCTGATTGAGGCAGATGGCTGCCCACCCTGAGCCTGGTTCTGCCCGAGGTTTCTGCCACTTAAAAGGAAGTTTTTCCTTGCCACTGTCACCAAGTGCTTGCTCATGGTGCGAGTTGTTTGGTCTCTGTACATAATATTATAAAGACTACAATCTAGACCTGCTCTATATGAAAAGTGCCCTGAGATAACTTCTGTTATGATTTGGCATTATATAAATAAAAATTCACTTGACTTGACTGGTTAGGATATGTATGAAAGGAGTCAAAATTTTTACATTTTACATAATTGTTACATATATCTGCTTTGTTCCTCGATAAAATCCCATACAAGTCTGCTGACTTAATTGATATGGGCTTTTACTGACGTGTTTGTGCTAATGATGCTGTAGTTGTTTGCTTGATGATGGGAATTGATTATGAAATGCAAGTCCTCCCTGCTTCATAGGTGTGATTGTTTGGATATATACTTTGTGTACCGTATTTTCTCTAAATCTGTTCAATAGCCTCATACATTATTCTCGAATAATGTCCTTCCTCACGTAACATATCTTACTCGTTCCTCCTCTCTTCAGGTGGACGCAACCTTCCCCGCTCTCTGCTTGGGTCGTCAGTTAGCAGTGACTCAGAGGGCGGTGTGTTCGCGGTACCGACCACGCTGCCCCCCAACAGCTCGCGGCACAACAGAATGTTCTCCCCCAACAAGGAAGCTGAGCTAGCCTTCAGACAGCAGTTGGACTCTATCAGTGTACGACAGAGCAAGGCTTTATTTTTTTTGCACGAAGAGTACAAAAACTAAACTGGTATATTATCCATACGAATATGCACAAATGTTAATATGCATTTTCTTCTTTCTAGATGCAGTCAGATCTTTTCCTGTCTAGACAGAGAAAACCTCGGAACAGGCAACTTCGGAAACCACTTGTAGTTCAGGTGAGAGAAGAGCAGAAGGATGTTTCACTGTATCTATTCAGCAGTATCTCAGTTGGTTTGTACTCGTAATGGATTAATTGTGCGTCTCTTACATGTTGCTGGGTCATGATGGTCTAACAAGTTGCTTCTGTCTTGTCCACAGCGAACACTGCTTCCCCGAACTACAGGAGATACTCCTCAGCATGTCTGCTCCTTCTCCATCCTCTCCAACTCATCAGCCACAGGTACACTTCAGACATCACGATCACGCTGAAGGAAAACGATTGTACTTTTCCCAAAGTGTTGTGTAAAACTTTTGTTTTTGAACATGGACCCTTGAATTTATTTGTGTTTATGTTGACGATAAACTCAGCTGATGTGCTCTCTGTGCATAATTAAATATCATATCTGTCATTCAGCAAGAATTCTGCTAATCTCTCGCTCTCTCACTTCCTGCTTCTTCCCTCAGGGACTGGATCTTTCCGGCCAATCCATACTCGCCTGGCTCCTTCCCCCCGGCCCCTAATTTCCAAAGTTTCCCCTGTAGCACCCAGCTCTGCAGCGGCCAGTCAGCTCTCCAGTATGTAGTGCTTCTATTCATCTATTTTCCTGTAGTTTTTTTTTTTTTTTATTAAAACTATTTCTAGCTCTAGATATGCTGTACTGTTGAAGTTTAAGTTTGAATATCAGTTTTACCTCTTCCTGTTGGTCTTTATCCTGTAGTCATGCAAAATAAAAAAACAGCACATATACTGTAGATAAGCTTTTTCCTCATTTGGAAATTTTTCTTTAGTTGGATTTTAAACATAGAAATTTTATATCACGGCTCCATCACTAAATGGCCTGAACAAAACAGGAAGACTACATACACAACAAAACGACTTAAAGAGAGTTTACCTCTTAATCAGAAGTAAACCTCTCTATTACAAATGAGTTGAATCACTGTATTTACAGTTGCTACTCAATCTCCTGGTTAACGGCCACCAACAGTATTTCTACATTCAAGCATTTGGATTCTTTTCTTTGATGTAAGAAACTTGTTTCCTGGATTCTCTGGATTTTTATCTAAAATTGACTTCAAGTTTCAAAATATATGAAAAACGATCAGCTTCCTTCCTCCTACACGGTCTCCAAAAGTCAGTATGGTTTTGAACAAGTACTCTTTTGTGCAGGGATAAATAGACAAAAAGAACATTCTTCCAGATAAACTCTCTGAAAGGAAAAGCTTGTTTTTTTTTTTTTTTACATCGCCCCTGCTTTCAATTTTTATATTGAAATTGTTGTTGAAATTAATAATTGAAATGTTAAATCACATGCTAATCTCACCTACTGTTACTGTATCAGGTATATGCATGCAACAAATCCTTTTTGTTTCTGTGCTTTCAGGTGCCATTGACCTGGCAGCTAAGTCTGCAGGCATCATCCCTGGCAGTCCCTGTCGAGAGCTGGATTCTCCTACTGTCGATAACAGCACTCTGCTCGCCACCACACCTATTGCTGATGCTGGACCAGACTCTCAACTCCTCCAGCAAAATGTCCCAGAGGTCAGGAAGACACACACACACACACACACACACACACACACACACACACACACACACACACACACACACAATAATACAGATCTATTTGATGTGATTGTCTCCTCCTCCCTTCCTCACATTTCTAGCAGTGATGGAAAAATCAAACTTGTTTTTTGGATCAACAGCAAAATTACTTTTATGATATAACTAAGTCCCAAGTATTTTAATAAAAAAAAACAAAGTCCATCTTATTTGCTGTTAAAATTAAAATTTAATTTTATCTAGCAGGATACCAACAATAATTTCAGATATGCCTCCACGTTGTACTGAAAACTCTTGATGACGAAACAAAAGCATAGCAGCCCCATTGAGCGTGGAACTTACTCTTTCCACAGAATGGTGTGCCTCCACCGTCTCCTGGAGTGACCGGTGGTGGAGACTCACTCCTCTCTCCACCCAGCGTAGCCTCACTCCTGGACATCTCTCTGCCTGGCCCCCCTGAAGAGGCTCTAGTCCCCGGAGAACCTCAAACACACATCAGTGACTCCATCATTGAGCTTGCCATCAACTCTGCCCACTATGGTGTGTTCCTGTTTCAAACCTACATGCAGACATTTATGCAGGGTATATTTATCTATGTAAAACTGACAAATTGCTTGAAAGAAAACTTGACAAACAAGACAGGAGATGGGTATTAAGATTAAACTGGACTGGTGCCTGGTTACTTTATTGAAATGAAAAGTGACAACAGGTAAGAAAAGCTTCATAATCCCCACCAACAGGGTTTGGTTTTTTAGAGGTTTAAAAATATGTGAAGTATTCTGTGGAAGAAAAAAATATGTTTGCATCCAACTAGCTTAGCTTCTGACCTGTCAGGCTTATTGAACATTGTATGTGTAAGCTAATGGCCGTTTGTCTCTCCTGGTGAAGGTGAGGAGGCAGCGCTTTCTCCGGCCAAGCTGAGCAACAACGATGGCTCCAAACTGTTGACCTCGTCTCCCTCAGTCAGCCCGTCCCGAGGCTGGATCCCATCACCCAGCCACGACCCCCAGTGGTACCCCAGCGACTCATCTGACTCCACGTTGGGATGCCTTCTCTGTAAGTCAATTTCTCACTTAAACATCCACAAATGGGTACTATTGCAGATCTTCTTTTTTCATATTTATAATTTATTTTAGCTTAATTAAAAATGGAAAAACTACAGGTTTCTGCTTTTTGTGTCCCATGAAAACTCTAAAATCAGCTTATTGATATATAATTGGTTTTGCCCAGCATTCAAAATTTTAATGCTAAATACATAGAATCTACTTCTACTAATGTTATTTGACAATCAAAGCTTTATTGAATTGACTGTGAAATACTACATATAAACTTGTAATAGATGTCAGATTAATTTATTAATTAAATTTAAAACTAAGACACTGGTAAAGAAACAAATTTTATAATGAGTAAACCCTCACAAAGAAGTCTTTGTCTCTTCAAACATTCATTCATATTGAGCACAGTAACACTGGCACGGCTTCTTTTTACACTGATGGCCCATTAGGTCAGATTTGTTTCCACTCTTCATTTGAGCTCTTCATTCTGTTCACGGTCTGTTGTTTCTCTTTTTTCCCCACAGCCAGCATGGTCTCTCCTGATAAGGGCCGGCGGACCACCCTAACTCCCTCTGGCCCCTCCAGTGGCACAGCTTTGCTTGGTCCTAGCCTCCTGGATTGCAACTCCCATGATTCCTTTCAGTCCCGTGGCCTTCCTGATGTGGCAGAGGTAAGTTGAGTCATTGATTTTCCGTATGAGCCAGCGTCTCTTTGTGGCGAGCAGGGGCATGCACATTGGTGGCGTGTCTTCGGCGGTGTGGGCATCACAAAACGTTTAAGTCCAGGCAACTTAAAGGTAATGAGCTATGACGTGGTGCGGCAGCAACCAATCGCAGTGTAAAAAAAAAATGATGCATTGACAAAGGTCTCTGACATTGTAGGTGTTTCAGACGAGTTGGTGAAGTGTAGCCTATAATATAAACAGGTGAAAATGAGAGGAAACTGAATTCTACCTAGCACCATAGTATGCAAAACAGTGTTGCTTGACAATTTGATGTAAATTAGACAGTAACGTTAATGTTGCAATAGCATGAGTGTTCTCCTTTTATGCAGTTAACTTATACTCTATACCCAGTTTGCATGACCAAGCATTTCTGACAAACTTGCAAGCTGACAATTTCATCTACGTCATAGCACCAATAAACTTACCTTAATAGATTTTTTTCGCTCTTCCACTTTTGGTCTGAACAAAGAGATATGTAAGTGGAGAAAATTTTTGTTTTGTGTCTTCCACAGATATGACAGTTTGCATTTAAAGTGTACACTCTGCCAGTCCTTTGAAATTTTCCTTTTATGCCGTTCTTCCACTTGATAATTCACCTGATTAAATAACATTGTATGTCTTATAAGGTGCGTTCACACCTGTAGTTCAGCTCATTTGTTTTGGACCAAGGTAAAAAAAGATACCGTTGCTGTTGTACATTGAAAGCTCTTTGGTTGTGTGTGCAGATGGACTCTCAGCTGGCTTGTATGATGAGTGAGAGCAGCGTGGACTACATCGCTCGCTTCAATGATCTGGCTCAGGAGCTGGCTGTGACCGAGCCCTCCATCCCGCCACCCTGAGGAAGCGAGGACGTGGCCCCACCGAACCATGGCCATCTGGAGGACACGAGTCGCTGAGTGACCGGAGGATGGGTTCCTCCTCGGTGTCTAGACTGTTGGCCTGTTGTCACTTCTACACTGAAAGGACGGTCGTGGAGAGAGGCCAGCCCCTAAAAGCCATCCCTGCCCTGTTTATAAAAGTGCAATAATAACGGTGAACCCTGACCATTGTGCAAAGCGAGTTCAAAAATGCGTTGGTTTCACTGAACTGTTCTTTAAGGTGAAATGCCCTTTAAAAACAAACACTTTAGAAAAACAAAAGCGTTTACAAAACACAACCTCATGTACAGGAAAATACTATGCCATATCTGAACAAAATATTTTCACTGATCTTGTATGTCTCTTCCTGCTCTTTGTGTGTGTGTGTGAGTGAGTGAGTGAGTGTGTGTGTCTGCTCTCTCAAATCGACCCCCAAAATGTGTAAATCCTCCATAATGTGCAGTTCAGATTCCCGTTGGTGGCAAACAGCTGTTGCAAGAGGATTTTGAAACTAATGGCAGTGAGAAAAGAGACTGAATGTGGTGAGATACTTCATACAGTCTCTTCAGTGGCCTCCATTGCAAAAGTGGAGCACAACACAGCAGGGCAGGTAGACGTAAAATCCTTTGCTCCTGCCCTTCATTTCATGTGCTCTTCATCTCAATCAGTTCAGGTTTTATTGGTTGAATTTTAGGAACATAGCCTGCCATGTGTGTTTGGAATCAGGTTCTTCATTTCTTACAGCCACATGCAAAATGGCAGCTTTTTGTTGGGTGGCCACATTTGGTAGTCGCTCTACAGATGTGATCATCTGCAGCTACTACCCTTGAATTTTGTGCTGAAATCATATCAGAGTTCAAACTCCATTGGCAGTTGCTTCATTAAATTTTCATCGCTTTTAATGTTTGTTGAGGTAATAATACAGATTGAAATGGCCTTTAGGTTGGTTTCTTGGTGCATAAACAGATTGCAAAGAAATATCAACTTCATTCTTTTATATATTTATTTATCTTTCTCATTTTTATATGTTAATTGTATACCAGACATTTAGTTTTGGTCTATTTTTTAAAAAAACTTTTCACAATAAATGGGAATCTTATGACTCAACCACAGAGAAAATAACAACATTGCTCATTTACCTGAGCTCTTTTGCCCATAATGTGATCAACTATATATTCACTTTAAATATTTGACTAAAATTGAAAATGTCTTGGGTACTTCTAAGTTCCCGGTAGTATTACACTCCGGTTAAACTCCACAAGAGTGAGCAGTAAGGAAATCAAACACTAAAGCCATAGTTAACACTCCGCTTACTCTAACATTTTTTTTAAGTTGCCGTCATTCTTTAATCACTAGTAAAACGCTCTGATTGGTTGTGTTTAAAACATTAATTGCCCATTAATAAGTATTGACACTGAACACTGTGGCTATTGTCAACATGATTGGCATATAAACATGTTCATCATCCCTTTAACATCAGCTCATTCTGTATGTGATAGTTTCACTGTGGCTCACAGTGACTACGCACATACCACGTTCAGTCCAAACTCATTGCATTCAGATGTTCTCTAACTTTCAATTAACCAGCATCATCAATATGCAGTATTGTAAACATCTTGTCTCATCAACATGTTAAACTTCATCTCTGTGAGTGTAAATTGTTGGAGAGCTCTTATTGTCATTCCAAAAATGGGATTTAAAATGTTGGTCTCCTTCAGCACCTTGGGGGCTTTGACTCTACAATGTAAAAGCTCTTGTGATGTTTATTTGTTTATGTGAAAAGGTTTCATCTTCTCACACTAGAAAAGAAACAATGAAGATGATTCTTAATAAGGAATAAACAGCAGGTTTTGTCTTTGAATCTGGCATGTTTTTTTTTGTTTGTTTTTTTTTTTTGTTGAAGGATTTATTTGTACAAATGGCAATTCCAGTATTCACTGCGCTTTTGTAACATAATGTAAATTGTTATTTGGATTATTTATTGTTAACATTTCAGAAAAAGGTGTTTTTCTGCTTAACTTAATATTAAGATGACATCTAAAAAAGGAAAAACCTGTTGTTTTAAATTTTCAGTTTGTAAAAGGTGTTTTTATTCTGTGTATAAAGATAGTTATAAAATCAGCTTGTTTGTTGTATTCATTGTGTCTAGTTTGTGGTAAGACCAGTTCGAATGCATGTAGACTTTGAGTTATTGTCAACAGTTGAAGGCTTGTCATCTTTTCCAGAGATAGCTGAGCGGTTTGTCTGCTGAATGGCTGTCTGGACTCAAATAAAGTAAAACATTGGTTGAGAACTGCTTGAGTTAAACAGGAAATCAAACTGACCGCTAAAAAAAACTTGGCTCTGCTGTTCTCTTTCTGGGCAGATAAGCAGCGTTTCCTTCCTTTATGTGCACTAAAATCACTTTGTTTTGAGAATAATTTTCATGGGGTTGCTCAGTATGCCATGTGGTACAGATGACCCAGAAACAATATGCCAGGTGCTGTTCCACATCTCCTAAAAAAGTATGCCTTTCTAACTATAGCATCTGTTTTACAGCAGACCAAAACTGATGTTTTGGGTAGACCCAAATAAAAAACATACAGGATACCTTCATCATATCCTGCATTTTGGTTAATTAAATTGTTCTCCTATTTGTTTATACAGTTGATATTAGAAGGATACTGGTATTGTGATTTTTACAAATTAAATCACATCTGACTCTTTCTCATCACTGGAGACTTTAAAGGATGTTTTCATGGGTGGGGCAGCAGAAGATGTGTCATTATATAACATATCTGTAAACCAAAACCCTGCTTAAGTAAAGTCCATTTGAAGGAGTGAATTCAAAAAACATCATTACATGATCACAATGTCTTCACACAAGAGCCTTGATTCTTATCAGTAATAGATTTACAACTTTTGAGCAGTGGACAATGTTAATTTCTGAAATAGCTGAAAAACACATTCTGGTCAACCAAAACAATCAAACAAGACAAAACTCACCATATGTCCTGTTACAGCGTACAGTGACTGCAGGTTTTTGCTTTGTTTCAGATGCTCTACTGGTAACACTGCAAACGGTGTTACTGAAAAGCTGCATCTATCTCATCTCCATCTGGCTTCCATGTAGATCCATCTCTTTCATGTTTTGGGTCATGTGACTTCAACTGTGCTGGTGAGCCGCTGGTCCCCACCTGCCGCTCTATCAGCCCTCATTCGTCTTTCAGTTTCTGCTCCTTGCGAGCACGAGAGGACATGAGTTTGAAGAAGAGTGCGGGACACAATGTGCGCAGGTAGATGGCCAGGGTCGGCAGAGGTCCTGCCAAAACAACATCTTTGCTCCTGTGGTGGACAGCCTTCAGAACTGCCTGAGCCACGTCCCTGGGATCCCGACCCATAGCTGTGGTTTTATCCAAAACTGAAAGCAGTGTTGCACAAACAAGAAACGATGCATCAGTGACACCTGGGAGTTAGTAAAGCAGGTCAGCTACTACCGAAAACTGTGCAACTATTGGGATGATGTTCGTTCTCTTGTTCCCTTCCTTGTCATTTTTTATTTATTCTGTTTTATTCCAGTTTAGCTTATTTGTATCTTTTATTTTGCTTTAATGTTTTATGTATAGCTCTGTTTAATCAAAATTTATTTTACAAACTGACAATACTACCATTGGCAACAGTGATGTGCAGAAGTAAGAAAACTTACCAGAACAAAAGATGCACATAGATGCAACTTACATTTATAGATTGATGCAAACAACATGTTTATTCTTTTTACCCCAGATTTAGTTGTAAATTCTTAAATGATATTTGTATTTAAAGACACTAAAATAATAGACAATACATGCTGTACAAGTTGGCTCTAAAGCCAAAAAAAGTCTACAGTCTACAAGTGTATATTTGTCACAATAATTAAAAATCTAATTGATATTCTCTTGTCCTTACTGTACACAGTCCGAAACTTCTTTTCATTATATTCTATATATTATATTATATTTTATTTTATTCTATTATTATTATTATTATTTATCTCTTTAAGTATTTTGGTTCTTGTCATTTGGCAATCTGTTTTTCTTTCTTTGTATTGTCCACTTTGCTGCTGTGATGCTGGAAATTTCCCCACTGTGGGACTAATAAAGGAATATCTTATCTTATCTCTTCATTGCCTTACCTCCATACTTAGAGCCATCCCCTGTGACAGCATTGAGAGAGAGGTTGGTTCGGATGTACCCAGGACTGATCACGGTCACTGGAATCCCGTAGCGCTCCATCTCTGCCCGTAAGCAGTCGAAGTAGGCCTGGGTGGCGTGCTTAGAGGCTGCATCTGACCACAGTGTGGACAAAACAAAGAGCTGCTTCATTTTCCATCAACCTAACAGACTGAAAAACCTCTTGGGTATTTGTTTATTGTAAATGAACAAGTAAAGGCAACTTACAAGCTGATCTGTAAGGAATGGCTATCTTGCCCTGGACACTGCTAATGACCACGATGTGGCCGCTACACCGGCGAACCATGGAGGGCAGGAAAGCTGTAAAGGGAGGAGAGAAGAAGAAATGAGAAAAGAAACTGCTGGTAAATGCAAAATATTGTGCAGTCCTCATTAAACCTCCTCTTCTAGGAAATCTGAAAATGTCTCTTCCTAATCAGTGTAACCAAAGCAACAGACGTTACCAGAGAACTGTGACACTGTCATGCTACATCAAGACTACTCAGATCTGGCAACCAAAAGCCATAAAACCTTAACTCCAGGCTCTGCTTCTCACTTACCCTGAGTAAGAGCAATGGGCCCAAAGTAATTTGTTTCCATAACATCTCGTTGAACTGAAAGATGGGTATCCAGTATGTTGCCACGGTAACTGATTCCGGCATTATTGATGAGGACATCCACTTGTCCGTAACATTTCAGGATCTCTTCTGCAGCCCTGTCCACTGTGTCTGTGTCTGCCAAGTCGAAGGTGACAGTGCTGGGAGTGTAAGTCTGGTGGTTGAACAAAAGACAACAGTTAAGTACTGCTAAGTACAGTCATAGAGTGGTATTAGAGACACAGAACAGGGAACTTTGATGAGATAAAATCCCAGATCATCAGTGGATTTTGGTCTTTGGTTGAATGTGACTATGAGCAAATGTGTGTACACAAAGTTTGCAACTAATGATTATTCTTGTCATCGATAAATTAACTGATAATTTGATTTTATAAAACAGAAAAATAGCGAAAATTTTCCTGGGGCTGTATTTTAATTCAGCTTACTAATAATGTAAGACCACAAAGCTCTCACATATGAGAAGCTGGAAGAAACAACGTCACTTGAAAAATGTCTTAAACTCGGTGTCCTGTAGCTCAGGGATTAAGACACTGACCATTAATGTATTGAATCGAGCCTGGGACCTTCCTTGCATCTCTTTCTCCCTCATTTCATGACATATCTTTACTACTGTCTGTAATAAATGCTATAAATATTCTGTCAAACCAATCAATTCATTGCCTAATTGTTTCAGCTCTAGTGTACACACCTGCTGCTTTGTGCCTGTTGAACTTGCTGTAAGCTCCTGGACCACCTGCTGCAGACGGGCTGCATCTCGACCACACAGCACAAGCCGTGCACCGGCAGCGTGGAAGACTCGTGCACACTCTGCAACACAGAAAACACACCTCTTGTTCATGCTAAATATCAACAGCATGACATGCCAGCACTTGCAATACAAGACTAAAATATGCTACCGTAAATTATCTCACTACTTGCCAACTGAAAGAAACCTCTGCAAATCAGTGTGATTTGATCTGCAGATACATGTAAGGTGAAGTTAGAAAGAAATCAGTAGGGGGGCAACCTTTTCCCAGTCCAGAGCTGGCCCCTGTGATGACCACCACAGCATCCTGTAGAGCAGCTCCTGGTCTAAGTCGGATGAGTATCCGGTATAACAGCAAGACCCCCATACTTGCTAAGACCACTGGCAGCATTCCTCCTCCCATGACTCGCTCCATGGCGCACAATAGCCCGTCCCTGCTCCACACACGCTACCTGCCGACAGAAGCTCTAAATGTTTAGTCAGGAAGAGTTTTCCCAAACTGCATGTGTTGCAGAGGCATTGCAGAGGCGTCTTTAAATCCAAAAATTTTCACTCATTATATCTGACTCTGGTAACTTGTAATAATCATTTTTCATTATTTTTGACAGCTCACAGGCCAAACATTTAACCTTTTTTTAAAAAAAAAAAGTGGAAAGTTTACTCAAAAATGAAAACAATTGCTTGTTGCAGTCCTAGTCTTCCGCTGACAAACTGGCCCCATGAGAAAAAAAATCATATTTGGATAGAAAATGAATAAAAACACTGGGGCTTTAAGCAGGCCACAGTGTGACCTTTATTTGTGTGCTCTGTAAGCTCTCTTGCCCCCATTGCTAAAGGCATTGTGGATGTTTTAATGTCCAGATTTAGTTAAGCCCCTTTCACACAAACGACCGGCATGCCAAAAGTGATGAGTGCCATACAATGAACTCACTCACTCACTCACTCACACACTCACACACTCACACACACACAATGAAATGACAAATTTTCAGAAATCAGAAATGACTTTTAAAAAGAGAAAATGGACCCAAGAATACAGAGGAAATGGCAATAAGTCAATTTAGAGTCACCAACAGTATGCATGCTGTTTTTCTTCAGTGTGTGCTCCTCTTGCAGCTCTACATATTCCTAATTGTGAGCATAAGGACTTAAGCATTTGATACGACATTAAGTTCACAATCGCACCAGTTTTTCCAGATTGGATCATCTGTTTTGGGTCTACATATTTAGGAGGAGAAGGGTGCTTTACTTGAAATAACTGACTTCCTGTGTTATTGTGCTATTGGAAACTATGTTGAAAATAAAAAAAACTGCTAGTTAAATACATCAGTTAGCATTGGCATCTAGTGACGAGTACCAGGTTTATGTTAATGAAAATGTGTATTTTCACCTTCCACTAAAGCACACGATATGAAATAGGTTAACTACATGTTAAAATCCCACAAATAACAAAGCACAATGAGTGCAGCATTGGCTTGCACTGCAGCCAGGTTAACAGTGTCTTACTCGATAGTAAATGGCTGGAGAAGCTAATGCTAACGATAGCTAGCTTCCACTGTGCAATAAACCGCTAACTCAACCAGACGTGTTCGATCGAACTTTGGGCTCACCTGAGCTGTTGTCCTGCCTCTGTACAAAACAGAAGCGTGAGTCGGTGACAGGGGCAGTTCCGGGGTTGACTGGAAGGACACCCACCAGTGTTTCTTGAAGGGCTACTGGCTTTTCAGCGCCAGGAATTGTGGGAGTTGAAGTTTCGGTTAGTCAGTGGCGTAACAAGCACAAACAGGCTCATGGGCCCATTTTTACTTTCTCTCAGATACAAATTCTTTCCTGCCAAGTTATCGGTAATTCTTGGTCCAAGCTGGTTTTTGTGTAGATGAACACAAGCAGCCACACAAACCTAAAGAGCTTTATTTTTCAACTTGAAACGAGGCAAGACTGTCCTTCTCATATCTGGTTTTGTAACCAGCTGGTAATGACTAAGCTGTTCCAAGGTTGAAATTTTCATATCTGACTTGGGTGTATCTGTGAAACCTTCCTCAAGCAGATGATCTAATGTGGGATTAGGAAAACAAACAACAGGAAAACAAAGTCTGGGTGATAACTGGAGAAGGGGCAAGCTTTTACCATGCCATGCCATTTCCATTTACCAATGCCTGGGGCATTGCTATACCACCAGACCCAGTAGTGTCACCCTAAAAGGTTGATAAACAGCCAATACATCAAACATCCAAACTCCTGTGCATCAGCACTAATGTCAGCAGCAGGTCAGCTGACAGATAATTAGCCTGCTCTGGCCACAAAACTGCAAACTATTAAGGTTGTCTTGGGTCGTGTCTCTGAGCACTCATCCCATTGATTTAAGTGTTTCTGTCCCCATATATCAGTACTGCTCATCCCTTGAAGCATGTGTACAGTGAGAGGCAATAGCACTGGGAGTTTTGACATGCTCTGTATTCATATATGCATTTTATTTTATTCAATTTCAAAATGCGGGAGCTAGGGCTCAAAACACTGTACCCGTGGTTTTCCAGGTCCAACACAGAGCAAAGCAGAACCAAGGCCGAGCTTGTTAAGTCAATGTGAACAAAGAGCACAGCAAGGTTTGCAAACTGAATCCCCTCCAGGTTAAAGCCAACAGCAGGGTCTCAGTCGTCTGAGGTGCTGCTTTCATATACTGTACACAGTTATTAAGAAACTGTACATTTAAACCTATGTAAGCACCACTGAGGTACAAAAAAACAACAAAAAAAACAAACAAAACAAAAGCACCTTGTAAATTTTAGGACAACAGGATGACATTTATCAGTGTAAAGAGTTGAACATTGTCATTAACAACTGAACTCTTTGCAACGCTACTATAATGCTTTTAAACCAGTGTAAAATGTGTTGTTTCCCTGTTCACGTTAGGAATTGAAAAACTATTGTGACAAAGTGAAGGCAAGCCTTTTACGACTTTTCTGTTACACTGCTACCAGTTGCAGCTGTCTGATGGCATTATATGCGAACACACTAGTTACTGAAACCTTTGAATATGTTACAGTGTATTTCTGATACATTGTTTGCTGGACCTCTTAAGGGATTTCCATGAAATTCTCAAGGAAACTTTTCATGACCAAATGTACCATAAAAAGGTTTCAATTTGCTCAATCTACAATCAAAAAAATACGTGTTTGTGGAAAGTCAACAACCCTTATTGTGCTAACCCTGTCACTTAACTGTCACTCTGGGTATTCAACTTAATCACATTTAAATTCCACTTTATTGTTCAATTGTTGCAAGTCTCTCATATCACAGTTCATCCTTCACTTCATCCATACTTATTTTTGTTCATCTCATAATTAGCATTTCCTCTTCCTGGGAACCAAAATTTTTAAAACTGCTGATATAGACAGCAACACATGACAAGCACCATTGAATAAACAGAACCAAGAAAGTGTGAATTTAGAAATCAGCTGTAAAATTCTTGTCTATAGGTTCAACTAGATTCTATTTTTAATCTTCTATTAAGAGAGATTGGCTTGTTGTTAATCTAATATACATTATTAGAAGCGTATGTGAAATGTGACTTTTCAAAAGTTAGTATTTTTCTCAAGCGATGACACTGAGCCACATCATTATCACACAAGATCTTACTTGCACTCTTTCAAACAAGAAAATCTACATGAACAAGACACAATCTCAAAAAAGTTGCAGCTATTTGCTCCTTTCTGGACATCATGTAGAATCCATTTAATGAAAAAAGTAAAATAAAATACAGAAAAGTGAGTTTGAAATATCCTAATGTTTAATGAACGGGTGATGTACTGATCAGCAAGAAAGGGGTACAGTAAAACTACGAGGGAAAGGGGAAAGAGCTTGGTACTCAAAACATGTCTGTCCGTTTCAACTGCAATACGATTCAGTCCAGAGGAACTGCTGCCATACCCTTGTGCGCTAGCTTGTTGTGTGTCAAGGATGCAGGTGGAGGGCACAGGGGAAGAGGCGCAAGGGTACTACAGAGATAAATGTGCTGTTGTTGTCACATAGAAGTAAAGGAAATGTAAGGGATAAACAATTCCTTCTAGTTTTTACTATATCCCTCTGATCAAAGTTCAAAATGGAAGCACCCACCACATGTGTGGAGCTAACTGCTGGGCCTGATCGTGACTTCCACTTTTCTTACATCTGGGGTGGATAGGTTCTGTTTTTTTTGTTTGTTTTTTTCCTTTTTCTGTTGGTTCTTATACCATCTTCAGAGTGCACTCATACAGCATAGAGTTCGTAGATCTTCTTGGCGCAATACGCCAGGGCAGCCAGTGCTATCGTATTATGGAGTCTCTTTCTGTGGATGTCATCCCTGCGTACCAATACCACGGGCGTTGAGGAGGTGAGTGTATGCAGGGGCAGCCGCGAGAGTTTTTGGCTGTCATATTCCACCTGGTACTTGCAGCAGGGGTCAAACTGCCATGAAATCCCGTAGAGGGCAGCACAGGCCACACTGAGGGCGCCAGCGGGCAACGCCACATAGCGCGAGTATTCAGCAGGTAGTGAAAGTGGCGTCAAGAGGCAAGCAGCGCCTGACAACACGGCCGTCTTGTGCAGGCAGTTGCCCACTGTAATCCAACGGGCTGTCTCATCTCCGATGCGTGTGGGCTCAATAACAATGTATTTATACTGGGCCTCCAGTGCCTGCTCCAACTCATACTCAAACTGGTCCTGCGCATTCTCCCCATTGTAGATCTCATGCACAATGTAGCAGTCTGTCGCCGCCATCACTCCCCTGTGCAGAAACAGAAAAACAGGCAGGGAACAGTGAGAGAAAGGACAGGGAGAAGAGTGAGTTTGATTTTCCTACATTTCTACACCAACCAGCCCATTTTTGTGGACACATGAATTTTAGCCAAGACAAACATTTACTGCTAGTTTTTTGGTTTCTCAACTGAATTTCCTCAGGATTTACTATATCACAAGAGACGCAAGTATTACTACTGTAACTAACACTTAATCTGTGATATGCATGAATAAATGATACTTTTAGTTGAAGTAAAGAAAAAAATGACATGCCATATACATGCAGTGCAGGATTTAATTAAACAGTTAATTTGTTGCTATGAATCAGTACATCGGTATACTAACTACATTATTATTAAATGAAAACCAATTTCCATGATCGATAACTTTATCTTTTCAGTGTCTAGTTAAAATGATACTTTGATAGTTTCTATATATATGTATGACCTCCAGAGCATGGCATGAGACATGGTGGGGAATGTGAACACACTTTTACAACATTAGTGTCATAATGTTGTAACCAATGCACTTCAAATAATATTAATTCCATTTTTTTCAAATGCAATTACTTTTTTTTTCTTTAATCAGTCTAACTATGAAATGACAAAATTACCAAAGTCAGTTTTTGTGGCTGTGTCTACAACATACTGCAGTTTGAATCAGTAACCGACACAACTTTGATATTTTTAAAACCACTAACTATTTCTGTCGATCATCTGATTGACATGATTTATCGACTAACATTTTCGGTCCTAAAGCCTTTGTAAATTGATATTTTCCGACTTGTTAGTAAATTGTGATTAAATATAACTAAGACGTGTGTAGGGACAGTCTCAGGCCTTCTAGTACATGTTGACAAGATGACAAGCAAGCCCTAACGGCTAGATAGATAACAGGCTTATTTGGCTTCAAAACAGCGGGACGTCGGCTAAGGGGGTAAAGAATTTAAAATTATATTGAAAACTAGCGAAAATCATGTTAGGATCAACGAGCAAAGAACGTAATGTAGCTGAGGCAGGTTAGATAACATTAGCTGACTCGTTGCATGGTAGAAAGTTGGAGGACTGGCCAGCTAAGTTAAGGGACGATTTACTTTCAGCACAGGTCGACAAACACAGCGGACAACACTGCTAGCTCAACCTGGATTTTCCAGCATGTGAGCTGAGGCAAATCATAACAGCGACCGCACCAACGCGCGGTTAAACTCAACTTTCCTCGCAGTTAATCGGTTGGTGTGAAAAAACCAAAACATCACATGAGCTACTAGTTTGTTTCCTTGCTAACGTTAGCTAGCTACAGACGTTAGCCCGCTAACGTTAGCCAACCATGGGATAAAATTCCTCCTTGTCGTGTTGGAATTTAACCTTAAATTCCTAACGATATTCACGTTTGGGGTCTGGCAAATGACGAAATCGACATAACGACGTATCATTCTAAAACATTTTCGTTTAATGCCCAAGATGTGGAGTAACTGACCTCTCCCTGCTCACTGGGACACCGCGCCTCCTTCCCAGCGACGCCATGTTCGAGATACAACCGTGATTGCAGTTGACGTATGACGGCACCCAGCCTTCTGGGTAATGTATTGTATCAGTGCAGTCGACGCATCACTTGGACACGAATGTGGACTACTGTTCCCATGATGCTATAAAGACAGAGTACCTGCCTTTACGTATTTTATTATAGCACACAGAAGTTTGAGAGGTCAGACCATATTCTTAATAAATCTAACGCAAATGAACGGAGGTATGTTTGTTTAGAGCATAATAATTAATCAAGTAACTGAACACCAAATAATTACAGGAGCCATTTATATATTTAAATCGTTAATCGCGTGCACAATTAAGTCGGTTGCAACATACTGTATACAGTATAATATAATGTCTATCTATCTCGTTTTGTAATAGTATTTGTATTTTGTAAACTTCTGGGTACTTACCCATATTGTGTGCTCACTTGCTCTGTCTGTGTCCCCCTGTGCTAGTATGAACTGCCTGTCCGCGTACTGTAACCTGAAGCGGGCTGGATGAAACTACACTAATGGCTACGTTCTGGAATCTGAGATAAGCTGAAACCAAACGCTGCGCCAGCGGCAACAATTGTTAACAGCTTAATGGGATGCACGTGACGTATATTTGTACAAATCTAATCAATAAAAAATATCTTTAAAACTTGGATTTTTGAATGATATTAAAACCTGGTTTCTGGACCTGCCATAGCCCCTCGAGGACATCAAATATTTTAACATCCCGTTAAGAATAACTTCAGTTTATGTGAATCGCTGAAATGTTAATTAAACAACTCAATCAACATACAAAGTATGATGAAAGTAGTCGTAGATCCAGAATGGAACCAGGATTTTACTAGTGAGGTCACGAGTCTATGTAACTCCACTGCAGCTTGACCCTCCCTCCCCGACTCCCTCTGAATTATTTTGATTCTTCATATTTTATTACAATTAACTGGTCGATTACATTTTTTGTTACTTTAATTTCAAGACCCGTCGGTCTAAATGTTAATGTTGTTCAGTGCCATCTCCACACAGCCATTAAGACATTTTAGTGGAGATAGTCTTCTATGTACATGAGATGTTCCGTTAGTGATTCAAGTCCCCAAGACTGTAAGTGTCTCAGCTGGGTTTGTAGATGAACTGCTGCTCTCTTCAACAGATGATTAGCTTTCATACCACCCATCTGTGGAGTGTTGCCGCATTGTTAACAGCACACCATGTGACACAGGCAGTCCTCTCATAGCCTCAGTGTTTTGTTTTTTTTTACTGTGATGCCTCTGCCCACAATGTCAAATTATTAAATGTCAAGCATGGGTAGAGATCATATTAAATTCAAAATACTGCTAACTTTTCTGCTTACCAATTCCATTGAATTGCAACGTCAGCTCATGCTATTCTTGACACTGCCACCAGGTGGCGCCAAGACATTTTAAAACCCTCCACCAAGTGGCTCAAACAATAATGTCATGAGTAATGGATTTATTTATTTACCGACAATAAGAATGAAAATAAAAGTCTCAAGCACAAAAACAATATAACAAGTATTGGTACATTTTCACGCATTTGGTAGAACCACCTGCTCCCATGTTAAATCAGGCATTTATTTCCTCTCCATAAAACACACAAATATAAACAAAAACACAAAAAATGAAATAATACCTTGACTACCTTGGCTTATCAATAGGTGTAAGCCACCTAAGGAAAGTTTAACAAAGGGAAAGAGGTTTCCTGCAATTTCCTGTCAGTGATTCTTAGAGCAGATAGTCTGCCTTGCATGTTGGTCTGTCCTGCCATTGTGTATAGAGGAACCTGAGGTATTTTTCTCCTCAACACTTTCGATTGTCATCAGCAAAAGCTCCTGAAGAGCCAAAGTAAAGTAAAATGTTTCTCCAATGTTGACCTTTACCATGTTGACATCAGCTAGCTAAAGAAGTCTTGTGGGTAAGAGTAGAAAAAGGGAATCAAATGACAAGAAAAAACTAAGCTTCAGCCATCCAGCGTCATTTTCCTGAAGGACAGATCAAAGGACGGTTTCACACCATAGAAAGTAAAATGCCCTGAATATAGCAGTGCTGTTTTTAAAAGGCTGGTTTCAGCAGAAATATTTATCCATATCCACGCTGAAGTGTGCCGCACAGTGACAAGCTTCACACCCAATTTATCATGTGTTTGTAACAATTAACACGTACAATGGAGAAAATTGCAGTGCCGCCAGAGTTAGACATTACTCACTGAGTTACTCAGTTTGTGTTCTTTGGTTTACAAATCCCTGCACCTCTGACTTATCAATGGACAGTAAGTTTCTGTTACTGGGAAGAAGTGGACAGAGTAACAGTGGTACCAAATTGAGAATTTGGGGAAGTAAATGTCTTCAAAATACAGATTATATATTTTTAAAATCTATCCATTACCCATTTATGCCTATACCTCTTTGCAATTATCTGGAAAAAACATGTAATTAGTTTGATGTTTCAAAGATGCATGTAGCATTCAAAGCCTAGTATACTAACATTTTGAAACACAATTTCTAAGAGTGGAAAGTAAATTGAAAAAAATAACCAACTCAAAGAATATCAAAAGGGGGTGAAATATAAAAGTTGTCACCATTGCTTCCATACAAACCATCACAGAGAAAGACAGCTGGTTGGTTATCTTGTAGTGCTGTTCACAACCCGAGTCCAAAAGAGGACAAAAAATTTGCAACATAGGATTCGACTCACACATGTTCTCAGTACATACCTAATGCTTGCTTACAGTCAGTGATGGGTATACAACTTGGAGGTTTCTGTCTGAGGTAACAGGCTTCAGTTTTGGTTCGTTGGTTAGCTCATGTATACAAGTCATGACCAGCGTGACCACCAGAGCGTGCATCCCTGTGTTATGGACATAACTGACCTGTCAGTTCAGCTCACGGTCGTCTTAGCCATGAGATTAGTTGTCTCTGGATTCACTCCGTGTCATGTGTAACAATGCCTGGAAGGTCCTTTATTGTATATCAGCCTGTGACTCCAAAGCATGCTGCTGCTGCCACACAGTATTTATCTCCTGGGAGTCTCTCTCTCTCCTCCTCTCTGTTGGAGCCATGTGTGGTCATTGATAAATATGTTCAAAGTACTGAGGTTGAGGATTCTCTTTGACGTATTTCTGAATGTACCAGCAGGTCAAGTGGGCTTTCAGATCCTCTTCTACCACAAAATCCATGGCTGCCTGCCATCACACAAGCATAAAATCATATTTAAATTGCTCTGACAGGCACTTTATCAGACAACTTGTCATATGAACACTTTGGTAATTGATTTTCATATTTGAGCACTTGTACATTGTGTATTGCACATTCAAAATTCAACTGTGAGGTGTCCTTGAATGCTACCCAGATGCAAGTGTTGACTAGAGAAGTCATCAAAATAAGGTTCTTTTTCACCTTTCATAATCAACCAAGTTGGCCCTACAGCTAATCATTAGAGTGATTGGGGTTCGTGTGCACACAGTAAATTATTTGAAATTGTGATCAGTTGAGCTACAATCAAAATACTGGTTTTCCATTCCAAAATATTAAATTGTGCATGTTACAAATTGGGTTTTTCAGAAATGAACAAGAAAAGAAAGAGAAACTCCCTCTCTTTTCCTAAAATTGAATGATAAAAATAACCAGTCTTTTATGAGTTTTACCTTGGCCAGGTGCTTTGCAATTCCTCTCCCTCTGTAAGCATCTGGAACTTCAGTGTGTTGCAAGTCCACCGTCTTTTTTCCAACATATTCATACAGAAGAACTGCACGATCATGTGATCCTAAGGGCAGACAGAAGTCATAGCTCTTGGTTGTGTTAAGTTTGTCTCTACCCCACCCAGTTCCCTCCAGTTTACATACAGCAATTTGAACCGACCTTGTTAGGGGATACTGATATTACAAATGCAAATGTGAATGTTTAAGGGCTAATTTTATGTAGCAGATTCACAAAAATCTGTCACTATGCTAATCAAAAACACAAAAACCTTAAGTCGGCATGAATGCTACAAAGTTTTATGCTATATCTACTATAAAGTGCAGGCATTTATATCTTTGTGTGAGCCTCCTGCCTAAGTCATTGATCATTTTAGAATCTACATATAATACTACAACATGGCTGCTCAATAACACATCGCCTAGCAGACAAGCGCATGTGGAAAAAAGATAATGAAGCTGGTTGGAGAGAGACAGAGACTGATAAAGATCTTCATTCAGGCAACAATGGCGTCCACTTTTTTGCTATAAACACATGACACCGCTGTATTGTATAATATCATCTAAATTCCTAGATTATCTAAAACAATTTCCATAAAACGTTAAATGAAACGGACCTGGACATATACACACATTAACATACTTCAATAACCCTGTGTTTTAGTTTGTCATACACTGAACGATTCAATGCCTTAACATTTGGCAGAATAAGTGCCACAACCCTGCCATAACTTTTAAAATAGTCACTGTTTAATCTAGGAATATGAAATGATTGGTGCATTGGTTGGTTTTAAGCATAACTTATAAAGGTTGGTAGTGAGGGACTATGTTGTTACAAAGGAACTTCACTTGGAAGGATAGTTGATATCTATAAATGTTTATTAAACTGTGTTTTTTGGCTGGATGCTACTGAAGGCTGCATGTTTGCTTTCAAGAAGGGAGTGAAGAAAATGTTTTCGTCGTGCCAAAAAAGAGGCTGGTGGAGTTACAAGTCAAGGAAGTCAGCAGCTTTAACCAAGCATTGTCGTCTGTTCAGTTCCTGACACGAAATAACATCTGAATAAAGACGTTGACACTTCGACCATGTGAAATGAATAACGCCTTTGTGTCTGAAATGGCAGCTGGAGTTATCAATAATGGCACGACGTCGATGTTAGCAGCAAAGAAAGCTACCCCAACCTCTGAGCTAGCGTTAGCTCGCTAGCATGCTAATGTTTACATGTTGAACTTACCATTCAGTCTTATAACAAATTGTCGACGCTTTTTATCGTGCTCCACTTGGATTTGAGAGTTATTTGCATCGAAGGCATTTGGCTGTGCTGCCTGTGCCATGGTAGCTCGCTAAAGTTGACGATGATTACTAGGCTATTCTCCAGCGTTGCTAACCAGAAATGGCTAACATGAAATGATGAACGGTCAAAGCAAAACACTCCAGCCAACGAAATCAGCTGTGAGGTCACGTGTCGTCCAGCCAATCACCGCTGGAGCTGCTGGAGCTGCTGGAGCTGCTGGAGAAAAGCAAACAGAGCACACAGTGAGATTAATCCTAATGTAAAGACTTAGATAACTATTATGTCCTTTACCGGGTAAAGGTAGGTAAAACTACTCTATTACAAGTAAAATGCCTGAATTAAAATTGTCTTAAGTAAAAGTATAGTAAAAGTAGGCTACTCAATTCAATGCAGAAAAATGTCCCATGTCACCATGATTTAACATATATATACTATATATATATATAAAATAGTATATATATGTATATATGCCACACTGTCATGGTTTACTGAGACACTTGAATAGAAGAGGGCCATCGTTAACGTTATTGGTAACACCTGTGCTTTCCTCCTATGATGAGTCAAAATTTCTGCTTTGAAATAGGGCTATTGATTACTTATAAGCACTGGACTTTGACACTCGAAAAAAATATGAACAAAATATATACAGTGTTTAAATTGCATGTCTGACAACATTAGTATAACATTACCACACGAATATGACCTGATATACCTGGTACATCAGATATACTGTGCAGCTCAGTTACCTAGAGCTCCCTCATGGCATTGCATTAATGTTATAGTATAATTTTAACCTCTTGACATGAAAAAGGAAACAATTTCTCACTCCTCCCAAAATCAGTGTCTCACATTCAGTCTTCCATAACGAAATTTTAAGTAATTTAAATTTTACTCATTTTTGCTTAATTTTTATAATCATCTACCATCTCAGTCTACAATTTTAGGCCACACACAATTAAATGACTAATTAGTTTAAGCACTTTAGCTTTCATTGCATGATGTGGTGTTAGAGACATTATAGTAGAGTAGTTCTTGGGTTATAAAAAGTGCCCTTCTTCAGACAAGTGATGAATGTAAGAATTAGATTCTGATGGGTCAGATCAGGTCACAGCTCACAGATCCACGGTGACAGCTTTGTCGCTGTGTGTCCTCCGCAGAGCAAATGCACAGTCAGCAGTCCAATCCCTCTCGGCCACACTTGAGTGAGTTCATATGTTTACTGCTACTACCTTGGATTCTGCTTATGTAAAATACTGTGTCTTGATATTAACTTCATAGACATTTGGAGTGTTCCTTGACATTAAAGGCAGGTACATCAAGTTCACTAAAATTACGGTGTAGTAATCCTGTTAAGCAGTTGGCCTAATCCCACAAAACTCTAATGGAGTTTGTCAACTCTGTATGGGATTACGTGTGTGTGTGTGTGTGTGTGTGTGTGTGTGTTTCTTTGGGACACTGTTGTATAGACCTGTTTGTGATTTGTTCTCTCTGGTTTTTGCGAGACTAAGAAGGAGTGCACTGGCAGACGGATCAATAATAATATCAGCCCTACATTCACACTTTTAATTCAGTGTATTCTCATCTCATTGTGCTGCTGAGAATGATGTCCACGTGGCAAAGGTAAGTCACAGGAAATTAATTCATTTTAGCTGATGTACAGATAGATGTAAATGAAAAGGACATAATAAAGTTCTTTGGACACCGCTTGTGTCGCTAGGCCAGTTTGCTGATGTTGACCAGTTAAAGAAAGAAAACTCAAGGAGATAAATGCATTGCTGTGCCTACTGATCTTATAATTTAAAAGAAGTACAGGGAGTATCCTCAGATGGCAGCTGATAAATTGTGTACATGAATAACATGTCTTGGGTTTATTTCTTTACTGACAAAAACTAATTTGATGTTTGCTTATTTACTCTTGATGTTAAAGAGAGGGAAGAATTATTAAACTTGAATTGTTATATATATTATTATTATACTCTCATTACTCTCATAATAATGCCAAATTATTTTGCATTTCCTGGCACCATCCTGCTAACTCTGTGTGCCAATTCACTATGTGTAAAATGAATTAATCAGACCTTTCCCAGAGTCGTAAACTAGCTAAATAAGAGAAGAAGACTGTTTTTCACAGCAGTTATTTGACCACCAGTAATGCTTTTGCATTGTTTTTTGTTTTTATAAAACAGTGCAGTAGGCTAATTTGGGAGAGGACTTGTTATATTTTCAGATGTGCATAAGGAGCACAGAAATGATCAGTAACTTGAATCTAGCACTTAGGGTGAATCTCTTGTTCTCTGTAACACCCAGCATCAAACAGTAAGTATGCTGTTGTAGTGCACTTAAATAACTGTAAATGCCTATTACAGAAGGAAGAATACAGCAGAGTACAATGTGTTCATGAGAAAAATTACCAACACTCATCATTGACACGCATGTTTGCTCACTACTATTTCCGTTAACCTCATTAAGTTCCATTAACACCCACAATCTGCTCACAAGCTGCCTTACAAGTAAAAAATAATAATAATATGGTTGAATTTAGTGAAAGTGAAGGCTGCCAGGATGATTTATGCAGAACTGCTTTAATCTTATCAATAGCAGGCGGAATGAGACCCTGGTAAACACAAAGACCAACACACCTGCACAGAAGAAAGGGGGGAAGGTAAGTACCAAACTCATCTGTACATTCAGAAATGGTGGTCAGGTAATTTAGTAATGCTCATGACTTTCAGAAGTTTAGTCCGGAAAGAATCTTCTCAGAGAGACACAGCTGACTGATTTATTGCATTGACTTGAAAATGTTCTTGAAATGAGACATTTATATTCATGTGGTGAAGTATATTATTTGATCTCAATTCATTCATTAATTTCACACGGATAAAGGTCAAGGTGGTGAGGCAACACATGGCTTAAAATACTACTTTTTTTTTAGAAAAATTCATTTTTCCAAGTAAACCGGGATCATTGCTGTTGCTCAGCTGTGGTGGAAGATTTGAGCAAAATTGTAAAACGTGTTGCTGTTGTTGGTATGTGTGAAAATGGCGCACCATGCCAGAATAATTAAAATCCAGACTGCTCATCAGTCACTGGATCCACATATACCATAACAAATAAACTCAGATATAGAGCAATTTTGCAGTTTGAAGGTTGTTGTTTAATTTTGTGGAAAAAAGCAAATGTTCTGAATTTTACACGTCACCTCGGTGTATGTTTTGCTGGTTTTGTAATAACAGAAAAATAATCAATTTGCTCCTTTTTTGATTAGTTTTGAAGCATCTCATCTAAACATCTTTGCTGATGTGTTTTGAAGGATAGTATCCTACAACATCCCCTTAATGTTGACACAAGTTCCTCAGAGTTGGTGCATATTTTTGCTTGCATTTGGTTTGATTTATGTAGCTATTAATGGCTGAAGATCAAACTAGTGCAGTTAAAAACCTGCACAAGTCGCTAAGTCAGGACTCTTCGAGCCTCTTCTAATTGATTTCTCTGTCGTGTGCTCCGGCTTCAGATTGATTACCTCTGCAGTTGGTGAGGTTGCAGACTGGAATAGACTTCCTATGTCTGATTGCTCTCCAATGCTCAAGTGTGATTAAGTTCAATGTGTGCGTGCGTGCGTGTGTGCGTGTGTGTGCGTGTGTGTGTGTGTGTGTGTGTGTGTTCATGACCACAGTGTTGGTCAGATGGTACTTAAGCAAATTAAGAGCTCTTGTGAGGATTAAAAGGTCCTCTCCAGTGGTGATTGGATTGTATGTGTCAAAGAGTCTGAGCAGGGATGGGGGTGAGCAAGAGGTGCGATGTATGACATCTAAATATTGTCATCCCCATAACTGAAAAACAGACAGAGCTTTCTACTGTCTTTTTGTGATTTATTTCCTTAGATGATCAGTGTTAAGCCTCTGCTGTGGCTCTCTTTCTCTCTCCCCCAAAGGACCTAGCAGCGCTAACAGTGCCCGTATCTAGTGGTGGTAAACAGGCGGGCAGCAGTGTGCCTAAGCCCAGTGGTAGGAGCAACAGCCTCAGCAGCAGAGGAAGTGACTCGACTGCTAGTGGCAGTAAAGTTGGTGGCAGTTTGAAAACAGGCAGCCTCAGCCACCGAGGCAGCCTTGGCCACCAGGGTACCAGACAAGCATCTCACCCAGGGAGACCAGCTCTCCGCCTCTGCAGCAGTCGGAGTTTCTCGTCCCTCAACACCTCCTCTTTCACTGCTGCTCCGTTCATGAGGAGCAGCCGTTCTCTCAGCAGACTTGACCAAAGATCTGTTGGACAAGGTAAATTTATTCATGTTTCATTCATGATTATTTCTTTGTAGTTCTTTGGTGCAAATTAAATTATATGTCAGTCAAGAATCCAATAAGCTATATTTCTAAAAATCTAAATATAGTGGCTCATCTTTATTATGAGATGATGATGATTGATGAGTTGATGACTTTTTTCTTAATTTGCACCACAACAAAGAAGCTGATTAATAAAAATAATGCTAAAGATTTTTGTAAGTAAATTGTAAAGATCACCAAAGAAGCTTCTCAAATTGTTTCATATACAGCTGTTTCTTTGCTGCTGTCTCTGAAACAGATTCAGATCAGGCAGCACCAAGCTCACAGGTTAAAAAAGGACAAACCTCAGAGAAGAAAGTCCTGGATTCTAGCTGTCTGTCGTCCTCTGAGGAACAAATCAGGTTTGTTCTTTTTTTTTTTTTCATTTTATTGTTGTTGGGTGAAAATACTGAATGATAGATGGTAGTAATGTTCAGTCAGTAAAAATTTGTTTTGTCAGTTCCATTTATGTTTTTGTCATTAAGGGATAACAAAGACCAGTGTCATGGTGGTGATGTGGACAAAATGAAAACAAGCAGCTCCTCTGAGCCACCGGAGTCTTCCTCCTCTTTAGTTTCCACCAGTGCATGTCTTCATCACGGCAGCAAAGTAAAGGAACAGGTACTTTTAGTTTAAGTTTATATAACTGTTTCTGACCCTTCACTGCTGATGCTGTCATTGAGAAGTGCTAGGGCTGTCACAATATCAGATTTTAATACACAATTATCATGGCCAAAAGAATTCATGATAACGATATTATCATATCTATAGAAACAAGTTAAAAAATTAATA